TGCCTACAGTGATCAAAAAAATGTTTTAACCCCTGAGGGTTAACATTTTTTTTTTTCCAATTTGACAATTTTTATTTTTATTGTTTTGTAGTTCAGCCCCTGTTGGGGGGTCGACCTAAAGGTTAAACGGAGTACAGAAAGGAAGCAGGATGGGGGTGAAAACAGTTGTACAATTGGCAGTTAACATTTAACATATGCGGATGTAGGTCATTTCATTCACACTTTTCTGTTATCGTTTAAGGTTGCTCCTCAATGCCTCTCCTCCGCTACTCTCTGTATTCCTCTCCCAGTAAGAATTTAGCCCAGCCTACTCTCTAAGGCCGGCCATCCTGGCCTGGGATGTTGTACCGATGTAGAGTGGGGCAGAGGTCCGTATTGTTTGTTCTGTCAGTGTGCTGTCTATTATATCAAGTAGTGGGTGAGGGGAAGGGTCCCTGGGGTTCGGTTCACTCTGGTTTAGTTTTTGGTGTCTCTCTTCCTTCCCTTTCCTGTCCGCCCAGCTCGAGGGTGATATTCCCGGTAGCCCTACTGTTTTGTTTTCATTTTGGGTGCTATTGTTGGGGCCCCTCTGTCTGGTTAATTCGATCTAACTCTGTGGCTAGTCTAGGGGACATGGACCCCTATGTTTGTGGTGTGTCCCTTAGGTGTACGTGGGATGTGGATCCGCGTCGGTGTTATGTTATTGTAGTTGGTGTTTCAGCGTTGGCTGGCGAGTCCAGATTGGGGGACAAGCCCCTCAGTCTCGTGGAAGGTTCGCAAGGCATTCCTCCCACTGTGTACTCTGAAACCTGTTTTTTGAGTGCCATTTGTTTTTGAGACATTGCTTCATAGTCTAAGTTTGTCGTGATCTGTCTTGTCAAGTCTTGTGTGTTGGGCGCCCTATTAGTCTTCCATTCCCTCGCTATTGTTGTCATTGCCGAGATCAGTATGTGTAAGATCAGGATCCCTAGGTCCCGTTTGAATGTGTCTAGTGTTAGGAACAGGAGACCCAGCTCTGGTTTGAGTGTGAACTGTGTGCCTAAGGCAACAGATATAATCCCCTCCACTTTTTTCCAGTAGTGTTGGATACGTGGACATGTCCACCATATGTGAAACATTGTTCCCCTTTCTGTGTTGCATCTCCAGCACTCAGCTGAGGTGGTGGGGTAAATTCTCGCCAGTCTGTCTGGTACCATATACCATCTGTATTGTAGCTTCCTCATTTGTTCCAGGCGTGATGCGCAGGCCGTTTTGCCTTTGTGTGCCATGTAGGCCCTGTGCCGGTGTTCTATGTTGTATGTGGTGCGCAGGTCCGCATGCCACGCTAGGACGTGTTTATCTAATGCATCTCCTGCCTCCGTGTTTAGTAAGTGGTATGTCAAAGAGATGGTTTTGCGAGGGGTTTTAGTGTTCATGCAGATTTCCTCTACACGAGTGAAAGCGGGTGAGTTTCGTGTGGGGAAGGTCAAGGATCCCAAGAGGGACTTGAGTTGTAGGTAGGGAAATATCGGGTTTGCAGCTCCGGGAAAGTTAACATAGTCCCCTTGGAGAAAAGGTGGTGTAGGTTTGTGCACCCGTGAAGCTGCCATGGTCTATGATCGAAGTAGGGATTGGACATATGGACGCTGTAGATCGGGGTGGCCAGTGACCAGGGTGTTGTGTAGCATAGGCTCTTACTGGCGGTATCCCATGTTTTCAAAAGTAGGGCGGTGGTGGGCAGCATGTCAGGTGTAGGGGGTCGTAGGTGTGGGGGGATCCAGTGTAAGTATTTTAGTCCCTCTTTCCTTGTCCAGTATGACTCTAACTCTACCCATTGCGGGGGGTGTTGTGTGTGTGTTGTTTTAACCGATGACAACAGTGCTGCTTTATAGTACAGCTTGAGATTAGGCAGTCCCAGTCCCCCTCTCTCCACCGGTCTATTTAGCAATCTGGTGGCCACGCGGATTTTATGCAGTGCCCAAACAAAGCGCACAATGTCCAGTTGGAGAGTGTCTAGGTATTTGGTGGGTACATGTATCTGTAATGTGCGAGGTATTGTAGCTTGGGAAGCAGTGACATTTTTACTGCTGCGAGCCTGCCCACCCAGGACAAATATTTACCCTCCCATGTCTGAAGCGTCTGTATGATTTCTTTCTGCAGTGTTTCGTAATTGATTTTAAACATAGCTCCCAGGTTTTTTGGAATTTTTAGACCCAGAAATGTGACGTAGTCTGATCTCCAGTCCAGGGTAAAGGCCTCCTGGAGGGATCGGATCGTTCCTTCTGGCATGTCTATCCCCATGGCCTGTGTCTTGTTTTTGTGTAATTTGTAGTATGAGACCTGTCCATATGAAGTGATTTCCTGGAATAAGTTGGGCAGGGATATGCGTCGTTGCGTCATGGTTACCAGAACGTCATAACATTTATTTTTTTAAACCTCAGGGGTTCAATTTATTTCATTAATTTAAATGTTTTAAAATTATATATTTTGTTAGCTAGGGTGTGTGGGAGTTATGGAAAATTGGGGAATATAATGTTTGTGCTGCTTACTGCTAGTTACGGGTTAACTGTAAAAAGAAAAGTTTGTAAAAATTTTAAAAGTGTAACAAAACTTTTAAGAAAGTTTTAAAAAAGTAAAAAAAATTTAATAAGTAAACAAAAGTTTAAAAAAGTTACCGTATATACTCGAGTATAAGCCGACCCGAATATAAGCCGAGGCCCCTAATTTTACCCCAAAAAACTGGGAAAACTTATTGACTCGAGTATAAGACTAGGGTGGGAAATGCAGCAGCTACTGGTAAATTTCTAAATAAAATTAGATCCTAAAAAAATTATATTAATTGAATATTTATTTACAGTGTGTGTATATGATGAATGCAGTGTGTGTGTATGAGTGCGCAGTGTGTGTATAAATGCAGTGTGTGTGTATGAGTGCAGTGTGTGTATATGAATGCAGTGTGTATATGAGTGAATTGTGTATATGAGTGCAGTGTGTGTGTATGAATGCAGTGTGTGTATATGAATGCAGTGTGTGTGTACGAGTGCAGTGTGTGTGTATGTGATGCAGTGTGTGTGTTTGTGTTGCAGAGCCTTGGTGGGGGGTGGGCATTTTTATAAATAAAATAAATAAATAATAATATTATTTATTATTTAAATTTTTTTGATTATTTTTTTATTATTATTTATACTTATATATTATTAATTAATATTATTTTAATTTTGTTATATTATTATTTTTTATTATTTTTTTATTATTTATATTTTTATATTATTAATGTATTTATTTTTCGTCCCCCCTCCCTGCTTGATACATGGCAGGGAAGGGGGCTCTCCTTCCCTGGTGGTCCAGTGGCATTGGCAGTTCAGTGGGGGGAGGAGGTGGGCGGGCAGGAAGCACTTACCTCTCCTGCAGCTCCTGTCAGCTCTCTCCTCCTCCGCGCCGGTCCGTGCAGCTCTTCTGTCAGCTCACACTGTAAGTCTCGCGAGAGCCGCACTATGACCCCGCGGCTCTCGCGAGACTTACACTGGGAGCTGACCGAGGTGCTGCACGGACCGGCGCGGAGGAGGAGAGAGCTGACAGGAGCTGCAGGAGAGGTAAGTAACAGCTCTGCCAGCCCCCAGTCTGTATTATGGCAATGTAAGTTGCCATAATACAGACAGTGACTCGAGTATAAGCCGAGTTGGGGTTTTTCAGCACAAAAAATGTGCCGAAAAACTCGGCTTATACCCGAGTATATACGGTAAATACATTTAAAAATGCTCATTATCACTACACCTGGAACAAGATGCAAGATAATGCATCTTGGACGTAAAAATCCTAGGGTATAGTATAGTAAAGGTAGAGTATAGAATATTTGATGGAGTCCTAACCTCAACATCTGCCGGGAGGGATTGAGGGGTAATTAGATGATTGAGTAAAATATAAACACATAATAAAGATGATTGAGTGATATATAAGCAGGCACAATATAAATATATATTGTGCAGCCACACACACGAGTTCACTCAGTAGTAGGCACACACACACAAGCTCATTCACTAGCAGGCACACACACAAAACTAACTCACTAGCAGCCACACACACAAGTTCACTCAGTAGTAGGCACACACACACAACTCACTCACTATCAGGCCCACACACACAAGTTCACTTACTAGCAGGCACACACACACACACAATCTCACTCACTAGCAGCCACACACACCCTCATACAAGCTCACTCATTAGCAGCCACACACACAGACACAAGCTCACTCACTAGGAGCCACACACACACACACACACAATTACACTCACTAGCAGCTACACACACACACAAGTTCACTCCCTAGCAGGAACACACACACAATCACTGTCATGGCTGAAGCTTACCTAGCACTGGTAGGTGAAGTTGACATTTTGTGACCTCTTCCTCCCAGAGAGGTCAGCAACGTGTGTGTGGGGCGGGGATTTTACGCAAGAGGCGGAGCTTCTGTTCAGGAGGCGGGGCTTGCATACGGGTTGGGGCATGCGTCCGAAATTAATGTCAATTTTGAAGTAAGACTGACAGGTCTCCCTCTGGGCGCCAGCAGCCTAACTCCTCCCTCTTTACTCCCCTTGGGCTGAGACAGGCTGGCACAGTCCAAGGGGAAAATCATTTAAATGTCATTAGTCTGATGATTTGTGCTGTCTGATCGGCCCCAAGTGCTACGGTCAACCAGGAAATCTCCTGGTGGGGCAGTCCGGTTCTGAGGGATAGGTATTAGCAGTAGAAAAAGGAAAGTGTTCATGCCACTGTACAGAACACTGGTGAGGCCTCACTTGGAGTAGTGTATGCAGTACTGGAGACCGTATCTCCAGAAGGATATTGGTACTTTAGAAAGTTCAGAGAACGGCTACTAAACTGGTTCATGGATTGCAGGATAAAACTTACAAGGAAAGGTTTAAGGCTCTTAATATGTATAGCTTGGAGGAAAGACAAGACAGGGGGGATATGATAGAAACATTTAAAAACATAAATCTGCTCTCTCACTCCAGCATTGAAGAGAAGCACTCTCTCTAAAATGGCGGATGCCTCATGTCCAGCAGACAGAAGTGGAGAGCTTACCTGCAATCTTGAGCGACTCTTCGCGGAGTTCCTGGACCAGCTGGACAGATGTCTGCGACAGCCTGTTAGACGGAGGAGGAATGCAAAACCTCCCGAGAGCTCACCATCGGCTCCGGTCCAGGAGCGGACCTGCAAAAGGTGGCAGCAGATGGGACAGCATGAAAAGGTGGTGGCAGTGCACCACACGCAAAGAGGCTGTGGCCCTCCCGGACCTGCACAAGCAGTGGCCCGGAAAATGGACACAGCTGGAGCTACGAATACCATCACCAGGCCTGAATTGCCATGAAGCCTGGACACCACACCAACAGCTGTGGAGCATACCGGCAATCAGACAACACCGAGACTGTCCTATAACTCTGAAGGAGATCGGCTGACTTATGACTCTTGTGGCCAATGATGTAATGACTTACCTAAGTTCCCCTTTTCTTTCCCATATGACCCAAAGCATTTTTTTTTTTTTTCTATTAGTTGTCTCAACCATGTTGGCTAGCGTCATTACCGATGTGCATTTATCACCTCATGTATAAGAACTAGGGTCCTTGTGGCAATATACTAAGTTTGAGTTTCAGTTAAGCATCCAACTCTCCATTATAACTTCTTAGTGCAACTACCGATAAATTGAGCTGGAATATGTTCTCTCTTGGGGAGGCGCTCTGCCTTATTCATTCTCCAGTTTGCAACCAGTGCTTCAAGTCTGCATTTTTTTATGTCCATTCACCTATAATCTCATAGTACTGTGTTATGGTAGCTTGGCTAATATATAAAATTGTGCAGTTTACGCTATGTTGTCAGTTATACTCCTGTATGCATTGTCTTTATCGGTTTCCACATCAAACAAAATGTTATGCTGCAATGCAATACAAAAATAAAGCAGAAAAAATGCTTATTACCACTATACTGGGTACAAGCTAGCAAAAAAATGATCCCACGGTAAGGTTCAAAATATGTCTTTTGAAATACCCTGGGATGTCCTCTTTAAGAAATGGTATGCCTTTGTGGTGTAGTTGGAATATGTAGCCTGCTAAAGTGCTCCAAAGTGGGATACAGACCCATCAAAACCATCTATGAAAATTCACACTTAAAAACCTGAACATGTCACGTCTCTTTTACAGCACTCTAACTTCACAAAATAGTGTCTAGGTCATACATTGGGCATATTGTTTTACTCAGAAGATATAACGGAGCATAATTTGAGGGATTTTATGACAGTGGCACATATCAAGTGTAAGAAACAAAAATGCAAGATGTATTTAAAAATGCTATATTTTACTTTCACCACAAACATTGACATAAATAGGTGAAAAAATGGTGACAAGTTAAGGCACAATATACGCCATATAAGATAACCTGGGGTGTCTGCTTTCTCAAATGGAAGCCCTTTGTGGGGTTATTTGAACAGTCAAACTGCTATAATGCCCCAAAATGAGACATAGGCCCATCAAATCCATCTATGAAAATTCTAACTATAGAAACTGAAATAATCCTGTCTCTTATATGGCATTGTAGCTGGCGTTGTACTCAGCAGATGTAGCTAAACATAATATGGGATTCTGTGCACGCATAGCACACACCAGTTTTACAAAATACACATTACAAAAACCTTGTTATATGTGTATATGCCAAAATAGAGAAAAAAAAGAGATTGGCGATGAAATGGCTACCTAAAACGTGTCAAAATAACCTTAGGTAAATAGTCTGTGATGTCTACTTTATATAAATATATACTTTTTAGCAGTATATGCACAAAAGTTTGTTTTTTGTGATGGCTACTAAACTTACAAGATAAGCATACCAACTTCTAAAAATGTATTTAGTTTTTTTTTTTTATTGTATTTTAGTCCTTGTATTTTGTGACCGGTAATTTTCAAAATAAGCGGAAATCCTATACATATTATGTACTCGATAAATCAAAATACATAAATGAATTTATTTTGAATTACTTTTCCTATGCTGGACATATTACGCACACACTATTATTGCCAAAATTATGAAAAAAAATGTGTTTTGTTTTCCCCCCCCCCCATTTTGGGGCATTTTATGTTTTAATAATTAATGAGAAGTTATATATGTAAATGTAACATTGAATTAAAGCCTTTTTTGCCCTCTGAAAAATGGTATATAATATCTGTTGGTGCAATAAATGAGAGAGATGCAAATTGCAGTTAAACAGAAACAGTAAAAAATGCAAAAATGGCTTGTTTCCTTTACAGTAAGACAAGCTTTTGACTAACCTGTAAACATTATCACCAAACTATCGTAGTACATGGTAATGGATAATTATGCAATGGATTCCAAAAAAAAAAAGGGAAAAATTACTGCAAAGAATAACCCTTAAACCATTTGATTTAATTACAGAATACATAACTTTTTTTTTTATTAAAGTACACATTTCCAAATGTCTTAATTTGCCAAGTATCTTCAGTGGACTTTTACTACATTATAGTAGGAAAATAAAAATGATTTCAGTTAATAAACAAGATGCTGAACATACATATACACAGACGCAAGGAGGACATTACTAATGTACTCAGTGAATGAAACCCAAATATATTCATTACAAGAAATAAATATGCTTGTAAATAATTATGAACAAAATGATGAGCAGTGTAACTATTTGTAATGCTTGAAAAAAAAAAAAAAAACAATCTTAGCTTCTTGCTATGTGAAATAGGACTCTTCTCCAGGTTTTCACTTTGCTCTAAAAGTCATATTTCCCCTTGCCCTTCATCTTCATTTCACTGCCACCAGGAGATAACTACAGGTGTGTGAAGACAAAGACTTGTAATACAAAACTATGGATATCCAGCGAATATAGGTGATACTGGTTTAAGTTAAGGTTTGGAGTCTACTCTAAGTGAGCAGATGTCGCAATGCATGTTAATCTGAGAGAAAAAGAAAAACAGTGACTAATCAAGTTGAACTGTGGCATGATGATTGATTATAGGGTTTTAAAGATAATTCTAGTGAATCTCTCCATATAAGACTGCACATATGATAAATGTATGGAGATACTGTTTATTTGGGAGGGTAAAAACTAAACAACAAATTAACTGAACAACCCCATAATATCTGATCATATCATTTCTGTACTCAAACCGACGTGAGTCACACATTAGGAGCGTTGATTTCGTTGGCAGCTTGTATTCAACGGGACCTCAGACATCAGCAACTGTTCAAAAGAGTATAGAAAAAAGAAGTATGGATGAGATTTTCCAAATGAAAGTATGATCATTGAAAGAAGACAGGAAGACAACCGGTAGAGGAAAAGGTGAGTGCTTGAGAAATTGTGAAAACAAAAACAAATTAAAGAAGCAGATGAGAAAAGACGAAAAAAAATGTAGAAATGAAGCAACCCAAGACTGACAAGAGGCAAACAATCAGGAATGCTGTAAGTAAATGAAAGGGAGAATATGTATTAAATATTTAATAAGAAAGAAAACCAGTACAAAAACCAGAAAACAAGTAATAATAATACAAAAAAAAAACACCACCACAAAAGTATTACTTGTTGCCATTACTCTCTACTTTGTAATCCACTTACTCTTACAAGACGATCTCTATAGCCACCATCGTCTTCACTGCCTTCCTTTGGCGGGAATGCTGACAAGTAACGCTGACACACATTGACCACCTCTCCCAAGTCATAAAGAAGGCATGGGTCCAGGCAAAGAGCATTAATCCGGCTCACAAGGTATTCTTTATAGTGGGACCTGGGGGAAAAAAAAGATTTGGTTCAGAGAGCCCAATGCAAAAGGTTAATGGATGTTGCAAAGTGAGCAAAGAAACAACTTGAAAAAGAAAAATATAAACAGTCCTTATAAAATAGAAGGGGAACTAACATACTGAATGAATTGAATGAATTGCAAACCCAGTACAGACTTCTTTGCAAGGGCAGTACAAAAAAGCAAATTAGTTGAGAAAAGCAGGATAGACACAGGGCCCATATCTAAACTTGTTGCAGGTATTGACAAGCCAGTAATGATTAAAATGACAGTCTGTTAGCAACTCTACATCCTACAAAATGTCACTGTTAGCAACTAATAATTAGTGGCTTGGATCTTTAATTTCTTCCATGGGGATTAAAAGGAGACTAGAAATATTAACCAAAGGTCAGGTTTCCATACTGGAAGGTACAAAGTACCACCAGGTCAGATGCTGTCTCCAATTCACATAACTTTACACTTGCTACAGCTTGGTGTAAAGAGGAAAGGAAAAAATAGCAGCTGCAAACTCATAATACATCCTATAGGGGAACAATTTGAATAAATATATATATATATATATATATATTCAAATATAATCACTGACAGCCCACTGGACCTCCAACTAGTTTATATGATAGTGGTAAATGCTAACTGGTGGTCGGGATCAGTGGAGGTGGACTGATATATGCAAACTGCTCCTATCTTTACGGAAAAACGCTAATTGGAAAAACACTCACTCGCACAGCCCGGCATAACCAGGGGCTGTAATCTTTCCACAGGCTTCATCTTTCAGACCTTCCAGATTCTCCTTCTGCTCCATCACACGACAACCACCTACGGAGAGGTAGAGAAAAATACTGCACAGGATTATGAACATTTAACATTTTCTCTTGGTGCATCACTCTATCAGTATTACAGGTTAGGATATCAGCACATTCTGGATGTAATCATCACGTTTAGATTATATGTTGGTGTAATTGTGGTTTGCAAACAGTTACATAAAAAAATACTGTCCCTATAAAAGTTTACATGCTGTTAATATGAAAAACTATATACCCAAACTGTATAGACCCAAACTTATAAAATACTGCAATATTTGACAATAGAAAATAATTATTTTAGTAATTATTTTCATACATGCAGGATGTAAAGGAGGGCCAGACTTTCAAGATACGCAAGTACAAAATTAGTTTCTTATTCACTTTGAGTGATACTATCTTACTTTGTAAAGTTGCACTTTTTATTTACATTTTCAACTTGAACTAGACCTTGTATTCATTAAATCAAAAAGGTTTTAATGCAAAATAATAAATGAAATGTATGCAACCATGTCATAACTTATACATTTCCTCTGCTGGCAAATAAAACAGAAACATTAAAATTAGTTTTTCCATCTTCTTTCCATCTCACCTCCAGGGCCAGCCTGTGTTCCAGCTGGGGGATCCGTGTTAAATTGCACTTGGGACATCTGACAGAACAGAAGGCACAAGTTAGTTAGGGAGTTAGGAAGATACATCACTAAGAAGTACCTGCTGTAAATGAACCAAGATTCGTGCTTTATAGCAGTAAATGAGGCACTAAGCACTGTGGCATATATGTATGTTGGCAATGAAGGAGATAATTTGTTTTGTCTAGGATTTGAATGTGAGGAATTTTACATCTTGTGGTAGATGGTCAGTTAGACAGGTATCTGGGCAGAATTGATGACACAGCTGTTTCTGGGGGCTGGAGCTGGCATGGGATTGGTTGAAAGTTGCAAGCAGAAAAAGAGCGGGAAACTGGAACAGTAAAAAAAGAAGCAGCACAAGTTTAATCCTGTCAGAGTGGACTGAAGCAAGAACGGTGCGGACGGACCCCACCCCCCTCCCTTTACTTTTATTTAATTGTATTGTCGTGTTATGAAGCATTGGGGCAAAAGTCATCCTCAGGGTCAGGTTCTGAGGAAGGATATGGTGGTAAATGGTTTTAAATAAAAGGCGGTCAGGTTAGTTATGACTAACCGGCAATAAAGTTGAACGTTTTAAGTAAAATGCGGTCAGGTTAGTTATGACTGAATGGCTATTTGGTGGTTAATAAAGTTAAAAGTTTTGAAAGTTGGTGAACCATATGTTATATGGTTATGGTTACAAAGTTATAGTTGTATGCCCCTTGAGCTTTGAATAAACACCACGGCCAAGCCCATTGAAAAGTAATTAAACGTTGTCTGTGGTTATTTTGTGTCTCGTTTTATTTATCCGATTATTGCCTAACATACATATAAAACCAGGATTGTGGTTTGGGAGAACAGTTTAAAGAGCAATTTATAAAATAAACTTGCATTTAGGAAAAATGTGTACTAGACATTATCCTCAGATGCCATAAGTATGCGATCTTCTCTAAATTCTGTATATACACATTCCTTACATAATGTTCATATTCACCACAAACCGCGTAATTCACTAAATTCCGAATGGCCATGTTCTGAATTGTTAATGGAAATCAACAATGTCTGGATTTTGCAATTGAGGCCCCGAACAGAAAAGTCAAACAAAAAGGAAAGTCTCCAGGCACTCAAGGTGTTCAAGCCGCAGGCAGGTTTAATGGAACAAAAAAGAGCAGCAAAGTATCGACCTGCTAAGAGGTCTTTGTCAAATTGACAAAGACCTCTTAGCAAGTCGAAACGTTGCTGCTCTTTTTTGTTCTATTAAACCTGCCTGCAGCTTGAACACCTTGATTGCCTGGAGACTTTCCTTTTTGTTTGCCTCATCGTTGTGGGATTGCTGCTCTGCTCCTGCTCCAGTGCACAGTGGGTCTGCGGGGATTTGAGTGCGGCTCCTATCTTGATTTTTGAGAAAACTAACACTTTGGAATTTGGCCTTTTTCACTAGATTTTGTCCATTCGAACAAAATCCGGTGATTAGTGAATAACCCTGAAAGTTTCATTATAAATAATTATTTTGAGGGAGAAAAACAGTTTTAGAGCTTTGGTCTACGAGGCTGCCTGGATGCCGTGTGAAGTTAGCAATTCTAATTGTGTTCTGAATCCTAATATACTTAAACATAACAAAAAACACGGACACCCGTGAAAAAGGTGATATAACACAACAACTTAACTGAAAGGTACACAGCTTCCCAAGGTTATTTCCCAGTTGATAACCTTATAGCAGAACAGTGTGATTGATAGGATATTTGGGATTCTGCTGATGTACCTATAATAGAGGACAAAACATAGTGCAAATATTGCTACACACTATAAAACCGCTGGTAAAAAATATGCACTCACATATTCCAAAGAATATAAGCGTGTTCAGGGTGCCTCCCCCTAAGTGTGAAAAAAGGGGGGGTTATTCTCCTTTAATTCTCCCTCCTCAAGTGATAGCCAGTGGGGTATCCGGGTCAGCAAAAAGATCCAAGCAGATGCAACCAAAGGAATACTTCAAAGGTGATTTATTCACTTATAAAATTCAAGAGGTATATATAAAAATACATAAAAACAATATAAGAAAGAGATGCTGGTCCTACGCGTTTCGTCCTTATACAAAAGGACTTCCTCAGGGACCTCTTTCAGCACAATATTCAATCACCAAAATTACAGAGAATAAAAAACAGCATCCTAAAAACGCTAACACATGAATAAACTTATATAGGGCTAATCCCTTCTAGTCATTGGTGGAATAGTGGGTGTTCTCTCCTCTTCTGACTCCTATTCGTCCAGGGTTTCTTTTCTTCAGGTGTGTTCACTTAATCGAAATGAAAAAAGCCGGGCTCGTTCCGAAACTAGTCACTTCCGCATACGTCATACGTTACGTTCGCGTCACGTGTTCCGTGATTTATCACGTGATCGTTATGCGTTCCACATTCGGGAACAAAGATGGACGACTATGTTTTGTCCTCTATTATAGGTACATCAGCAGAATCCCAAATATCCTATCAATCACACCATACTTAAACATAAACATGTTTTGCTGACAGGATTCAGTATCATAGATCACTTGTAATACTGTCCATAAAATAGATATGATTTGAGGTTTTGTCACTGAAGCTCTAGTTTGGAAGAACAAGGTAAGATTCTACCAGAGGCACTTACAACAATTACACAACTTGTGCAAAGTTGAAAAGACTGCATGATTTATGGGAGAAATGTGGATATAAAGAAAACATTGAATGAAGACGGTCCCAAAGGTAGTCAAAAAATATTTTTTTTAAAAATTAATGTACATTACAATGGTCTGAAAATTTAAAATCAGTTAAGTAAAACATATCTATTTGTATAAACATATGTATATTTTATTGGAATACGGATGGGAAATTGAGCCCTGGGAATGTGGTGGTTATAATAAATAGGAGAGTTAGCGAATACTTACTTGGAGGAGTCTCTGAAGACGTGTCACCTCCCAGTCTCGGAGGTAAAAGAGGCAATCTCTGGGATGGTGGGCATGGAGAGACATCCTCACTGTGCAGGAACGAACTGTGCATTTCTGAAATTAAAAACATACTGTGACTATATAATACTACAAGAACTCATGGTTAAATGCAGCTAACTGTTCACAGAGCTTTAACTGGGCAGTAAAACCACATCTCAGATCCTTCCGAGTCAGTGCATATCTGTTTCATAATGCAGATCCACAAATCAGTCAACAAAGAAACAATGAGAGGGATCTTTGCTGCCTAGTAAACAAAGAAACATACAGCTACATGCACAGATTAACCCCTTAAGGACTGGACTGTTTTTGCGATGTTGTACATTTGCGACCAGGCATATTTTTACACTTTTGTGGTGTTTGTGTTTGTCTGTAATTTTCCGCTTTCTCATTTACTGTTCCCATACAAATTATATATTGTGTTTTTCAGGACAAAAGGGGCTTTCTTTACATACCATTATTTATATAATCTCATGTATTTTAATTAAAAAAAAATAAAAAAATATGATGACAAATTGAAAAAAATACATGTTTTTTGACTTTTACTTGAAAAATCTTTTACTCATCTACAAAAGCGAATGAAAAAAACTGCTAAATAGATTCAAAATTTTGTCCTGAGTTTAAAAATACCTAGTGTTTGCGTGCTTTTTTGCTTTTTTTTGCATGTTATAGGGCTATAGGTACAAGTAGGATATTGCGGTTTCAAAACATACATTTTTAAAATTTATCAATAGTGACATTGTAACACTATTATCTGTCATAAATCTCTGAATAACACCCACATGTACATATTTTTTTTAAAGTAGACAACCCAGGGTATTCAATATGGGGTATGTCCAGTCTTTTTTAGTAGCCACTTAGTCGAAAACACTGGCCAAAGTAAGCATTCATATTTGTTTGTGTGTGAAAAAAGTAAAAACTAAATTGAACGCTAATTTTGGCCAGTGTTTGTGACTAAGTGGCTACTAAAAAAGACTGGACATACCCCATTTGCAATACCTTGGGTTGTCTTCTTTTGCAAATGGTATGCCATCATGGGGGTAATTCTCATTCCTGGGCTACCATACGCTCTCAAAGGCAACGTAACCAACCTGGCCATTTTCAATGTAAAAATATTTGACCCATATATTTGACCTTGTAACTTTCAAAAATGCTATGAAACCTGTACATGGGGGGTACTGTTTTACTCGGGAGACATCGCTGAACACAAATATTAGTGTTTAAAAACTGGAAAACGTATCACAACAATTATATCATCAGTAAAAGTGCTGTTTGTGTGTGAAAAATGCAAAAAAGTAACTTTCACTGACAATATCATCGCTGTGATATGTTTTACTGTTTTGAATCACTAATATTTGTGTTCAGCGAAGTCTCCCGAGTAAAACAGTACCCCCCATGTACAGGTTTTAGGGTGTCGTAGAACGTTTCAGGGTAAAATACAGTGCTAGCAAATTAAATTCTCTGGAATTTCGGCCTGGGTTGGCAGGCAGGTCCCTCAAATTACAATCAATAAAATTACTGAATTATGTAAAAATATTACATAAATACGCACGTAGAATTTAAATATATATGCATATTTATATAGTTTAAGTCTACGTGTATATTTATATAATTATTTATGTAATTTTGTATATGGACATATGTATATTTCGTATTATTTTTATTTATTTATATATACACATAGATATATATACAAATTCATTCTAAGTGTATTTTGATATAAATATATATATATTAATTTTAAAATACAGTTAGAATAAAATTTCATATAGATATATAATTTTTTTTAAATTTTTATTATTATTTTTAAAAAAATTATTTAATTTAAATTACTTATTATTTATATTTTATAATAATATATGTATACACAATATATATAGTTATTATATATATACGTGTGTAATTTAATTATAAGTGTATTTTTATATTAATATAAGTACATATTAATATAAAAATACACTTAGTATGGCATTATATATATGATATATAGACATATATTATATAGATATAATATATGTCTATATATCATATATACACATATATAATTACCGTGTTACACGGCTCATAAGGCATACCTCTACTTAAGGCACCTAAGTTTTTAGGGAGAAATAGAAAAATATTCTGAACAAACTGTTCCATAGTGTTTCTTACCATGGGACAGTTTGTTCAGAATATTTTTTTTTCTCCCCTGTCCCATAATGATCTTTAACCCCCTTTCCTCTGTCCCATAGTGATTGTTAACCCCTCCTACCCTGTCCCATAGTGATTGTTAACCCCTCCTACCCTGTCCCATAGTGTTCTTTAACCCCCCCTCCCCTTGTCCATTAGTGTTCTGATCCCATAGTGTCCCCCCCTCCCATTGTCCCATAGTGCACTTTCCCTCCCATAGTGTCCCCCCTCCCTTGTCCCATAGTGTCCCCCCCTCCCTTGTCCCATAGTGTCCCCCCCTCCCCTTGTCCCATAATGTCCCCCACTCTCCTTGTCCCATAGTGTCTCCGCCCCTCCCCTTAGTGTCCCCCTCCCCTTGTCCCATGAGTGTCACTCCTCCCCTCCCCTGTCCCATAGTCCTCCGGCTCCCCTTGTCCCATGGTATGCTCCCTCCCCTCCCCTTGTCCCATGATTGTCCCCCCTCCCCTTCTCCCACCATAGTGTCCCCTCCCCTTGTCCCTTAGTGTCTCCCCCACTCCCCTTGACCCATGGGTAATGCTCACTCCTCCTTGACAGTGTCTCCCCTCCCTTTCTCCCATAGTCCCCTCCCCTTGTCCCATAGTGTCTCCTCCCCTCCCCTTGTCCCATAGTGTCTCCCCCTCCCCTTGTCCCATAATTACTTGCCTGTCTTGGAGCGTGGGCCGGCTTCACAGCGCGCTCCGCGGTCCAGGAACTAATATTTCAGGTTCCGGTTTCCGGCGGGACTGAAAGGAAGTGGGCACACTCAGTGTGCACACTTCCTTTGATCCCTTGGCTCGAGAACAAAATAAGTTCTAGCGGCCTTCGCTCCATAAGACGCACAGACATTTCCCCTCACTTTTGAGGGGAAAAAAAGTGCGTCTTATGGAGCGAAAAATACGGTATTATTATTTTTTTAATTAACACTAACTTTATTTTATTTTTTGATTTTACACTAGCAGGGAGACTGCCTGTCATCACAGACAGTCCCCCTGCTGGCAGACACTAGGACACCTATTGTGACCATGTGATCGCTGTGTTAAGCGATCACATGGCCCCAGGGGTCCTAATTCAGTGTGGGGAGACTGTCTGGGCTGCAGGCAGTCTCCCCACAACCGGAGCAACACTGATCGCCGCCGGGGGAACGACGGCGATCAGGTAAGTAACTAAGACCGTTAGGACGGTTCAGGACCGTCATCGGTCGGCAAGCCAAAAATGCCGATGACGGTCCTGTACCGTCCTCGGTCGGGAAGGGGTTAATTGAAAAAGAAAATGCAATATTTACACAACCTTTTTAATGCTGTACACAGTAACATAATAGTCCTTGATAGCACAAGTCTACTTTAACCCCTTAAGGACACATGACATGTGAGACATGTCATGATTCCCTTTTATTCCAGAAGTTTGGTCCTTAAGGGGTTAAGCAGATATAGTCAGTAAATAGAGAGAATATAGATTATGTACCTCTCTCTTTGTATTACATATTGTACTTTGCTTAAACCAAGAAAGTAAGGGGTGAGGGGGGAAGGGGGGAAAGCATAGTACATTAGTATACAAATGATCCCTATATAATAAAGTATGTTTACATGCTGTATTTTACAATGTATCACTTTCTCAGCGATAACTGCAAGTAACAAAAATTTGTGTACATGTGAACGTTTCTAGAAATAGAGAATATATATTACTTTCACAGAAGCTCAGTGCTTACTAAGTCACTCACGTTCTTGGGATGAAAGGTGTTATAACACCCACTGCAGAATTGGTGTCGGCACTGGGAACAGATAAAGTGCATGCAGCCTCCTCGGGCCAGAGCATAGGAAAACTTACAGTGCGGGCAGGCTGAGGAGAGAGAACATACACAGGCACATTACTCTTTAGAATATTTCTGTGGATATCCACAGGATATAAGTAGGCTGCACTTTATCCCCTGACAAAGCATGTGATAATATAATTTTCATGGCACAAGTAAACAATTAGATTAAAGATAAGTAATGTTTAAATTCCTTTATGATCGTTGGGTGCAATGAGAAAATCCCAAAAAGGGGGAATCATCTTAACACCTTCACTACAGGAATAAACACGATTTCCAGAGTATGTTCCCATACGTGTATATACAATTTTAACAATTGCAAATAAAATAGGTTTATTGCAGTCACAGATGTCTTCACCTATCCTTGTATGCAGACCTGCACTGACAGACCAGTGGATAACCCGTTAAATGAAAAATTGCCCCCCATTCCTGCTCAAAATATAAGGATTGGGACAACAAGAACAAAATATACACACATGGTGTCCTGAGGAAAGTTCCAGTTCAGGAACTGAAACGTTGACCTTGCAGTAAAGATGGATTATATTTAATAAAGAAATCAATAGAAAATTCCCTAGAATGCTGGTATCCTGTTCCATTATATCAAGTGTTGCTGAGCACCAGGTTAAAAAAAGAAAAATTCTAAGTTGGAGTGCAAAGTCTGGGGTTGTGTTTTAAATAAAAATATATGTATTGTTTTTATTTTTTAAAGCACAGCAGTGTGTAGAGGCTGAACCCAGACAGACACACAAAACAATTTAGCTCTCAGATAGATGTTTATTTTCCATTTAGGTTGTCACTGGCCAATATGGGTTGTGCATATAATAAATGGAGTGCTGCACACAAATAATGTGTACGTTGGAAGGGAGTCTGCCACTCTCCAGGAACAAGTTACAGGAGTCCACAGTTATCACAATGTAGGGTGAAAAAAAATATATATTTATAGTGGATCAATAAGATACATAATTATTTTATACATAACAATGTATAATATTGCAGTAAATAGGAAAAATTAACACAATGAATTAAAGGTAACAATGTATTTTGGTTTTTTTCTTGTGTTAATGAAAATAAGAAATATATATATATATATATATATATATATATATGAAAAAAAACTAAAAAACTTCATAATGCAACCCATCATATGTAAAAAAAAAAAATATATAAATCTATACAAAAGATCAATTAAGATTTGGACCTACAAAGCAGTGTTCAAATATCACCATTATATTTCCAACGTGAGAATGGTTTCAGTTATATTAAATTTTATCACAAATGGCTGCACTATGAAGGTCTTCATATTTTCGTTTTTTCCAAGAATGCTAAACCAAAACAAATTTTGCCCATTAAAAACACTACATAACTGTGGCGAACCAGTGAATGTCATTTACAAAGTATAAGAATCATAGTATCCTGTGCAGTGCTTGTGTTCAGATAGTAGAATTGAGTACATGCTTCAACTGTGAGCAGTCTTTGACAAAAACAGGTTGTAAGGCACACATGTTCACACAATAGAGCAGCAAAGAGTGACAAAGATTGTTATTGACTCACGAGTCAAAATGTTAAGTACCTGCTTATCTCAATCTCTGAATGCAGAAAAAGCACTGTGTCTGGGTTCATTATATCCCTGAATCTACAATTTATAATATTCAAATCATTTTTTTAGGTCTTTTAGATACTTTAACCAGACCGCTTTTCAATTCTGTTACCGTTTGGGACCAGGGTTGTTTTTACATTTCTGTGGTGTTTTTGTTTAGCTGAAATTTTCCTCTTACTCATTTACTGTACCTATACATATTATATACTGTTTTTCTCGCCATTAAATGGTCTTTCTAAAGATACCATTATTTTCATCATATCATATCATTTACTATAAAAAAGTTATAAAATCTGATGAAAAAAAAAGTGAACACACACACTTTTTCTAACCCCAAAATCTGTTACGCATCTACAACTGCCAAAAAAACACCGGTGCTAAATAGTTTCTAAATTTTGTCCTGAGTTTAGAAATACCCACTTAACATTTTCTTAGATTTTTTTTTTTTTGCAAGTTCTAGGGCAACAAGTACAAGTAGCACTTTGCCATTTCAAAACCTTTTTTTTTTTTCTCAAAATTAACGCAAGTTACATTGTAACATTGATATCTGTCAGGAATCCCTGAATAACCCTTCAAATGTATATATTTTTTAAAAGAAGACAACCTAAGGTATTAAACGCGGGGTATTTTGACTCTTTTCATGCTCTTTTTATGCAGCCATTTTACCACCAATCTATGCCAAATTAAAAAAAATAATAATTGGTGATTTTTTGACATACATAGCAATTTAAGAATACATGTACTGAAAACTTTAAGGGTTACTGCCAAAGAACACCCAATATGTGTTCAGCAACATCTCCTGAGTACAGTGATACCACCCATGAATAGGTGTGTTGGGTTCTATGCGGGCTAAAATACCTTTTTTGGAGGGTGCGCATTCCAGTTTTTTTCCAACTTGGAATTTTCACAGCTGGTCATCATGCACCCATGTCATAATTGGGACATTTTTGAAGCTGGCCAATGTAATTTACCTCCATCAAACCATTTTATTTTTTTTTTAAAGAAGTTAACTCACGGTATTCAAAATGGGGTACGTACACTTTTTTTTAGTAGTCACTTAGTCACAAACCCTTTCCAAAATTAGCATTTATATTAGTTTTTCTGCATTTTTTACACATAAACTGCCATTTCACTTGTGAAGAAGATAGACTTTCTTCTGTGTTCATGCTTTTCTGCAACATTTCGTTTGTTTTGGATTTATTGGTTCGGCAGTTTAAAACTACCGAACACCGACCACCCTCCTGGCTCATTAACTTCAAATAGAACCGTCTATTAAGCGCTCTCTGGGCGGCCGCCGTTTGTATAGCCGAATGCCACGTGGAACTGAAAACGGCGGCCATCTTGTTTGCATGAAAGGAGGCAGCGGGACTTGATCATCGAGTGTTTGGAACTAAAAATCGGACACTCGACTTCCCGAACCACCGCTGAAACATACGAACGTCTGCTTCCTTTAGTTGCCGAACAGCCAGGAGAGCGCCATTCGGTAGTTTGGTTCATACGAACAAGGGGAGCAATCGCTCCTATGAGCCAGGAGGATCCATTTGGGACGTTATTCGTTTTATGCCATTTTCTGATTTGACCGACCGCACATGCTGAATTCGTGGAACTGTTTTGGGCAGGAGCCTCGTGTGTGGTCGGTAGCTTATGACTTCCATACTTTTTGAGAACCCCTGAACCGATCTGGGTGAAATTTTAATTTGTGGGGATACCTGTTGTATAAAGGGGTGTTCTAATTTTTGGGAAAATTGTGTGCCCTCTGCCTGGAGATAATTGGGTTATTCCTTAACTTATCTCAATATCTCCCAGGCAGAGAGAGGGAGGGTGTTACTGTAAATCTGTATGCTGATTGGATATTGTCTTTGTTTACTGTGGGAGGTCCTCTTGCAGGAGGATTCTCATAAAAGCCAGTGTGGCATCAATACAAGTTATTCCTGTTACACCCTTCATGAAGTCTAGGCTCATGCTTTGGGAATATTCTACTTGCTGGGGAGAATCGTCTTGGAAGCTGCATTCATCTACGCTATTCCTCTACATCCTAACTGCAGTTATAATCACTTATGCTCAGCTATTGGGAAAGGAATAAAAGACTGCAGTACCATAACCACTGCAGGTCTTAACATCACTGATGATACCAGTATAATACATTTTATTGCTCTAAAACACTCATATTTGTGTAGAGCAGGGATAGGCAACCTTTGGCACTCCAGATGTTGTGGACTACATCTCCCATAATGCTGGCAAAGCATCATGGGAGGTGTAGTCCAAAACATCTGGAGTGCCGAAGGTTGCCGATGCCTGGTGTAGAGTAATTAATGTCTCATGAGTACAACAGTACCCCTCTCAAGTACATGTTTTATGGTGATTTGGAATGTTAAAGGGTCAAACATAAGATTTGCCAATTTCATTTTTTGTAAATTGCTATTTGCCAGATTGGCTATGTTGCCTTTGAGACGGTATGGCAGCCCAGAAATGAAAATAAACCCCACCATGACATATCATTTGAAAACGTAGACAGTCCAAGGTATTCAAAATGGGGTATATGTCCAGTGTTTTGTAGTAGCCACTTAGTCACACTGGCCAAAGTTAGCATTTATATTTGTTTGTGTGTGGAAAATGCAAAAAACTAATATGAACGCTAACTTTGGCCAGTGTTTTTGTGACTAAGTGGCTACTAGAAAAAAACTGGACATACCCTAATTGCAATACCTTGGGTTGTCTACTTTTGCAAATGGTATGCCATCATGGGGGTAATTCTTATTCCTGGGCTATCATATGGTCTTAAAGGCAACATAACCAATTTGGCAAATTTCAATGAAAAAAATTAAATGGGCAAGCCTTATATTTGACCCTGTAACTTTCAAAAACACTATAAAACCAGTACATGGGGGATACTGTTATCCTCGGGTGACTTTGATGAACACAAATATTAGTGTTTCAAAACCATAAAACAAATCACAGCAATTATATTGTCAGTGAAAGTAAAGGTTTTTGCATTTTTCACACACAAACGGCACTTTCACTGACAATATCATTGATGTGATACGTTTACTGTTTTGAAACACTCATATTTGTGGGCAGCGAAGTCTCCTGAGTATAACAGTACCCCCATGTACTAGTTTACAATGTTTTTGAAAGTTACAGGTTCAAATATAAGGCTTGCCCATTTAATTTATTTCGTTGAAATTTGACAAATTGGTTATGTTGCCTTTGAGACCACATGGTAGCCCAGGAATAAGAATTACCCCGATGATGGCAAACTATTTGCAAATGTAGACAACCCAGGGCATTGCAAAATGCAATATGTCCAGTCTTTCGTAGTAGCCACTTAGTCACAAACACTGGCCAAAGTTAGCATTTTTACATTTATTTTTTGCATTTTTTAAAAACCAAATCTGCACTTTTACTGGTGATATCATAGTCGTGATAAGTTTTACTGTTTTGAAAAACTCCTATTTGTATTCAGCGAAGTCTCCAGAGTATAACAGTACCCCCCCATGTATTGGTTTTATAGTGTTTTTGAAGGTTGCAGGGTCAAATATAAGGCTTGCCCATTCCATTTTTTATATTGAAATTTGCCAAATTGGTTATGTTGCCTTTGAGATGGTATGCTAGCCCAGGAATAAGAATTACCCCCATGATGGCATACCTTTTGTAAAAGTAGGCAACCCAAAATATTGCAAATATGGTATGTCCAGTTTTTTTCTAGTAGCCACTTCGTCAGAAACACTGGCCAAAGTTAGCGTTCATATTCTTTTTTTGCACTTTTCACACACAAACAAATATAAATGCTAGCATTGGCCAGGGTTTGTGACTAAGTGGCTACTACAAAAGACTGGATATACCCCATTTTAAATACCCTGGGTTGTCTATTTTTTCAAATGGTATTTCATGGTAAGGTTAATTTTAATTTCTAGGCTGCTATACCGTCTCAAAGGCAACAAAGCCAATCTGGCAAATTGCAATTTACAAAAATAGAAATTGGCTAATCTTATGTTTGACCCTGTAACTTTCCAAATCACTGTAGAATGTGTGTGTATATAATAAAATAATTAAAACATTTTATAATATATTATACATATATATGATTACATTCTAAGTATTTTGAGATATATGTGTATATATATATATATATATATTGTATGCATTATATATGTATTAATTTATTTATTAATTATTTTATAATATAGTATACATATATAATATATGTATAATATATTTATTTATATTTTAGGTGTCTGGAGAACTGCCTGACTGGTTAGACAGTCCCCCTGCTGGCAGCTCAATAGACTTCCATTGCGGCCATGTGATCATGGTGATCACATGGCTCTGGAGGGCCGTAGAGGACGGAGCTGCAGCAGTGGGACTGCTGGGATCTCGGGCAGTCCCCCTGGACCGGGATTGCCGGTCCAGGTGAGTACCCAGGTAATTTTAGCTGCGGACGTGCGGGGTACATCCGCGGTCATTAATAGCCGTTATTTGCCGGTCGAAGGGGTTAAACTTGACCACTTCATTCAAATTGGCTTAGCATTGCAGTTTGTATTAAAGAAACACTATAGAGTCAGGAACACATATGTATTCCTGAACCTATAGTGTTAAAAACACCATCTAGCCCCCCTGCCACCTCGCCCCTAAAAATATAGTAAAATCTTACCTTTATTCTAGTCTGCTGCTGCTGCTGCTGGCTCTGCCCCTGATCTGCCTCTTTGGCTGACATTATCAAAAGTTGTGTTCTGAGCCAATCACAATGCTTTCCCATTGGATTGGCAGAGATTGCCCACAAGACAGATCGGGGCAGAGCCAGCACATGCCAAAACACAGCCCTGGCCAATTAGCATATCCTCATAGAGATGTATTGAATACTCACCAGAACAAATACAATAAGCTGTAGTTGTTCTGGTGACTATAGTGTACCTTTAAAATATTTTAGAAAGGTTTCTATGTTGTTTGTCCAAGATTTACAAGTTGCTCTACTCTAGCAGGGGGGAAGGGGGGTATTAACAGAAGACATTAATCTGTATGAAACTATGAATATTGGTAAGTAGTAACATCACATGTCACAAATACGTACTGATTCCATTCTCTTGCAGGTATACAGCCAGCCCTTGGGCCTGATATTCAGCATCATTTTCTCTCTTCCAATTCTGAAAATCTTCACAGCTTAAAGAGCGATGCTGTTCCTCCCACTGCATGATGAGATAGTGTAAGGAATGAAAAGTTGATCGGTAAGACAACGAAGTGATCAGAAAGAAAAAAGCTGAAACTGGGCTATGCAGTTTCCATTGTGAAAGCAATTGGAGGCAGGAATCCAGTCATAGCATTAAAAGTCACCACAAGCAATAGCAACGAGGGCATAAAAAGAAGTCCCAAAGTATAAGATAAAGTAGAGCACATGATAAATAAATTAAATGAGAAATACATTATATTTTGGCAGATGTGAATGTCAAATTATATTATTTGAGTGAAATATCTTTTTAATGGGTTAGGACTTAGAAATGTTGGAATTGGAATTTAGTATAAGGGTTACAGCTTCATGGTTAAGCATTATGGATGAGGTAAAGCATTAAGATATTATGTGATACATAAACATGAATACCAATAATTTCAAAAGAATGTTGTTCATTGCTCAGTACTCACTTCTCACTGGGCATGATACATTATATTTCATCAAAAACACAATTAGCATCTGGACATCAGGGCCGGATTAACATAGGGGCTGATGGAGCTGTAGCTGTAGCTCCAGGCACAGGCAAATAGAATAGGCCATTTAAAAAAAAACACATTTAACACACTATTCTTAGGTTTGCCACCTGACTGGTATTTTACGGTCACAGCTGGTATTTGAGGATGTCTGCCCGTGCCGGTATTGCAGTAATACTGGCAATACAAATGCAGGTATTTTTCGCAGCAGAAAACTGAGATTACTCTGCAATACCAACACCGGCCAGTAGAGGTCACTGTGTGTGGAGAGAGGCAGGGATAGGAAGTTACAGCATCTCCCTGCCTCTCTCTACTACTCACTGATTAATGGGGGAGCAGCTACACAACACAGAGAGTACAGACAGCAGCTCTACAGCTCAGGTAAGTGAGGGATGGGGGGGAAGGGCAGCAGGGAGACATGGGGACACAGACACTAGGTGACAGTGAGACACTGGGAGACACGGGGACACAGACACATGTCCCTATGTCCCTTTTCTTCTACACTCACTATATACACCTTTTCTCTGTCCCAGACTATATATCAGGAACTTCTGCCTGCTAGTAAGAAGGTAAGGAGACAAGTGGACATGTGAGTGCTATGGGGACAGTCCTTAGAACGCGTGGAGTAGGCCCATCATTTGATACATTTATGTCAAGCTTAAGGTGCTGCCTGCATAGTATGCCATTAGTTGGACAGCCTGCATAATTGGCAGGCAGCCTGACATGCAGTCATGCCCGGCTGGCCTTCCAATTATTTGGCATGCCCCCTTTTTGGGCATGTTAGCCACTTTGGCAGTTCTGGTCACGTGATTTGCGTCAGTGGCCCACCCTTTTACCCCACCCATTGACTTTCTGCTTCACTGGACACTGCTGTTAGGGGGTATGGATTTACTTGAAAGAGGAAAGCATAAATTAGAGAGAGATTAGCATAGGGTATGTGTTTTTTTCGTATAGCTGCATCCTTTGAGTTTCCCTCCAACACCATCTCCATCAGATACATGACGCTTGGGAGGTATGATTGTTTTAGTGGTTTTGGGCCATAAGATTCTGTAATTAGGCCCATCATAACTGTCAGCACCAGGCCCACTGGACTCTTAATCTGGCACTGCTGGACATGTTAGCAGAATGGTAGATGTGCTCTTCCAGGGGGGCAGCTTGCTGCCTCCCAGAAACAATCAGTTTAAGTGAGTTTACAGAACTCTTAAGCATTATTGTTGTTCTTCCTTGTGACAACAATCCCTAACCTTTGAATGTCTACCTATAATGCCAAACCTTGACCTATATTGACTTCAATATATCCGCTCATGGTTTCCAATACATTTGTATGCTTAAAGTAGATGGAGTGCTGCAAACAAGTCGCATAAAATGTTGGAGCTCTGTGGAAGGGGATCCGCCACCCACCAGGAACAACTTAAAAATAGAAGTCTATAATGTAGGGTGAAGGCAAAATTTTTATTTTTTTGTATCAAAAGGACATAAAAAAGAAAAGAATGTTTTGGCCGTGAGGCCTTAATCATTAATACAACATACAGTCAAGTAACACATATACCTTGGAAGGGAGAAATAAATATGTAAGTTATTAATCATACCTCTTTCACATAACAGCAGTATTTTAACCTGACTTTTGTCATTATGCCACCCATATCAACCCAACGTACCGGTCGCTTGCAGTTCCTGCAGAAGCTACATTCGCATTGGGGGCACTTGACATCCAGCTGATCTCTTTCATAAATAAACCCAAAGGAGCACTGAAAAGATAAATATATATAGTAAGATGAAAAAAGGTGGTTGTAAAATACAACCAAAAAAGGACATGCATATAGAGGATTATTTATTCAGGGAATATGTGAATAAGTCAGTATTTACAAAAACACCATGTAAAATGTATTTTAAAAAATTATAAATTAATAATAAAAAGATAGCAATGACAATATACAGCACATTAAACCAATTACTCACATGAGTACACCACAGAAACTTGGGATCCTTCATTAGTGTTCTCTCAGTCAGCTTTTTATGGAATAAATTATAGGCATCGACCTCGAGTGTGTCTCGTAACTGGAACACATGAAAAGTTAAATTGTGACTTTTAATTGTGTATCCTAACAAAACCCTCCAAAGCTTGGGTTTGCCCTATAACCCAAACCTATAGATTATATGATACTGTACTTACTAGTGTCATGTAATTTGAGGTCACAGCATTATAATAGTGCTATTAAACTTCATTGGAGTAGCAGGCCTTATTGTGTTGGGCCAACACACTAGGATGCCCGACAGCAATAAGAAGAGCACAACTGTAGAATATATGAAGGGCTACTACATATAGCACAGCCCTGGTTGGGTATGTAGAAGCAAGGACAGACGTGCATCAATTCGTCACTCATGCAGATGTTGAGCCAATAATAGTCAGGTGATCACTCTCTAACTAACCAGCAATATATAATCATGCCATAAGACTTGAGGGATCACTGCCCTAGAACTAGAAGGCAGCAGCTAACTTCAAATTACCAGACCTTTAACTAAAGAGTGCAAACCAACATAACTGCAAAACTAAAAAATTGTTGTCATCAATTTGTTGTGACTACAGGGTAAGTTAATCTAGATCTTAGTTAATGGTTAGGAAATATGGATATAAAAAAATAACTTATGTGATGTCTGTGTACTTCTCAAATACAGATCATAGCAACCTTTCTGTCTCTTGTGTATTGTACACAGTAGCTTGTGCTCACAATTAAAGATCTGTGACATAAAGGATGCTACATGTCCGATCTGGTGCTTCTAGAATGTTTAGAGTTTCAGTTTAGAGGCAAGGGTAATTGGCGATTAAATAAATTGTACTAAATGAGTCAATTTTCTCAGACATATCACACACAGATGTAAACTCATACACAACAGCATCCCTGACATGCCACCATAAACCCATGGGTGTGCCCACAAGGCAGTAATTATATCATTTATCTCAGGAGTAGGAAAATATTCTAAACAAAGCCATAATTACAAGCTAGACAGGAAGTTCAGCCATTGTGTTATCCCTCAAACCCCCTCACCCCTCAAAAAAAAACACCTCAGTGATGAGTCCTTTCAAAGCTGATTTACAATCGAGATTACTTCTCAAATACAGATCAGTATTAGTCATAACCACACAATGCTTTTTTTGGACTTCCTAAAAAGTACTCTGTAAACTATGTACATTTGCTTAATAGAAAAAAGGAAGAAATTTAAAAAAATTAAACCGCAGATAACTAGATGTGGTGGGAACAAGGCAAATAGCGACCCACAGGTGTTTTCCTACAGTGCCAGCGTCCTGTACAGCTGACCTGCATATGACCAACATTCTGAGAAAAAAAATGAGATAAAAACATTACTCAAAAGCTAACTGCTAACAAACTGGCAGATGAGAATCCCATAACTTGAAATGGGAGTTATTTTTTGCTAGCATGCAGGGAATGGGAAATCCTGCTGCGGACAGGGCAGTAACAAGTCCTATTAAACTTGACAAAGGAGATTCTAAAAACCATAGCATGCATGTCAAGTCATCAAATTTTTCAACTTGTCTATATTTATATTAAAAGACTTACCAATATATCAAGAGTAGAAAAGTAATGCAAGAGTTCACCCTCATCACTAATTTCTGGTTCCTCACATGCAGGGCACACCATGTCCCTGATGTGTTTCTCTTTGATGGCAACAGTGAAATGTGTCCGGAAACAATCTGGGCAAATGCAGCACTCACATGAGGTTAAAGAGCGCATCTGTAGGAGGGAGGAGGGGGGGGGAAATAGATAAATAAACCTGCAGTCATAGCAGAAAAAGAGAAAAAACGTTCCCAAGGGGACTTGGTCTACATGTTTTAAAAGCAAGTGTATGACAACATAACAAAGATATACATTTAAGAGGCCTGTTATATACATTGGGCAGAAGAGACAAAAAAACTTCCATATGTTTTTTTGCTGAATTGTTGAGTTAAAGGACCACTATAGTGCCAGGAAAACATACTCGTTTTCCTGGCACTATAGTGCCCTGAGGGTGCCCCCACCCTCAGGATCCCCCTCCCACAGGGCTCTGGGGAGAGGAAGGGGTTAAACACTCACCTTTCTCCAGCGCTGGGCGGGGAGCACTCCTCCTCCTCTCCGCCTCCGATCCTCCTTTTCGGCTGAATGCGCATGCGCGGCAGGAGCTGCGCGCGCATTCAGCCAGTCCATAGGAAAGCGTTCATAATGCTTTCCTATGGACGCGTGCGTCTTCTCACTGTGATTTTCACAGTGAAAAGCACGCAAACGCCTCTAGCGGCTGTCAATGAGACAGCCACTAGAGGCTTTAGAGGCTGGATTAACCCATTTATAAACATAGAAGTTTCTCTTAAACTGCTATGTTTATAAAAAAATGGGTTAACCCTAGCTGGACCTGGCACCCAGACCACTTCATTAAGCTGAAGTAGTCTGGGTGCCTAGAGTGGTCCTTTAATAATTGAGGGCCTTGTAAACAAGAAACCAGGTGAAACAGCACAATTTAACAGACAAAATATCATAAATGAAAAGTACATCCCTTGATAAACGGTGCACAGACATAAATTATTACAAAAGTGTTTTTAAAATAGGGTATAACCATCAATCCAAGATAAGGGCCCAAATGATTCATCTGCAGTATAGAAGTTGGCAGGAAAACTATATCCTCATGGTGAGTTATTCTAAGTTTATTGAAATGTGTATAATAAGCATGCAGGCAAACAATTTGAACGTTACAGAGTAATAAACAAGATTATTAAAGTGCCGTTAAGACACGAAAAGTGTTAAGAGTTATCCAGGGCTCCCCTCACTGTACATATGTAAAGGTATTACATTTCAAGGAGATCAAAGCATATTTTTTTTAATCTGAAGTCAGACTTCTTTTGTCATGTTACAAGCAGCTGTGGAACCTGCAGATGCCTCTCCTAAGTATCAAGGTCCACCTCTTGATTTATATTGTGTTTATTCTGCATACGGCATAACTAACTCCAGCAAATTTGTTCATTACTGTGTAATACACAAGGCTTAGTATTAACGAATGCATAAAAAACAAACAAAACGGTCTCCTGAGGTTTCATAAGCCTCATTTTAATTTGTTATATACTATCATGCGGGATTTAACTTGTGAGTTAAGATTTATTTTGATCATTTAGGGGATTAGACATTATGTTATTGCTTTAAGCACACAAAGTGTACTGTACATGTAAATATAAATGCGTAACTAAGGTGCTCCAACAAACCTGGAGAGCAAAACACAAATTTTCAGCAAATGCACACAACAGTCCAAGCATGCAAGTTGAATGCAAGCAGATGTTATTAGGTTCACAGTAGTGACAATGTATCGGCTCAACTAACGAGCCTTTTATCAACACATAAAAGACTGTACAAAGGTTCTATATTTGAAGCAAAACGTGGTCACTGCCGTGATCCTATTAGTTTTGATTTCATGTCAGAATCCCCTCAGAGAAGGTTCTATTTTAGAACAGTTATCACTCAGGAAGTTGCATGAAGCAGTACAGGGTTACCTTGTTTCGAGGGAATTCCCAAGCACACACTGCACACTCCTGTGTTAGCATCCTCTTGATAAAGTCACGGTCCTGTGACTCTTTCACTGCCTCCACAACATCCTGGAGATCATAACGGCCTTCTCCCTCTTGAAGTAGCTGCAGAGCCAGCTCCGCACGACCCCAACTATGCAAAGAATGCTCCGCGAGTAATCGACGGAGAACAGCCTAGGAAAGTACATATACTCATCTGTACATTACACACACACACACACAACAACTGCTCAACAATCAATGACAATTTGCAAAACATTATGAAACGTACCTGCCTGTCTGCTGAGAACACATTAATAGCTGGCTGCGGCTCTTCCCACATGCGTATGAGGAAGGGCTCTAGAAGGGGTCTTTGCAATATACAGAGTGCTTTCCCCACGTCCCCAGCACTCTCAAAGAGAGCAGCTACCACCATATCTCGATCTGTAAAACCTAGAGTGCGCAGTTCCTCCACCTGTGGAACAAAATCAAAAAAGTTAAGTAAAAATAGAAGAATTGTACCACTAACAAAACCAGAACTTGAAAAGAGCCCCTTACTAGCACAGCCATAACAAAAAGCACTGTCCTCTTGCAGATAACAAAATAGATACATTTCATACCCATGCAATTTAATGTATTTCTCTATTTGTCAAAGTACCTTGCTCCTTCTTTCAGCCACACAGAATGTCACAGCATCTTCCATTTCTCCACCACTTGAAATCCAGGCGATGCGTGCTTCATCCGGAGTTAAAATGCCAATCTCCGTTCCAGCCCTCTGCGATGCTGCATCAATAACATGTTCAACCACATAGGGGAGTTCAGTTTGAAGCCACCGTAGAGGCACCTCTGTACCAGAGTATCGCACTGCACTGCATATTTCCTCAGGGGAGACCCAGCTTCTCTCCCCTTCCTGCAAGCATCAAGAGTTAGTGTTTTTTTTTACATTTTAAATGACCATGTTATGCATCATTTTAAGATGCTGTGTAAACAAGTACTAAGCCACAGAACATAATAGGCATATTATATATATATATATATAAAGGCAACACAGGTTCACAATATGAGGTTTAGAAAATAAACATCTGTGCAATTATGATGCTATACAATCATTTAACAGAGGGAGAGTTACTGCTGGTCTGTGTGAAGGTCTGAAAATGTCTAAATTGAGCCATAAAATGAGTCTAAAACTTGCACAATTAATGATAGTAGATTATGTAGACTGTAAGCTCGCCCTACAGACTGTAACCCCGTTTGAGCAGGGCCCTCTTCATCCTATCGTTTCTGTAAGTTTTCTTGTAATTGTCCTATTTATAGTTAAATCCCCACCTCTAATAATATTGTAAAGCGCTACAAATCTGTTGGCGCTATATAAATGGCAATTATAATAATAATAATGCAGGGGTTTTTTTTTGTCACTGAATTTGTAGTACTACAGATTATTGGCAATTCCAGAAGAGCCTTGAGCGACTGCTCATTAGATGGAAATGGAATGGACATAGACCAATTTCTAAATACAAGAGGCAGAACGGTTTGTAAGCAACACCCAAAAAGTTCCTGTGTGTCCTCTAGAAATCCAAATTCTGCACTTATACCATTTGTTTGACGTAAAACATGCCACTTACCCTTATAAGCGCCACTAATTTTGCTCCATCCTCACTCAATTTCTTCTTTCTGATTTCCTCCTGGTAACATGAGAGTTTCTGTGTATCCTCAGTTTGTTGAACCTCTGAAACTGCAGCACATTCGCTGGTCCTATCGCACATTTCACAAACCCGTCCACTTTTAATATTATAGAATGTACAATGGGAGCACTGCCAGCCCTGGTGATCATATCAATGTCAGAGAGCAAAAATATACAAAGAAATAAAAAAATAAAAAAACAAAAAAAAAACACACACAACAAACAAAACAGGAGTAAACTAATATAATACATTACCTGCACATTAATGTGACTATCCTCCCCCTTATCATCTTTAAGTGGACTGATGCTTTCCAGAGAGCCCCCTGTCTCATTTTGGATATGCATTGGTAGATCAGTGGCCTGCTTTTCTGAAATCTTATGACTTCCTATGTCGTAGCATTGCATATGCTTTTGGATGCTGCAGTCAGGGAAAATTGAACCTTTACCAGAGCCCACTTGCGAAATCATTTGGGACTCATGGCAATCTATTAAGGAAATAGGAGAGGCCTCCTGGTTGTCTCTTGATGGCCTGCTGGCTAGTCTTGGTCGTTCACATACAGCACACAGCACAGCAGAGGAATCATTTTGCAGAGTGCAAGCCATACACACCCAGCTGTCTCTCTTTAATGAACTCCCTAATGAAGGACTAGACGGGCTACTTGCACAGCCACGTGGACGTTCACATCCAACACAAAGCACTGATACCCCACGGTTTAGATTATGGCAAGTGGCACACTGCCATAGTGGACGAGAAGCTGAAACTGGCACTGAAACATGCCCTGGAGACCTAAAACATGATAAAACATGTCAATAACACCCCAAGCTAGTTGTCTAAATTAACAGACACCATTATGATTGTTAAACAAATACAGAAGTCAGCATTTACAAATAACGTTTGTTTAGATCTCTTGCCTATATTATTGGCTTTGCTGTGCAAATCAAATGTTCTTACAGCATTGCAAACTATAAAGAGATCTTCTTAAATGTAGTTATACTTTTCCTTGGTGCTCTTTCTTTGTTGCTTTGTCATGCTACAATTCTTGGTTATATGCTCTTATAAAAGACAGAGTTTTATCCGGACCTCTCTGTAAATAATATAGCCAAAATGCTGCCCTTAGAGAACATAAAAATGTCTTAAATGATCGCTATAGGGTCAGGAACACAAACCCTGACCCTATAGTGTTAACACCACCATCTAGCCCCCCTGGACACCTCATGCCTCCATAAATATAGTAAAAATCTTACTGTATTCAAGCCTGAAGCTGTAACTCTGCATGCTGTTAGACTCATAAAAACAACAGTCTGCTGACATCATGAGAAGTGGTAGCCTGATCCAATCACAGTGCTTCCCCATAGGATTGGCTGAGACTGACAAAGAGGCAGATCAGGGGCAGAGCCAGCATTATTCAAACACAGCCCTGGCCAATCAGCATCTCCTCATAGAGATGAATTGAATCAATGACTCTCAATGAGGAAAGTTTAGTGTCTGCATGCAGAGGGTGGAGACACTGATGGCAGTGTTGCACACTAGGCAGTACTGCCCTAGGAAGCACCTCTAGCAGCCATCTAAGGAGTGGCCAGTGGAGTTTTTTCTCTGCAAAGACAATGTTTACTGCAAAAAGCCTGGAGACACTGAATGTTTGGATGTAATTTAGGCAGCCATGACCCAGGCATGATCTCTAACAGACATCTGAGGAGTAGCCAGTGAAGTTATCACTAGGCTATAATGTAAACACTGCATTTTCTCTGAAAAGGCCTGAATGTAATGATTCTACTCACCAGAACAAATTCAATAAGCTGTAGTTGTTCTGGTGACTATAGTGTCCCTTTAAGTAAAACAAAAGATTATGACATATATACATAAGTGTCAAACAAACATTATTATTTTATTAATTTCTCTCTCTTAATAGTGTACTGTTTGTTTGGAATGTACTTATCTATATCATATCTGTATAGAAGAATTAAGCCTAAGGATATGTAACATTTGTATACTGATAGACAAAAAGATTGTAACTGTAGGAATTTGTGCCCATTCTTTAAAAAGAGCATCTGTGGGATTAGAGGATCTCGTTCACAGTCGGTGTTCCAGTTAATCCTAAAGGTCTCCATTCTGGTTCAGGTCAGGGCAGGACACTCGCGTTCCAAACTCTTAAAGCATGTCTTCATGCACCTTACTTGCACAGGGGGAAAGCATGCTGGAACAAGAGAGGGCCTTTCCCAAACTGATGCCACAAAGTTAAAAATAAAGAATTTCCTTTGTATCCTGGAGCATTAAAATGACCCTTCACTGGAACAAAGGGACCTAGGGCAAATCCTAGTACACAACCCCAGACCGTTATCATAGCAGGCAGTATGCACTCTGGCATGAAGCACAAGCAGAATCTTCCAACAGACCCAAGTGAACATGTTTCCACTGCTCCAGAGTCCAGTGGCAGTGAGTTTTACACCACTCCAGCCTACACTTGGCATTGCACATGTTGATGTGAGGCTTGCATATATCTGCTTGGCCATGGAAACCAATTTCATTAAGCTATTAACACACAGTTCTTGTGCTGATGTTGCTTCCAGAGGTAGTATGGAACTCTGAAGTAAGTGATAGCATATTTTTTCCTCCTGCACACTTCCACTTCACAATAATTTCAATAAAAGTTAACCGAGGTAGCTATTCAGTCAATGAGCTCTTCAGTATGACCCGTTGTACTGCCAATGTTTGATTACAGAGATTTCTTAACTATGTGTTGGATGTTATGTACCTATTAGCAACAAGGTTGAAACACGTATGGTGATATATTGTGTGTGTATAAACCTTGTAATACCTTTTTATTGGATTAACTGAATTCAGACAACCTTTCCAACAACACAAAACAGAGAATTTAAGCTTGAGCAGTGATACAGGTGTTTAAAATCGGGGAAAAAAGTGGAGTGGAAAAAAAATTAAAAAGAAGAAGAAGAAAACTAGATTCTCATTCTTCCAGGGGTCCCACATATACAGTGTAAGAATAAGAAAGTGAGGAGAAATATATTTAGACATACACACACACACGTATAAATGTATTTGCAACAACAGAGTCGCTAAGTGTAATCTGTGCAACATTTAAATGCAGTTATAACATTTAAGCACAATGTCCTCAAATATACAGAAAATAGGTATTACCTCTGTGTTCCTGATGTGCCACAAGATGAACGCTGGTGATGTACGCGATTGGGATGTGTATGTACTCTGTGATCACACGAGGTGCACAACATGTCATTACATGAGGAGCACCACACGGAAACTGTGGGCACACCACAAAGACAGCATCCAGTTGAGACAGGTACTAAGGAAAATAAAAATAAAAAGAAGGTATGAAGACGAAATATTTCACATCTCCTTTAATAAAGAAAAGTCAGTCTCGTTGAGAGCATGTATTTGTGACAGAGTTAACAAAAAGGTAATGTAAAAGAGTGGATCCAGCACCTGAATTTGAGGTTTTTCAAATTTTGCTATGAAAAGGAAAATGCCAAGCACCATAATCACAAAATGACATAGTGGTTATCATACCAGGAGTGCATTTTCTTAACTGGGGTCTGCCAAGCCCCACTTTCCACCTCCACTGCAGCCTACAGGAGAGTCAGAAGCTATTTCTCTGATAGCTTCTAATCTCTTCAGTGCATGACTTCGCTCATTGGTTGAGTCATCTGCTGACACACTGAGCCAATGAGATAGCCCTGCATTGCAAGGTTTAGCTCAGGAGAGTCAACGGAAGCTTCTGATCAGGAGCTTCCCGTTTTCCTTCTGGCTAAGAGGAGGCATTGAGCAGCACACTGCAGACAGGTAAGAATTTAAACCATACTAAAACATTTGAGACTAATTACAGTGGGGAAGGGGGCACAGGGACACTCACTGTACCATAACAACTACTTCTGTATGGAAAGGGATTCTTTAAAGAATATATTTGGTCATACATGACTGATCCTTAAAAGCTCTTTCCTTGGCCAGTAAATTTAGGCAAGTTAAACTATGTATCTCTATTGAAGTGGCTTTATTAGATATTCATCCTCCTAAGACCCCTTTCAAGATACAATTTCACTATTCTATTTTGGTGGCTTGAAAAAGTCCTTCCTCCATCTCTATCCCCTTTCGCCAAAAAGTGTACTCATACCTATCCACAATTATCGGGTAAGATAAATTCTTGGCTAACATTAACGTACAAATTGTCAAAGTAGCCAAGCTGGAAGCTCCCTTTGATTTTGAAATTCACTCTGAATTCCTGACAATTCTCACTTTAGTGAATAACCCTTTCAGAGAACTGTATACTTCTGGTGATTTAAATTTTATATAAGGGAAAAGAAAATGAGTACGAGAGAATGTTAAAAAATAAAAAGATGAGGCTTGAAAGAATAAGGGAAATGGAAAAATTACAAAGAGAAAAAAGAAACACCTCCTCTCCCTTTTTTTGTTGTTCTGCACAATCAAGTTTATATATGAACACACAGGGTTATTTACTGAAGTGACAATTGTCAGGAATTCAAAGTGAATTTCAAATTTAAAGGCAAAACAGCTGAATTGGAAAAATTCTCCAAGCAAGCTATGCTTCTAGTTAAGCTATATTGGTCTAAAATTTAAAATTGTAATTTGACTCCTGACAATTCTCACTTAACAGGGTACACTAAACACAGGATTTGGTCTGAATGGACAAAATTCAGAAAACAAATTGCAGAATTTCAACCAAAATGGAAATTTTTTTACCAACGCAAATTCAAGTCAGAATTCTGTCAAATGCATTTGGCGTCTGGTTGAAAATTAGTGCTTTCACATTCGAAAATATATACAAAGCACCGGTTTTAAACTGAAATTGGGACCAAATGCATTAAGCAAGATGCATGATTGCAAATTATTGTTCACTTGCTTATTGCAAGCAAAGGGAAATTTTAGGTTTTATTTGCCCACTGGAGCTTGGAGTTGGAAGGCAAATAGTTAAAAAAAATCATTGGCGGTAAATCATGCTAGCCAGCCACCACATTAAATAAGTGAAAAAAATAAATATATTTATTAAAATTATAATTTCCCTTCTGGCCCACCTGCCATGCTATGGGTGGGGGCAGATCTACTTTACAGTAAGCAGCCATGCAGATAGGACGTCTTATAATGGGGGAAACCTGTCCCAGGTCCACCCTGTGTTCTCACCTGTGTGCATTAACCCCTTAAAGACACATGACGGAAATATTCCGTCATGATTCCCTTTTATTCCAGAAGTTGTGTCATTAAGGGGTTAATTGGATTTTTTAAATGAAATAATGGTGTGTGAAAAGATCACTATTCAAGCAGTGCCTCCACCTGTGGCCTGGGGATGGGGCTATTAAATAAAATGACTAGGATATCCCCCCTGGCCTGTTGTAAGTTGATGGAGGTTACTTATTAAAATAAACAAGCTCAGCGTTTCCCCAGCTCCCACCCACATGTGGCAGATGGGGGTCATTTAATACCAGGAGGGAGCTATGTTAGCGCTGCCAACGAGCAAAGAGTTTGGATTTTTAAAATCAGGCTATGGATCTCAGCAGTCTGCAGCTTTCAGTGTGGCTTACATCAAGACCAAATACAATCTTGTTCGGAGCCTGCTCTACAATATCCAGACATTGTTAAATAGTGTGGACACTGTCCAGATTTTACAGTCCAGTTGGCCCAGTACAAATGGTTTTGCCCCATTTAGTACAGGTCCATTCGAACTTTAGCGAATAAACCTGTTAATAAATAATACTGTTTATTTTAAATTGCATGTGTTGTATGCTCTTGTAAAGAACTAGTATAATGGATATTCTTATTGTACACATTTAAAATAAAGAAAAATATACAAATCTAAAACATATAATAAGCCAACGAAAGGATGTCAATGTCATAGGCAGATTTAGATTACCTGAAGGAGGAATTTGAGAAGCAACTGATGAATCTGGAACAAGAGAAGGCTATAGAAACAAGAATATGTGAGAAATATTTTTTTATTTTTTTTAAACAGAACACATTATTTACACAGGACAAAGCCATTTCACAAAAAATCAGCTCTTCATACCTGTCGAAGTCCTCCATTCAAAAGTTCCTTTGCTGCGTCTACCTGGCGTGGATGGGAGTTCTAAACAAAATAAAACCTTGCCACGTCAGATATTTCAAACAAATAAGGACTTTGAGTTCTTTGTTTAACCTAACAAAAGGAGTAGGCAAATTCTAGAACATGACAGCGGGGCTCACAATGCTTAGTCTCCACTAGCCACTGGCAAGTGCAAATTTAGCCCAGGCAAGTGTACCATGGACCCTCCGGGTTTGCAGTAGGAATTAACTTTGTAAGACGGATTAGGACTGTCCATTTTAATTGTAAGCTCTAGAAGTCCTGGCAGGTCGCCTATCTTGAAGGATGTTATAGATGTAATGGATTTTGTCTTAATTGTTTACTTTAGAAATATACATCTATGAAGAATAGTTTATGTACAGGCACATCAAAACTAGAGCCTAAAAAGTCAAATGGCTGCATGGTTTGCAACTTTGCTAGCATTCAGTTCCTTATTTCCAACAATGAGGATTACAAGACTGCATGCACCAGATGATCATGGATACATTTGTTTTTATATTTTTTTAAAGTGTGACATGGAGGTAGCTGAATGAAGCATTTTGTAATTATTTTAGGTTGGAATCATAAAACCAAAAATCCACATTGAAATCTGAGTCCAAATAGCTGTAAGGCCCTCACCGAGATGAGAAGGTTGAGTTCGTGATGGAGGATAATGACATCAGCAGTTACTGCAGCTACAGTAGGAATGTCTGGCTCCTTCACACTTTCTGGGAAGCTGAGACCATCAGGAAGAGAGCACGAGTATCCATACAAGGAGAGAACAAGACGTCCACCCTAATGGAAAAAGACAGTAAAAGTTGGTACCTAGATTCATACATAAACATATAAGTAAGAAAAGAAACAAGTTCGTTTTATATTCAGTCTAGCAGAGCACAGGTAGAGATCAGGGAAATGTAAATGCAAGGGGAGGGGGATAAGGGAAGGCTCTGTGACAGGCTTTTTTTTTTTTTTTTAATATACAACTGTAGCATTGTACTGGTTTCTTTTTACAGTAAACATCTGGTGTTTTATTCTATTATGCAAAGTGAACAATGATTAAAGGAGTTGGTTAATGTATGTATAAATACAATAAATAGCTGGATATATACATATAATCAAACGGTTAAAATGTGCAAACATAATGTCACTCATACCTCAACTGCATCCACCTGGGCTTTGAATACTGGATTGTTAAACTTGACACTCCTCCAAAACTTGGGACGATTAGGGGACAATAAGTTCCTTCCATATTTCTCCAGAATATTGAGAGCAGTTATAACAGATCTTAAAGGTGGTGTCTAGTGGACAAAAATGACATATTACTTGTGGGGATATTTATGGGATAATAATAGTAAACAGTTGAGAATTGCCCACTAATTCAATTCTCAGATCCCAAATAACGTTTATCGTGTTAAGTGAGAAGTATTTCATATAAATAATCACAATGTTATAAAAATAGATTTTATTTATAATAACAAATTAATTAATAATAATAATATGTAACATGCGTGATAATAATCAATGAATATCCAGTATAAAATGGTATGCAATACAAAGAAATGGCTACACACGTCTCAACGGCTAAACAGCATTTTCTGTCAAGTCTTCTGATTTATGAGGTATCTTTAACACAGACTGAAAGTGAAACTTTTCACAGCGAAGGGCCATAAAACCCTGGCTAACAGTTAGAATAACCCTTTCAATGCTGGCTAGATCTCCTAGGTAGTTAAGATCTATTCTTATGTAATTTTAAATAAAATAACACTTAAACCAGTTCATTAGTCATTTCCTGGAACCATCCAATAAGAGAATCTACCACATTATATAAGCAGAGTTTAATTTTAATTTGTCTAAAAGATATCTTATCTTAATTTAGAGCAAATCAATACACCTGGATAAAAACAGCAGTATGCTAACACGTGATAATATCACATTAATATATAATTATTCTTAATTCCACCTGCAGAATGGAATTTTTATAACTATATATTCTTTAGTTAACTAAGATTTCTTAATATGGAAATCTGACCGTGCTTTATCCTAGTCATATATCATGCTATTAATACATTTTAATGAATTTAATTAATTAACTGAAACCAGTATAATTACCAGTTGAGTAGATATTTCATCCGATTGGTAGATAGTCTCAGGAACTTATTTGGATGTCTGTAGGTGCATGAGTTATGGTGAAAGGTGGTGTTGGTTAGAAAGTCAGTAAAATTCTAAGTGTTAGAGTTTTAAGAGTAGAGTGTTAGTCTCAGATGTTGTCCGAGTTGGAGTCCCCAAACTTCCAATTCCTCTCTCCTCTTTTTCTTTCTCCTTTGCATCCCCTCAATCTTCCCTTTGTCCTAACTTTTAAAGGGCCAGACTCTCTGTATGTCATCAGTTGATAACCCAATAGAAGCACTAGAGGTGTGGTTATCTTCCAGATCGCAAATTAGGTATTTGGTCTATAGAGGGCAGTCTTGTCCCACTAAACATACCTATCCAGGAAAGAGTTAACTTTTCCTGGTGGCTATTTTGAGTAATTTTGGCCTATCTCTATCTTTGCTATAACTTAGATTGCTGTCGGATAAAAACAGTTTCTTTAAGTTTTGTCCAGACTATGTGTCTGCAAATCTGAGTTTTGACCCGTAACTTACAATGGGACCTTACACATATAGACAGTAAAATTAAATTATTTAATCTTCTCTGTCACAAATGTCTGGGTTTAGAATTGATTATATTCCATTAGCATTTTAGACAGCCTATCCAACCCCCCTTTCTGCTTATCATTTGGTTTGTTTATAATATGCATTCCTTTAGCTCTGGCAAAAATGGTTAGTTTTACAGATAGAAATCTTGTGTCTTTTTGTTAACTTGAAAATAACAAAATGGAGTCTGGTCTGGTCTGTTCAGAGTGACTCAGAATATACACTTTTAATTTCTATCATAGCACAAGATGTTTGCCGATATAAATACCCTGACATACTATTGATCACTTTGAATAATTACATTAAAAGGAAACTGTTAAGTCCCATGATAGTTTATATTATTTACGTGTATATTTTTTTTTCACACCTCATAAATAAAAATGATATATTATTATTATCCAGCATTTGGGCCCCTCCTTGTTAACTTGAGTTAATTAGTTAGGACACTGCAGCAAACTCATTCACTATGAATTAAAGGAATACTGTAAGCACCAAAAGCACTGCATTTTTTTTTTCTTTGTAAACAATTAATTGGATTAAACCAGCGACAAGGAAGCTATGCCTCCTTGATGATGTTGCATCAGACGGGGAGGTGAGTAGTGCCGAGGGAGTCTCTGCACTTGAAAAGCGTGAGTATAAATCTTCTGTTTACAGTTTTGGGGTTTTTAACCGGAAGAGTGAGGGGTCCTGAATCTAACTAGAGACAAGGGGTACTGTAGTGTTAGGAATAGGTTTTAAATGAACACTATAGCGTTGGTAATACAATCTATAGTACTATCTTGCTATTATTCATTTGTGATTTTGTAATTATTATTGGAGTGGTATGTTAGCTCCCCCATTCAACTATTTTTGACATCACACTCAATACCCAATATAATGTACTTTACATATTAATGAATAAAGGTTTTTGACAACTTGGGAATGTTTTAGGCAGATGTAATGTATTCTTTTCAAGGATTGATTTACTTAGAAATTGAGTATATACACTGATCAGCCACAACATTGAAACCACCTGCCTAATATAGTGTAGCCCCCCCTCGTGCAATCAAAACAGCACTGATGCGTCAAGGCATGGACTCCTCAAGACCTCCTGACATGTTCTGTCTTCTCTGACACTAAGATATTAGCATGAGATCCTTTGAGTCCTGCAAGTTGTTATGTGGAGTCTCCATGGATCAGATTTGTTGTTGCAGCACATCCCACATATGCTCAATCACACGGAGATCAGGGGAATTTGGAGGCCAAGGCTGATGGGAAGTACAACATCATGTACTGTACCATGTGTATGAATAGAACTTGAGCTGTAGATGGCGGTGATTAGTTCAGCTTACGGTTTTTGTATCCCTGTGACCTTGTTAGGCTACTCACAGGAAGTAAGTTCTGTTTTGCTCTCTCTAGCTCCTACCTTTTTAATTGGGTATAACGGCTGCTGTTTTTCAAGCAGCTGGTGTTCTCAATGCTTAGCGTTTTATCCATATAAGTAAAGCCTAATGCTGCAATCTCACAAGCTTCCCGTGTCCTTTCCTGGTATATAACCAATGAAGGTTACACCTTACACAAATCTTTGTCATGTTCCTTAAACCATTCCTGAAAGTTTGCAGTGTGCCAGGGTGCATTATTCTTAGGTGAAAAAAGGCCACTGCTATCAGTGAACACCATTGCCATGAAGGGGTGTACATGGTCTCCAACAATCTCTTGGTAGATAGTACCTGTCAAAGTAACATCCACATGAATGCCAAGACCCAAGGTCTTCCAGAAGAACAGTACCCAGAACATAACAACACTGCATCCGCTGTCCTGCCTTTCCACAGTGCATCCTGCAGACATCTCTTCCCGAGGAAAATGATGCACACACTCCTGTCCATCCACCTGATCTAAATGAAAACATGATTTATCTGACTAGGCAACCTCCTTCCATTGCTTCAGTTCAGTTCTGATGCTCATGTCCCCATTGAAGGTGCTTTTGGCGGTGGACAGGGATCATCATGGGCACTTTGACCGGTCTGCGGCTATGCAGCCCCATACAGAGCAAACTGTGATGCACTGTTTGTTCAGACACCTTTCTATCATGGTCAGCAATATGTTTTCAGTAATTTGATTTACAGTAGCTCTTAAGTGTGATCGGATGAGGCAGACTAGTTTTCACTCCCTACGTGCATTCATGAGCCTTTGGTGCCATGACTCTGACGCTGGTTCACCGATTGTCCTTTCTTGCACCACTTTTGGTAGGTACTCACCACTACATACTAGGAACACCCTACAAGACTTGCAGTTTTGGAGATGCTCTGTTCCAGTCGTCTAGCCATCACAATTTGTCAATTGTCAAAGTCACTCAGATCTTTTTGTTTGCCCATTTTTCCTTCTTCCAACACATGAAATTCAAGAACTGACTGTTCCCAACTCTTGACAGATGCCATTGTAACGATATAATCAATGTTATTCACTTCGCCTGTCAGTGGGTTTAATGTTGTGGCTGATCAGTGTATATTCACCATTGGATGTTAGAGAAATTTTAATAAAACCCATATCTCAGGAATAGCCGCCACACTATTTTCTTTTTTGTTTTTTTACTACTAAAAATGAAATAGTAAAAAAAATTAAAATAAAAAACAACAAAAACATATCAAACAGCAAAATAGGAAAGTCCCTATTAACTAACTGCAACCCGTCCCACATTCTTTGGTATTTCTACTTGAGAATTTGTAAGATTTTGAAGAAACACACAGGTAAAAAGTCACACTTTCTCTCATCTATTTATTAGTGCATTGTTAAAGGTAAACTAAGGAGTCCTACTACTTCCTAAAACTAAAGCAGGTACTTACAGGTTAGTAAACAAAAATAGATTTATTTTCTAAAGTGAGAATCGTTGGGAATTCAAAATAATTTTAAATGTAAACTGAAAATAGCTGAATTGGAAAAGGACTCCAAGTCAGCTATGCTGCCAGTTTAGCCATTTTGGTATAAAATTTTAAATTATCTCAGATTTTAATTTCTGAGGATTCTGACATTAGTAAATAATCTTGTCACTATATTTAGAGTAGTATGGTTTTAAAAAAGAAAATAAATTCCTGCCCTGGACACAGACAAAGTTTGCAATGAAATCTGTAATAAAAGGCATTAGCTTGTGAGAATCATTAGAAACGGCTATCAGTGTTCTTGCCTCAGTCACTGTCAAGTAAACAAGGCAAGGACAAACTTATATTTTCCATGGTGTGTTTAACTAAACAGTAAATAAGCTATATAGTATACAACTTTGTTGAGTTATTTTTCCTAACTGACCTATCTACAACTGGCCGTTTTAAGAGACACTATAGTCACCAAAACAGTTTAGATCATGCCTCTCAAGATTCTCTGCTCACGTCACTGCCATTTAGAAGTTCAATCACTTTTGTTTCTGTTTATGCCGCCCTAGTCACACCTCGTCAGGCTGTAACTGACACTGCCCGAATGAAAAAAATGGTTACATTTTCAATCAGTTGTAATTTATTTTTAAAGTTTTTATCTCCTGCTCTGTAAATTTAACTTTAATTACATACAGGAGGCTCCTTTAGGTTCTAGTAGACTATTAACTAAGCAAGGGGTAAAGAGAATTTGCAATAAAGGAAATGTAAATTAGATGACACTTTACATGTAGAGTTTAGGAAAGCTGTGCAAGTCACATGCAGAGAGGTGTGACAAGGGCAGTAGAAATAAAGTAATTTAACTCCTAACAGGCAGAGAATTGAGCAGTGAGACCGCAGGGGCATGATCTATACACCAAAACTGCATCATTAAGCTAAAGTTGTTTTGGTGACTATAGAGTCCATTTAACCCCTTAAGGACAAAACTTCGGGAATAAAAGGGAATCATGACATGTCACACATGTCATGTGTCCATAAGGGGTTAATGAACCCTTTTATCTTATTTCTATGTATATTTTGGAAGTATACCTGAGTTCCACCACGAAGCAGAGTCTCCACATCTAGTCTTCTATAACGTTCTTTTAGGGAGACGTGCAACATTTCATTCAGGCGCTCACAGGTCACAGTGTCTGGATGGTCTATCAAATCACATTCCAGAGCATCTCGTTGCTCTTTTTCTAACATATCTTTAGAAATGGCACAAATAGGTAGGAATCAGTTATGTTTTTATTTCAGATATATGGAATAAGCACAGATATTATAAACAATAATATGCCCAGCAGAAAACGTTTGCACTTACCGTATTTATCGGCGTATAACACGCACCGGCGTATAACACGCACCTCATTTTAAGAAGGAAATTTCAGGGAAAAAAAACTTAAAGGACCACTATAGTGCCAGGAAAACGAGTATGTTTTCCTGGCACTACAGTGGTCCTTTAAGTTTTTTCCCCCTGAAATTTCCTTCTTAAAATGAGGTGCGTGTTATACACCCTCAGGGACCCCCTCCCGCCGGGCTCTGCAGAGAGGAAGGGGTTAAACACTTACCTTTCTCCAGCGCCGGGCGGGGAGCTGTATTTCTCCTCTCCTCCTTGCTCGCGACGTCATCGGCTGAATGCAAATGCGCGGCAGGAGCCGCGCGCGCATTCAGCCGGTCGCATAGGAAAGCATTTACAATGTTTTCCTATGGACGCTTGCGTGCTCTCACTGTGATTTTCACAGTGAGAAGCACGCAAGCGCCTCTAGCGGCTGTCAATGAGACAGCCACTAGAGGCTCTGGAGGCTGGATTAACCCTCAGTATAAACATAGCAGTTTCTCTGAAACTGCTATGTTTATAAAAAAAGGTTAATCACCAGAGGGACTGGCACCCAGACCACTTCATTAAGCTGAAGTGGTCTGGGTGCCCAAGTGTCCCTTTGAAATTTCAAATAAAGAACTTCTTACCCCCCCTTTTCTTATACCCCTCCCCTCAACTGCTTACTTCTCTCCCCTCTTACACACCTTCTTGCTCCCCTCTTCTTACCCCCCCTTTCTTACTCCCCTCCCCCCTCTTCTTGCTTCCCTCCCCCTCTTGCCACACCCTTCTTACTCCCCCTCCCCTCTTCTTACTCCCCTTCCTCTTACCCCCCTTTCTTACTCCCCCTCCCTCTTGCCTTTCTTACTCCCCCCTCTTCTTACCTCTTGTTGCCCCCCCCTCCCTCTTCCAGCCCTCCCCTTTCTTACCCCTCCTCCCCTCTTGTTACCCCCCTCCCTCTTCTTAGCCCCCTCCCCTCTCTTACTCCCCACTCCCCTCCCCCCCTCTCTTACTCCCCACTCCCCCCTCCCCTGTAGCGTGGCCGAGCCGCTCTGCTGTCCGTGGTGGCCGGCCGGCCGGAGTGATAGGAAGGTGCATGCTCAGTGTGCACCTTCCTGTCAGTCCGACCGGGTACAGGAAACAGAAACTCCTGTTCCGCGCGGAACAAGAGTTTGTTTCCTGTACCCGGTCGGACTGACAGGAAGGTGCACACTGAGCGTGCACCTTCCTATCAGTCCGGCCGGCCACCGCGGACTGCAGAGCGGCTCGGCCACGCTACAGGGAAGGTGAGTACCAACTGCAGCCGCCTGAGCGCTCTTGACAGAGCGCTCAGGCGGCTGCAGAATTTAAAGGGCCGGCGTATAACACGCACCAACGATTTCTCCCCTATTTTCAGGGAGAAAAAGTGCGTGTTATACGCCGATAAATACGGTACTTTTTAATAATAATAATAATAATAATAATAATAATAATATGGTATTTAAATTTTGAATTGGACAGCAACACTGTATTCATTGTCATACGATACAGAACAGTGGCCAACCTCAGAGGCATCTAAATGAAGTGGTGTGGGTGCTGGATCCCTTTTGAACTATAGCACTGCAATGTTTACATTGCAGCTCTTAGTCTGCCCATAGTGGCTGTCTACCAGACTCGAAACAGACCTTTGCATGAGGACTCCAGCATCAGATTTTTCCCCATAGTAAAGCATTGATTAATGCTTTCCTATGGGGAAATCTGAATGCGAGAGCGGTCATTGCTGAGGAGGAGGAGGAGTATGGGCAGAGCCTGACCCAGCGCCGAGGGACATTGTCACTGGAATCGGGTAAATTACTGAAGGTGTTTTAACCTCTTCAGCGCAACGGGAGGGGGCACATTAGGAACCTATATTGCCAGGAAAACGGCTTTGTTTTCCTGGCACTATAGAATCCCTTTAACTGGTTATTCATTAACCAATGACTCTCAGTGACCCACCAAACAGACACAAACGCTTTTCCCATGCTGACGTGCATACACTGTGTACCGAGAGTGCTACTAGCCTCCGACACACAAGTGCAAATATCTCTAGAGAAATACAGACTCCCACCATGACCCCTTCTAAAAAGCAGAACCCTTTAACTTTTATTTCACATGATGCTGTTTTTGTATAAAGTATGTAGATTTACTAGTGCTATCACAATCCAATTGACTCCTGGTACAATCAGGCAATGCAGTGCAAATAAGGAAAACCAACAGTTTCAGTTTCTCCTCTTTCTCCATGTTAGATGGCAAAAAAGAGAAACGTATATTAAAGATGACTGACAAGTATAGTATTAAATTCTGTTTGCAACATGGGGACCTACTAAAAGGAATGACAGACATGTACAGTGGTCAATAATGAAATAAATAACGTGCAAATTACGACCACCAGTGACTTTGGACCATATGTATCAGAGCTAAAGCATGTGCTATACTTCTGCAAAGTGCTGAAGAAAGAGCAATCTCCATGGAAACCAACAGAATGTTTCTAAACATCTAGCACCAGAACAGTAACTATTGTGCCTTGATAATCAGGATCCCCTTGAGTCACCTCCACCTCCATCTCTCCTAAGCACCTGTTACTCTGTTACTTGCAACTTTGCTCAATTTTTATTATAGAATGTGCCTGGTGCAAAGTACAGCTCAGACTAGCAAGACCTAAAAAGCCAAATCATTACCCTCCAACACTTGAGCAGATTTCCTATACTGAGCCCAGTCTCACCCCCCACCCCTAGCCCGAACTAACAAATGCCTGTCCTGTAAGTGGATTATAGTAATTCATTTTATAATTCTATTTACATTCTGACAGCCACACCCCCCAGCACACCACCTCACCCACCCCATTCCCTTACAGCCCTCACATGACATGATCATACATTAAGCGATACCACGTCTTACAAATTGCCCCTGTGCTCCCCCTCCCGACAAAGTTATTGCTCCCACCCCACCCCACCCCACCCCACTCACTCACTGACTGACTGACTCCGGTTGTGTTGTGTATATTGCAGTTCTCCTCCAGGAAGTGTGAGGGTGAGTGACCCTGACTCCGGAAGTATGGCTGCTGTCAGATGTTCGGTGGTTCCGGGGATCCTGCTTAGTAAACTGGACTGGTTATCATGGTCCCGCCTGCAGCCAGTAACAGGACCGGGGGAACGTGCGTAGTGTCAGGGGGTTTCACGGAGCGGCTTCCATGCCAGACACTGATCACATGACCTGCTGAGTAATGCTGGTAGCGGGCGGTCACTGCACTCTATGGGCTGGATCTACACTCCGCTCACTGTAGTCTGATGGCTATCGCAGTATTCACTAAGGGACAAGCATATTTTGTTGTAATGGTAGGGCACCAAAGTAAAAAATAGAATTCCTTCCTCAGGAAAATTTTCATGTAGGGTTTATTCACTAAGTAGTGAATTGAGGTGAGTAGAAAATCGAATTGGAAAAAAATCAGGGTTACTCACTAAACACTGAATTTTGTTCAGGTGGATAAAATTAGGTAAAATGGCCAAATTCCAGCCATGGCAATTCTCATATTTACTAAAGACAACTCTGGTCAGAATTTGGTCAACCTGACCGAATCCATGTCTCCCAACCATCCTGGTTTTCAGCGGACAGTCACGATGTTCAGGTCCTGTCCTACCTTCCAGACACCAAGGAGCTGTCCCCAAACCGTAGGACTAGAGAATCATAATATGTGCAATTTCTACACTCGGGTCACTAGGTCAATGCAGAGAGCAGTGAAACAGTGCTCTCTGCATGGTTTCCCATGTGGGCTAACTTACTCATGCCAGGCTTACCTGCCAATAATCTGGGAAATAATGTGCCTTTGGGCAGAGCGTCACCGGATCACCCCCCTTTACCTCCTCCCAGCAACATCCCACTTTTTGGGATGCCAATGTTGGGGTTATGCAGATCTGCACTAATCAGTTGGATGCATCAGGTGTCTGGTTCAAATTTAGTGACTTTTGCATACAAACCCTATACAAAGTATAGGATCTGGAATATGTAAAAAGTACAGATTGTAAAAAGAAAATCTGGACGAATTCATTTACTTGTGTTTTAATCGGCACTGCTGTCAGGCAGATGTTTTTTTTTTTTAAATCTTAGTAATGCAAGGGTTAACCGTGTGATGGTTGGCTAGCGCTTGCAAGCCAGCCACCACATTTAAAAAAAAAAAAAAAAGGTGCTTCGTACTTGACATCATATACAATCAGTGAGCTGGACAAATCACATATAAAAGAAGAGGGTATATTTTTGTGTCCATGCGGAAGTAATTGCTTTCCCCAAATGTTCCAGCCTCAGACTTATAGAGGGTGATTTATCAAAGTGTCTCTGACAATTTTACATCTAAGTAAAAGGGACATTCCACTGCCCAAATTAAAAATAAAAATCGCTGTTTAGTAGATATATCCCAAATGAAGGCACGCATTTAATTATGCATTTTTGCATTGGGGATGTATCTACAAACAGCACAAAAAAACCTGCAGTGCTTTTGTCTGCTGCCTTTGTAACCCTCCCCTTCTAACCTCTCCCAGACTTTCTGTGGCTGTCCAATCACAGACTTCCCAATGCAGCAAAATGAAAAGTCTTTGCAAGGTAGGTGCTCTGAGTACTTGCTGCCTTTTGAGTTTATCTCCACTGCACTAACCAAACCAGGAAGTAACAAGACCCAGTGGTGTATTTTGGATCTGTGCTGCCCTAGGCATGACGGAACTCTGGCACCCCCTAATTTACATTTTCCCCACCACTTCTTGTCAATGCCTCACCTCTTCCTGTTAAAGACTAACACAAACACTTTGACTGACAGACACACACTCTCTGATACACTGACATACACACACAATCACGCAGACACATAGATTCACTCACTGACACACACCCCCACTCACAGACACACACAATCACTCAGACACACAGGCTCCATCACAGACACCCCCGCTCACAGACACACACAATCACTCAGACACACAGGCTCCCTCACAGACAGACATAGAAACACATGCACCCTCACAGACACACACAATCACTCAGACACACAGGCTCCCTCACAGACACACACAATCACTCAGACACACAGGCTCCCTCACAGACACACACTCACAGACACACACAATCACTCACAGACATACACTCACTCAAAGACACACACTGACAGCTATACACACACACACTGACAGACATACACACACTGACAGCCAGACAGACACACACACTGACAGAGACACACACACACACACACACACTTCCTACCGCCCCCCCCCCCCACCAGTGGTGCTGCTGGCTGGGCTGCTTGGGCAGGGAGGGAGTCAGGCGTGCAGGCAGTTGGGCGGCAAGCTGAATTCCAAGGCGGTCGGTGAGGGAGCGCTGATTTGTGAGCTCTCTCTGCTCAGCTCATGTCATATTCTGGGGCGAGCGAGGGAGCTGAGCAGAGAGAGCTCACAACTCAGCCCTCCTTTGCCAACCGCCTTGGAACTCAGCTAGCCGCCTGCCACGAGGCTAACAAGGTATTTGCCTGAGCATTTGGGGGCTGTTTTTTTCCGCCCCCTGGAAAGTGCCGCCCAATGCAAATGCCTTGTTTGCCTCGCAGCAAATACGTCACTGACTAGACCTGTTATCTGATTGACAGCCAGGGGGGTGTAACCAGATTAATTTATAAAAGTGCCTATTTCTATTGAAATCAGCACTTTTTGCAAAATGAAAAATAGAGGACACACTCTTCACACATAAAGTTTTTCAGCAAGCTAAAGTGCTTTATTAGAGACACTTTGAGATCTTGGCTATCGAATTCTGCATATTGCCACATAACACACTTAATCAGAATTCATAGTGAACTGTCAGCTTAAAGGGACACTATAGGCACCCAGACCACTTCAGCTCATTGAAGTAGTCTGGGTGCTGTGTCCCTTTTGCACTTAGTGGTTCCAGAGAAACTGCAATGTTTACATTGCAGCACTACGTCTGTCCTCAGCGGCTGTCTACCAGACATCAGGGACATCAGCACTGGGAGAAGGTAAGGTTTTTAACCCTTTATTTACCAGGGAGGGGGGAGGCAGAGGGATCGGTAGTGCCAGAAATACAATTTTGTATTCCTGGCACTACAATATCCCTTTAAGTTTCAGTCACGCTGGAGGACCACTGGACAAAAAGGCCCATGTATTCGTGTGTAACAATCATGCTACCATGCAATGTAAACTGGGAATTAGGCAATCCCACCAGTACCTGACTCGGAGCCTATAAAACAAAGTACTTATAAAGCAACTCTCTGTATACATTGTACCGTGTTCAATGCTGGAAATTCCCTCTTTAAGCAGCCACCCCCCTCCTGTCATGCACAAGTCGTGAACTAAATGAAAGTGAAAGCAAGACAGAGCCTGCACAAAAGTAGTGTTTCAGGAAGAAAGGGAGCTAGACACCGAGAGAGCACGAAAAGAAGAGACAACTTTTTAAACAGTCACCATGTCTAAAGATTGTATCCTAAAGGTTACCAAAGACAACCAGCGGAAGGTAAATTTATCTTGTTTTTAGAAGCTATTCTTTTTATTTTTTTTGCAGTGTCTGAGAATCTTGTGTTTGTGTGTTTTAATAAAAGATCTCTTCCTGAATCAAAGAGGCCAATGTTTAGTGAGCATGTAGAAGGGACTGATAGTTTACAGGGATCACCCTACTAATAATATTGCCTTTTGCACTGGAGGGAATTACTATTTAGAGGCATTTGGATTGTGAAGGCAAATCAATGAAAACAAAGCCCCAAACTGAAACTAGATTTGTCATGCAGGCCTCAGCAGTAATCAAACACATAACTTATTGCAAATCGGGCATAGATTGCAATTTCACTCATTATTGGAGCTTTATTAAGAGGTGAAAGGATTAAGGGCATTCGATAGAATATATTTGTCAGGTATAAAAAAATAATATAGGATATTATGTGTAGATTTGGACACTAAAAGGGTTAAATTATAAAATCGAGAGATCAGTTGTTGGAAAGTACCTTGAAAATGAAACTACACAAGAGAAATGATAAAATATATAAATCTGAGGAATAGAGCTGAATATAGTTAAAAATAAAAGTATCGATGGTAGTTTTATTATTATATTATTCTTTTGAGATAAAAAAAAAACTAATAAAAAAAAAAAAAATTTAGAAAATAAATAGCAATGGAATATTGCTGGCATTTGTAACGGATCACCTGGCACCCCGACTGGGTACCTCTGTTGAAGGATGCTCCTAGCGCTTCCTGGGGGCTCCAAGCACTCCAGCCGACACCATAACCACCGTAGACTCCCTCAGAGAGCAAGACAGGAACAAGCTCTTACAAGAGCTTAGTAGTGATTTAGCAAGAGAGTATGACTGGCATAGCAATCCCTTGTAGCAGATTCCCCCCAATAAGAGACGGCACTCCAAATTGAGGGTGAAGTAGAACTGAAGTTTTAATGAAACACTCTGCTTTTATGCCCATTTTACAAACATAGTACCGCCCACAGGGTTTTGAAGAACAACCAATCCAACACGTACAATATAGTAAAACCCTCCCCTCTGCCTGTGATATAATTACTGAACTCAATGGGTTAATGTAATTATCACAGACAGGAAAAATATACTTTTTACACATGTACTGTAACTTTAAAACTATACATTCAATCTTCATAAAATAATAATCAGCATACTTCAAATATGAACACTTTCAAAAATCATACAAATCCCTCCAGTAGATAAAAAGTTAGACGGAAGTCCTTTGTGACCGACCGCAAGTACATTTTCATGCCCAAAACAGTTCCATAGATTAGGGCTGTGCGGTCGGTCTATTTCGGGCAGAATTAGCTCAGTCTAGCAGTACATTCAAACTGCAGAACGGGACTTAGTTTCTAGTTTTCTGCCGCAGAGTCTAAGTACAGGAGAAGGTAAGGGTCAGTGGGGTTCTTTGAAATCTGTAGCCGATTTCAGTTCCATGAATTTGGCTGCACGCACCGCTGACCGCGATCTGCTGAATAAAGATGGCCGCCACCACGTGTTCGTCTGCACGAACGGCGGCCCCCCATCGGTCGACAATTTACCTACAGCAGGCTCCCAGCCTGGAAGGTAAATTGCCTGCACACTTCCACTTCTGTGTGGTCCGGCTGTGTGGTACTTGGTTCAGTAAGCCCCATTTACTGAACCAAGTGGGAGAAAGCCATGCGCAACGGATTTTAAAGGTTTGGGGACATAGTCTTAAAGGGGCACAATCTCCCAGGAGCCATAGTCAGAAGGTAGGAGGCGGGCAAGCAGGCCCCTCCAAAAACCAGTGGCGAGGTCATTTTCCCCACAGCATTTCTATTTAATTTTGTAAAGCATGGTACAACTGAACAGTACCTTTTAAGATTAAGAATACATTATATTCTACGTGAAGGGTTAATGAAGTCTGCTGAGTCTAGCGGTTTCCCTACATGCGGGAAGTGGTGTACTGCCTACATGACATTCAAACCAGTCAGCAAAAGTAAGAGGTCGTTGCCTACTGGCAGGTTAAATGAAATGGGCAGTCAGTAGGAAGCCAGGTATAGGACACCAGAAGTACTTATTATCATAGGTCATGTCAAGTACAGGGCAAATATATGGAAAATCCAAGACAGAACAAGAACCAACCTAGCCAACAAGAAACAGACTGAAGAAGGCTAACGGTGAGTTAAGCAACTAAAACGTAATGCTCAAGCAGGAACCTGGATTTGAGATGGGTTTTTAATATCTAGCTGATTAGGAGATGGGTCAAGCATAGAACCTGGGGACCAGATGGCTTTAGCACTGATCTGCTATAGTGAGTGGTGAAGAGTTCATTTCACCCAAACTGTCACAGCTCTGGAGAGGCTGGGTGTGCAGGTGCCCCACCTCCAAGTAATGTGCTGGCATTCATTTCTTCAATACCAATCCGATAAGTTGAGGAGAAACAGGAATTTCAGGTGAGTATATATTTTAATGTACAATATCTAGATAAAACGTACACCTACCTGGAACATTCTTCTCACCTTATAGGGTCTATGTTATACATTAAATGGCTGCACATCTCTTGGATTGGCACTCTTTGTGTCCAACAGGTTCACATTAAAGGAGCATTCCCAGCACCATAACAGCTTGAGCTTTTTAAAGTTGTTATTGTTTGTATTCTATCCCTTGCTCATACTGCACAGCAGTGAAGAACAGGCGCTGGAGTACCTCACTCATCTTGTGATAGTATTACTGTGACCTTATTTACCACACTGCTCAGTAAATAATTTGAATACAGCAACATGTTATAGTGTCATGGTGCAATCTGTCATTATACCTACTCCTAGTTTTATTTTTTTTCTTTGTATATGTGGTAAAATGTAACTATTAACTAACCTTAACTTTTTCAGGTAAATGGATTTCAAGAAAACCTCTTCAATCAGGTAACTTGTTTATGGATGTAATAAGCTACTAATGTTTTACTATTATGCTTTGTAATGCCATACTCTATAGATACAACAAATCTATCTTATGATAAACAGTTGGCTGCCTCTCTTCCACAGACAGATTTTAAGTATTTAGCTCCTTGGGTCACTTTAGCAGTATGTTTTTTTCCTAAACCTACAACCCTTTTTTTCCCCCTTTGACTGCAATGAATGCAAGAAGCAAGTGACCATACTGAAAAGCAATTGAGTTATGTGGAAATTAGAATCCCACCTCTAGAATAGTTTGAGGTTATTACTTTGAAGGCTCGTGTGGGCACGGTACTTGATTCAGATTTGTTTAACATGGAGAGCAAATTCTGAGCCCCCAGACTTTGAGTAAATCTCACGTTTCCAGGTGGGCCTTTTCCCTGTTTGTCCACTATGCTTTACTTGTGACCAGGGCCGGTGCAAGGATTTTTGCCGCCCTAGGCACTATAGGCTCAGGAACACAAACATAGATTCCTGACCCTATAGTGTTAGAACCACTATGTAGCCCCCTTGGCCCCCTTTGCCTCCCTAAAGATAGTAAAATCTTACTTGTGTTCAAGTCTGAAGCTGCTGCCTGTGAACTTCCTTTTGACATAATCAGAAGTGGTGGCCTGATCCAATCACAATGTTTCCCCATAGGATTGGCTGAGACTGACAAGGAGGCAGATCAGGGGAAGAGCCAGCACAATTCAAACACAGCCCTGGCCAATCAGCATCTCCTCATAGAGATGAATTGAATCAATGAATCTCTATGAGGTAAATTCAGTGTCTGCATGCAGAGGGTGGAGACACTGAATGTTTGGATGCAATTTAGGCAGCCATGATCCAGGAAGGATCTCTAACAGACATCTGAGGAGTGGCCAGTGAAGTTATCACTAGGCTGTAATGTAAACACTGCATTTTCTCCGAAAAGACAGTGTTTATAGCAAAAAGCCCGAAGGTAATGATTCTACTCACCAGAACAAATTCAATAAGCTGTAGTTGTTCTGGTGACTATAGTGTCCCTTTAAATAAACATACATTCATGTTTAATAGAAATATACAAAAGAAGGAAACAGCGCTAAATTAAACCAACCCTATAAATAGGTAAAGTAGGAGGCAGCAACCTAAAATAGGGTTCCCTCTAAGCCCTATGAACAAAGACTTAACCCTCTACACGTATCCTACAAGCGGGGATTATACCGCTGTACGCTATTCACACTAGAGTTGGCTTAAGCTCTACTAAACGTGAGTAAGACTGTATTAGACTCTGTTGTTATATACACCATCTTTACCAGACGTACTGCCCTATCATCTGTCTTTCTCTTCCACATACGGGGTAAAAGACCAATACTTCTCTACGTATCCTATAAGCGGGGATTGTACCGCTGTATGCCACACTAGAGCTAGTTCAGCTCTACTACACGTGAGTAGAATTACCATAGCTCTCTTCTTCCTGCATATCAACCCTCTCATCAGACGTATTTGCACCATTATTTGTTTATTTCTTTACATACGGATCCTGAAAAGCCATCTTCACGTGACTCTTAGAGAGAATACCCCTCCACATAGGCCGTCGTTGCCCCACCAGGCCCTACTAAAGACTTTGTTTTGGCACCACCTACATTTTGGACTTTGTTCATTCTCTAGCTGCACTTTAGTCCGCTTTGGCACAACCTTACTCTGTTTTGTCTTGTATAATACATTCATGTTTAGCAGAGCTTCATGCATCCTTCAAATCACTATGTGTTTACACATGCGCATACAACAATACCCATCAAACTCACACCTATTTAATGACCAAACACTCGGGACATAACATGTAAAAAAAAAACTGATATCCAGGCCATTACTGATAAATAATTGCTTATAGTAGTTATAAAAATGATCCTCTGTATTAACATTTGCTTCTGTGAAGTGCTTGTTGAATTAGATAAACATGTTATGGTAGGTAAGCCAGTACAATTATTTCCTATACAAGGGTTCTTTCAGCCAGATACTATTTTTTGTTGTGGGCCTGAGGTAAGTAGAGAGAAAGTGCCCACAGTATTATCAATGTAAATTACACCTGGTTCCTTCACAACCTTGTTTTACTGTTAACATTTTGATTGTTGTGACAATTTTCTCTTTCCCTAAACCTAGTCTGTAAAGATGTAAAATATGGAGTATAACAACTGTATATCTCTTACAGGTTCAACATTTTCTGTCTGAGTTCATCCCAGGCAAGATACAATATCTGGATGGACTGCTACAGGTAATTTGGCTATTTTTGTGCATGGGTAAGAGTTAAAGGGACACTGACTAAATACAAAAAAATTAAGCAACAAACACAGTTCCATAGATATACCCCCAATGAAAACAAGCATGCATTTAATTATGCATTTTTTTCCCTGGAGAAGTTATCTACAAACGGCATGCAAAAACTGTAAATGTCTTCCCTCTTCTTCCCCAGCCCAGACTTTCTATGGCTGTTCATGACAGGCGCACAGTCGGATTTACCGGCATATGCGCTAACCTTACCCTGAACCCTATTAAGACACGCACACAGGTTATACTGTTGGATAATTTAGTCCACAGCTTTATTAATAATTAATTAAGGAATAACAAATAGGGTCATTGCCAACAAATATTATTAAAGCCAACATCCCCCCCATATACATAACATACCTCTGGCAATGATCCCACAATAATAACAATAAATAATCTAATTAACACAGAAACTGGCCGTCCAATATGACCACATTTCCACCAGATTAAATTGTAGGGGTGTACCAAGACACCGCTACACCCACAAGTTCAATTGTAGGGGTGTACCAAGACGCCGCTACACCCCGAGGTTGGGAGCCACCGACGGGCTAGAACCTATCAACCAAGTGTAACACTACCTAATCCACACTAAACCTCAGGATGCCTACTTACTCCTCCATCTACCCCCCACTTTAACCTGGCCATTCCCTGCCACAGCTCAGGACTTGACACCTAAAGCTCCGGAGCACCCTCCCCCATACCTAAACAAGGCCTGTTGAAGGCCCTCCTGAAAGCCCAAAATAAATTGGTCACACCTGAAAGATGCACACCATCCCTCTGAAGAACCCAGGAAGCATGCCTTCCAAATCCCTGTTCCTCACTGCCACTCCACCTATACACCTAATAAAGACCGCCATCATTTTATTGATTTGTCCCCGACACTGAGCCACTGCGGCCGGGTCCTCGGCATGTCGCCAGTGAAACCGAGGAACCATCTCGGACCACACCACCACCACACCTGGAGCCAGCTCCCGTTGCCGGTCCACATCCCTCTTCATCCATCTGACCGATTCCTTTTTTGGGACCATGCCCAGATCATTACCTCCAGCGTGGATTAACAGTACATCCAGAATGGGGCCCCTTGCCACCCTCCAATACATTTCCCCCTAATGCCTTGCCAACCAAAACCTGGAAAACTAAACCACTCCAGTGTCACCAACTCCAGAGGAAAGCCCAGTTGCAATCCTTGTTTCCGAACTGCGGCTCTCTTCTGCGCCCAGTAGATGTAAGAGTGGCCCACCAACCAGGCCACACAACCTGAAACGAAAACAGAATCAGTGACAAGGCATAACACCAAACACCATCCCACCAATCCACACCCATTAAACCAAGTGTTCGGGCCGTAAGTAGGACTTAAACCATACCAACTCCCACCTACCTATACGTTTCACCAGTTCCTCACCTAGACCCAAGCAGGACGTCTCCGTCGCCTGCCCTATCTGGAAGGAATGGGTTCCAAACTGCATGGGATCCAAACCCAGCTCCGTCAAGGCCATTCGAAAAACCCGAAAGAATTGGAACCACGACAGAGCGGATCCATCCCCTTGTACCAAAAAAGAACCCAAGACACCTTGGCATAACTCCACGTAGTGCAATGCACATGAAACTGGGCAGACTCCTAACCCAGGCCGGGAAAATAGTGTTACCAAACAACCTTTTCCAAATACATTAGTCTTTGTACGGCCCAACCGAATCACCACCCTATCTGTCCGTAATTCGATGTCCGAGTGCTGTACCCCCTGACACCCTCCCTAAAGGTAATCACCAGTTCACCCATCCGAAAGGCCCTGAAGAATGCAACCGAGAATAACCCCACCTCAAAAGGAGATGAACACACTACTGGCAGAACTCCCACTAAGCGCTGCAGGACTTAAAAAGATACCGGTCTTCTAGTATCCACCGATTTCTTACCTCTCCTAAAGCCCTTGTAACGTCCTCCCAACCATTCAACTTGAACAGAAATGCCAATGCCGCCATATTTCTATCGATCACAGACGGAGGCAAACACTGTGCAAACAAACGGCATAGAAACCACAGTAAAGTATCTAACCGTCCCTCCCTTTACTGGGACACCCCTGTGTGACCTACCGCCTCGTCCCATGCATCCCAAACGTTTACATAAGCAGCCCAAGTGCCAGGCTCCAAAGAATTCCTTATGAATCCTCCAAGCATGACGTCCCGAGCCACCAAATCTCCTCCAGACAGGCCTGTCCTTCCTTAAGCACCCCCCGGAGCCACCATCCGAAAACGTTCCCACTGTGAACAAGACAAGGAATCAGCTACCACGTTTAACAAACCAGGCAGATGACGTGCCCGGGAAATTATATTAAAAGACATACAAAACAAATCGCCGTAATAAGCGTACCACCGGGACCGAAGTTGCGGATAAGCGGTTAACCACATGAACCACTGACATATTGTCCGTAAAAAAGATAACTTTCCTGTCCTGCAGCACCTCCTCCCACAACACCAAAGCCACCGCCAAAGGGAACAACTCAAGAAACGTCAAATTACAGATAAGAGGACTTGCTTTCCAGGCAACTGAGCAGCACACCACCTGCCCGCCAAATATGCCCCAAAACCTATGCTTCCCAAAGCATCCTTAAAAAAATCAATATCCTCCGAAGAAGCTGCAGCTTCACGAAAGAAGACCCATCCGTTGAAATAACATAAAAACGATTCCCAGACCTACAAATCCGCCTTTATGGCCCCCGTCACCCTGACAAAGTGACGCGGAGACCGGACCCCACAAGTTGCCCTTGCCAGAAAACGGCTAAAAACTCTCCCCATGGGAATTACCCTGCACGCAAAATTCAGGCTGCCTATCAAAGACTGCAGCTCTCTCAACGTAACCTTTCTGGACCCTCTAACATGCACCACAAGCTCCTGAAGTGCGATCAACTTATCCCTAGGAAGCCGACGTTCCCCTGCCACAGAATCAATCTCCAAGGCAAGAAAACTGAGACAAGTGGTAGGGCCCACTGTCTTGTCTGCTGCCAGGGGTACTCCAAATGAATGAGCCACCCATTTTGAAGACCGCAAGGTATGGCCACAATGATCTGACCCAGCAGTGCCCACACACAAGAAGTCATCGAGATAGTGCACCCTCACCCGATTCCTCCTTCAACACCCACTCCAAAAAGGAACTAAACTTTTTGAAGTAGGAACATGAAATGGAGCAGCCCATAGGTAAGCAAAGGTCCACAAAATAAGCTCTGTCAAACATACAACCTATCAGATGGTGACAATCCAGGTGGATCGGCAGTTATTGAAAAGCCGACTTCACGTCAGCCTTCGCCATTAATGCCCCGCCTCCTGCCTTCCGAACCAACTCAGCCGCCTGGTCAAATGATGCATAGGAGACAGAACACAGGGCCGCATCAATGTCATGATTCACCGAAGAAGCTTTCATATATGACAAATTATGGATCAGAACTTACCCCGTTCTTTCTTAGGCACCACGCCCAAAGGTGAAATCCGTAAGTCTGCCATTCTACCCAGCTGAACCTCTTTAGCCAATTTATCTCGAACCACCTCTGGATGCTCTGCGACCAACTTCAAGTTGTCACACAATCGACCAAAAACCTTTTCCTTAAAATTATACCAAACCCTTTTGAAAACCCCAGATCACACCCAAATAGCAGAAAAACTGAGAACATTGCTCGGAAAATTTCTCCCCCAAAACACTAGCCAAAATGCAGAATGCCCGAAGCCAATTCCCAAAAGACTTAGGTATCTTCCAATACCTCCTTCTTCTCTTTTCCTCCTCCTCTTTCTTGGCATTATTCTTATCTTCCTCCTTCAGATCAAGATATTCATCCAGGAAGGAACGGGAAGATCTTGATGAATTGAATGACAACCCAAAGGCCCAGCGAATGACACGTGTACATTCTGCCTGGCTACCTTCGGGATCTCACCTGTCAACTCGCACGCTTGCTGACCACCACAGACTTCCCTGACCTGAGCAAAGTCACCATAGTCCCGCCCTGAACACTGCCCGCCGCAGCCACCGTAACAATCGTAGCCACCCCACTCCTGCCTATCGGTGGACCCCACACCCGACTAAAATGCGCCTCCTGTGGATCCCCAAAAGCCAAAGTGTTAAGAAAGGACCTCAAGCTATCCAAGAGATTCCTGGCGTTTAGTGTAGAAGAAGACTCCCTGCCAGAACCCCCTGCCGTAGAAGACCGCGGGGCCACTGTCCTTCCATCCACCTCGAGAGGTTCAGGAGTAGCGTCATAGCTTCTGCATCTACCTGCCTGGTCCTGCCTCAGGATCGTAGGAGAAGGAGTTGCTGACCTGCGGGAAGAAGACAACCTGGGTTGTCTGCTCACAGGAGCCCCAACCCGTCCATCCTTCCCACATTCCCAACCACAATGTCTGGCCAGATTAGTTGTACAGGGTAAGCCTACCTGTCTGATAACTCCCGTTAGGTGACCTGTAAGCACTGCACCGGCTCCTCGCCCTATCCTCAGAAGAAGTTGAGCGCCCCCTGCTCTAATGCCTCACAGAAGGGCTCCTGTCTCTGCTGTGCCAACCCGCCGTGGACCGTCTATCCTCGTGTGCCTCGTCCTATCCTTGGAATGATCCTGAGAAGTAGCCTGGGACACCCGGTGATCCGCTATTGCTCGTCCTAGAGCGGCGCTTCCTGCACCCCCGGATAGCATGACTCTGTCAGGATTACAAGTTGATCCAGCACGCAGTACTGTGTCACACCTAGGACTAAGGATAATGTATAACCGGACCTTAGAATGGCCGGACGTAACGTTTCCAAGAATAGTCAAAATACTTGCCGAGGTCAGGGACACAGAATCAGACCAAAAGATGAGGGAAAGCAAAAAGTCAAGTATACCAGATATCAGGGAAATCAAAACGAAGCCAAAGTCAAATACCAGAAAATCAAGATCAGGAACGCACTCTCGGATAACCATAGGCATGAAACCACAACAGGGCAATGAGCAAGAAAAGAATTGGGTTTAAATACCGCTCCTGTGGAACCGATTGGCTGTAACCGGCCTTTGACCCCAAAGGCAATTACCAGGTTTCCATGTGCATGATTGCTGCTCAACACAAACACTCCTGTGGATTTGATTGGCCATGACCGGCATTTGACCCCAAAAGTAATTACCAGGTTTCCATGTGCATGATTGCTGCTTGGCACAACTTTTCCTCTCAGGACAATAAATGCCATTAACCACATTTTTATGTGACAGACTTGTCAGACGTGACAGACTCCTCCAATCTGGCTTCTCCATCTACCTGGCTCCATGTAGCTGTGCGCACTCTCTCCCACCTGACCCCGCGCGGGCCTTGCTGGGCCGGACTCCCACTATCAGGGCTCATATCTTGCCTGTTAGGCCTGACTGGCACCTCCCTGGCCGTAGTACTGCTATGTCCTATCCCTGCCTGGCTGCCTGACTCAGCCGCCACCTGCGCTGACTTAGCCCCAACTGGGATATTGGCCTCCACCGCAGCTGACCTGGCCCCAGCCGAGGATGTACCAGAATCCTTCCTGCTGCCTTGACCCCCCACCGCCCATTCCCCTCCGTGCCCCTGGGAACCCACGTCCCCCCCCACACTCCCCAAGGATACAAGGCCCATGGGGCCCGACTTACAGAGAGCAGCAGGGGTATCTCCAGCGTTGGTCGCAGACCTGGCTGCACTCCCTGCCAAACCGGAGCCCACCATCCTCAGCACCCAACCTTTCCTGCCAGCCGACGGGGTCAAGCCTGACCTGGGAAACGCAGACGTGCAGCCTCCATCCCCGACCCGTGCCACATAGACCGCCTGCCTAGGGCCTCCACGGCCAACACCTCAGGCCCAGCTCTCTCACCACCGCCTCGACCACCCAGCCTGCTCCGGAACAGTCTGCCACAGGAGCAGCTCCTGGAGATGGGCTTCTCCTCTGTGCCGGCACGGAACCGGGGCTCAAACACTGGGGAGGCCTTGTCCTCCGTGCGGGCTGTCGCTCCGGAACCACCACCGGCCCACCAGAAGGCCCAGGGGATGCCATCCGCTCCTGCAGCCAAGCAATGCCGTGCTCCCTTGCCGCCACATGAACACCTGCAAGGAATTCTTCTACTGGATCAATCTAAAAAAGAAAGAAAAAATTTGCCCAAACCTGAGAGACAACTAATAGGTAAGTTTAGGTTTAGTTAAGATGGTCACTTCACAAAATGGCTGGTATAAATACTCCCATCGTAGCTCCCCCTCCCCCTCTCTCCCCCAGCTTGCTAGCTGTCATTTAACTTCCCTTGGCTGTTATACCTACCTCCTGGCTCTGTCAAGGCCCACTCCCCTAGCTGTGCTGATCCATGGGCTACAATCACCAATTACCAATGAAGCTGAATGAGAAGTCTTTTCAGAACAGGTTCTCTGAACAATTCCTTACCTCTTGAGTTTAGCTCCACTGAGTTTAACAACCAGGAAGTTGTCTGAGTGATAGCCAGAGGGTGTAACAAGGTTAATTTATGACAAGTGTAAATATCTTTTGAAATCTGCACTTTTGTGAAATGGCACGCACATTCAGTCCTCTCGTCTTGAGTTCAGCAAATGTGGAATGTATCAGAGTTTGACTGTGATCACTGCCTATAATACAATTGTAAATTATTTCCCAAATGAAACACTTTAACCTATTTATATATTATCTTCATAATTACATAATTTACTACACTTAGTTCATGTGAAGTCATGACAAAGCTTTATTACTCACATTATCCCAACATTTCTCTACCTGAATATATCTTGCCGGTCTGATCAATATTTTTGTTTCATAGAGCAATACTTTTACTGTGAAGGATCTAACAACTCTACATTCCGAGCTGGACATTCCAATCCCGGACCCTCCTGCTCCAGAGTCTGAGGTGAGGGAAACAAGATGTGAAGAGAACTGGAAAAATTATAGAAGTACAAGAAACCAGAAAAAAATAGGAAATGAGAAAAACAAGTGTACCCGGAGAAGGGGTGACAAGTTGAGCAGAAGAAAGAGTAATTCGATCACTGATAGAAAACCTCGACCCTGACAATTTCATGGTGACATTTGTTCTGCAGGGACAATTTAGAAACTTTCTAACTGTATGAGAATAAGACCATGAAGATCTGCAGTAAAGGGACATCAGTAGAGTCTGATGAACAATGTATAGGAGACCAGATGTATTTAGGTAAAATAGAGTACTGGCAGTTAAAAGAATATTGTCACTTCTGGGACATATGCATCACCAAGCTGTTTCTTGCATGCCCAATGGTTGAAAAAAAATACTTATCATTAGCACACCGCAGGCAACAGCCTATAAGCAGTTTACTTTAGTTTAATTGCCTTCTTCTGTACAACAGAGACCATGCTGACATTGTGACAAGTCTAATTAATGAGATTTAAATATTCAATTTTAGTACACATTATTACACAATTAAAAAATTTCAGTCAAAGTGTTAATTTTATGAAGAATGGGTCGTCAATCTAAACTTATCTTATATGGATTATTTAGGTCTGTGTCAAAAAAGGTCCACTAGGTTAGAATAATGTTATTCCTGTCCTTGAAGATCACAAACGAATTAAATGTTGGAACCAATAAGGTTTAATAATATGGGGTTACACAGAAGGCCAAATATTGAATAAGTACTACCATACAGATGTATAGAATACAAAAAGCATAGGAAATTTTAGGGAGACTATAAGTCTCCCCAGGTCTCAGGACAGAATCACCTGGGGTTCACATGAGCATAGGAAAAAATAGCACAGTGGCAGGCCATTAAAAGAGGTAAAAATGTTTGTTATTGTCTGAGCTAAAAAGATATGTGAGAGCCTGAGATTGAAAAAATTACTGAAGTCACAATATTTGCTCCCCAGGATTCATCCAAGATGGAAACAGACAAAGAAGAGAAGAAAGGTAATTTACCACACATGCACCTACATCTTCTAACTAAATTGCAGGATTTTTAAAAACGTTCAGTGTTTTGTGTTTTCTAGCTCCTCGCTGTGGTTTCCTGAAAGAGAATGAGAAGCTGCATAAAATCCTGAATACCGTTCTACCTGAAATTCGATCTCTGAGAGAGGGCTGTGCACTGGTAAGACTGTAACCCCAGATCCCATTGATATCTGTCTATTACATAAGGTGCATGTAATTACTTAGAGAAAAGTTATGGACAGTGATATAATCCCACCATGTCTTCATTTTATAGATCATCACATGGATCCATCACCTTATTCCAACAATTGAAGATGGAAATGATTTTGGCGTGTCTGTGCAGGTCAGACAATGTTTCTCTTTCTCAGTGACCTTCGAATTGGCACAACACTGAAATCTTCCATTACAGGGGCAAGATAATCATGTTAGTCTTATACAGGGGCATAAAGAGGTTAAGCCTAGAACCTTTATAAAAGTGCTGCTTTCTCTTGAAATTAGAACTTTTGTAACACTTGAAAGAGGGGCCTCTGATGGTTATTACTCTGAGGTGCATCCACCCCCCATAACCCAGATAAACTAGACTATTTCAATCAGATGGTGTCATAGAAACCATTTGATAGGGAAACACAGGTTTGACTGAATTCATCTAAACTCAGCTAAAGAGGTGTAGTGTGATCGTGGAGACAAGCGCGGCTAGGGCTGAAAGGTAAGTAATACTTTTCAAACTCTCACCGGGAGGGGGGGATTCTAAATAGGTCAGGTTGTATTCCTAACTGTAATGGGTAGAGTTCATTTAAGCTTGTATAATTTAAATTTATTATTTTCCTTTTCAGCAAACGAAAAGCTCCCTCGATTAAATATGCAAAAGCAAAATTTTTAATAAGATATGCCTTAAGTAGATTTTAAATGTTATTTTGGCAATCAAACCACAATATAAAAATTGGGTAGTCAATAACTTACCCATTTGATTGTTTGTAAAATCTTATTTCCTAGCCTCAGATCTTGAGATGTTTATTTCAGAACACTTTGAAAACCAACAGCATGGACCAGCAGTGTTTTTTTTCATTATTTTCATTATATTGCTAACAATAAGCACATGTAGTGTTAAACAAAGTAGATGAGATTAATACAATATGATGCATTTTTTATTGTCTTTTTCTTTGTCAGGAGAAAGTTATAGAACGTGTAACTGCTGTGAAAACTAAAGTGGAAGCATTACATACAGCTATTGCAAAGTAAGAGCAATCTTCATTCTCTTCTATATATAGGTCAGGTAAAAGTACAGGAAAGCAGCGCCTTCTGGGTGTCCTTAAATTCGTATGGTGGTAAGTAAGGAAAATCCATACTTACCACCATACGAAATAAAGCAAATATGTGCACAGTGTGGCAGACAGTTACTGTGAAACTCTATACACCTCAAAGTGGTATCCCCTTTACCACTTTAACAATCAACAATATACATACATAAATCGGGTGGAGCTTCTTAAAATAGTAGTATAACAGATATTCTGTAAAATAAAATATAGACCATAGTGCAATATAGTAGTAAAAATTCAATAAAATATGTATGCAGTAGATATTCCACTCACAAGCCTGGAGTCATAATCTCATATGACTCGGATGGTGTGTGCCTTTGGACTATTCCAGGATGTCCAAAATCCTTTTTTCATGCAAGATTCTGTTGGTGGTCACTCCCAAACAAAAATTGTCAGGTCAGCAATGGGTTTCCATAAAAATATAATTTTATTCCAAATCAAAATAAAAGAATTTTATAAAAATAAATAAAAGCTCAAATAGGGCTATATAGTCCTTTAAAGTCCTTATAGAATTGCCAAAACGCGTTTCGCCTGATGCCACAGGCTTCCTCAGTCGGCTTTGTGATCTTCTATTCAGTTTCTCGAATTTTAAAAAGTCCGCTTTTTTTCCCTTCCGGGTTCCGGGTTGTATCTCTATGGAACGCAATTATGCGTTCCAGTGACGTCACTTCCGGTTTCGTCACTTCCGGATCATATTTTTCGTCGAAAGAAACAATGGAAGTTTTACAGAAAGGGCTAAAATTTGCCCCGACTGTAGATTTAAATAAATTTGATCTGTTTATAGATATTAATAAATTCATTAGACAGTTATGTCTGAAAAAGTTTTTTGCCAATCAGAAAGAAACTCAGAAGGAAGAGGTTATAGAAAAGTATAAACATACCGATCTAAAAACAAAATCAAATTTTTTTCCCAAACACCTTATCTCTGACGAAATTAAAGCGTTTGAGATAATGGTAATGAAAGAAATAAGACAAATTAAACCATTGAATAAATACCAACACAATATGTCAAGTAAGGAAAAAAATGTGGTTAAGGGATTAAAACAAAATAAGGAAATGGTTATCAAACCAGCAGATAAAGGGGGAGGGGTCGTTATATCTTCAAGGTCTAGTTACGTACAAGAAGCTGAACGAATTTTATCTGACCCTCTTACATACCAAAAATTGGATAGGAATCCAATTGAGGAAATAAAAAAGAAATTTGATGAATATATCAAGAAAGGTCTAGAAAAGGAAATTTTAACTATAGATGAAGCAAAGTATTTGTCTACCCCACACCCCAAAACTCCAGTTTATTACCATCTACCGAAGGTGCACAAAGATAGAAAAAATCCACCCGGTAGACCAATAATATCTGGAATCGACTCCGTTTCAGCGAAGGTATCTGAATACCTGGACAAATTGTTACAACCTTTAGTAGTATGCAATCCTGCTTACTTAAAAGACACTATACATATTTTAAAACTTTTAGAGGAGACCACTTGGAAAGAAGGTAATTTTTTAGTCACGTGTGACGTAACCTCCCTCTATAGCATCATACCTCATAAAATTGGATTGGAAGCTGTGCAATATTTTTTAAGAAAACATAATTTTAAAGAAGAACAGACTCAATATATTTTAGAAGGGATCCACTTGATTTTAACCAATAATTTTTTTTGGTTCCAAGATATCTTTTATTTACAAATTTGGGGAACGGCGATGGGCACCAAGTTCGCTCCCAGCTATGCGAACTTGTTTATGGCATATTGGGAAGAAAATTTTGTGTATGGAGGACATGCCTGGGGAGCGGACTTGGTGTGCTATCATCGTTTCATTGATGACATATTTTTCATTTGGACGGGAACTAGAACAGAATTAGATATTTTTATCACTTTTTTAAATAATAATGAATGGAACATCGTTTTAACAGCACAGATAAGTGAAGAAAATATTAACTTCCTAGATCTTGATATTAATATTAAGAATACTTGTATCACTACGAAAAATCATTTCAAAGAAGTGGACGCAAACGGATACATTCAAAAAGAGAGCTGCCACTATACACCCTGGTTACAAAATGCACCTAGAGGACAATTTTTAAGAATTAGGCGCAACTGCACGAATGATGAGGACTATTTACTACAGGCAGAAAGAATAAAGACCCAATTTCTACAAAAAGGTTATATAGAAATAGATTTACAGACAACTCTAGAAGAAGTCCGTTCAATTCCCAGAAGAAATCTTCTGATATATAAAGACAAAAAGGGGAAACAAAAATGGAATAACGATGTTCCGTTCGTCTGTAATTTTAGTGGAAATCATAAAAAAGTTAAAAAGATTATAAATAGATATTGGCACATCTTGCAAGATGATGCGGTTCTAAAAAGTATCTTGCCAGATAAGCCTAAGATTATTTATAGGGGAGCAAGGAATCTAAGAAGCAATTTAGTACAAAGTAGTGATAAACAAACTTTAGTTGAAAAATTTTTTTTAAAACAAAGTAAAGGTTTCTATGGTTGTGGCCAGTGTCTGGCGTGCAGAAATACTAAAAGTAGGAAACGTCACATAACGGACATGAAACCATGGATAAACCAACAGTTCCAAATTCGAGACCACCTAACTTGTTATTCTAAAGGAGTTATTTATGTCCTGAAGTGCCAGTGTAATCTCCTTTATGTAGGAAGAACTATTAGATGTCTAAACACGAGAATAGCAGAGCATACGAGGAATATTAAAAATGGATTGGAGTCACATAGCGTCTCCAACCATTTTAAAATATTCCATAACCAAGATCCAGAAGGACTATTCTTCTGTGCAGTAAAATTAGTGAAGAAAGACTGGAGAGGAGGAGACTATATTAAAAAAATAGGAATAGAAGAAATGAAATTTATTTTTAATTTTAACACTATGGCACCACATGGTCTAAACCAAGATTTTGAACTATGCCATTTCATGAACTAAGCTCCCCTATACTATTAAATTTCATGTACATATATTTTTTAATAATTTCTATTAATTCATTTTTATACATTTTATATTATTTAGATTTCTATAAGTTTTTGAAATGGTATTCATTTGAACATTAATTTTGAAATATCACAAGAGCACTTTTAAAAATATAGAAGAGCACTTTAAGACACATGACCACTTTAAAGTTTAGACCACTTATACAATGGAAGAATATTTTTATATATTGATATCATGCTCTCTTTGTGAAACATTATCAGACAATATGTTTTGTATATTGCATAGACACTTTCAAAAGCTAAAGATATTTGGAAAAATAATTATCTTTGTATAATACTTTTACACCATGCAAAGTAGTAATTTCAACACATATAGAATTCAATAATACACATATATATATGCAATATATGGTGCCAGTAACAATATACAAATATATTTATGATAAATACATAAACTGGTTGAAAATTGTGCAGTTCGTTTTTAAAAACAATAGAAATGCCGAGAGATGACGTCAGTGGAACGCATTATGCGTTCCAGCTGACCGAGACCGGAACGCGGAAGTGATAAAAGAGAAGCAAATGTGTTCCAGGTCGACGAAAAATATGATCCGGAAGTGACGAAACCGGAAGTGACGTCACTGGAACGCATAATTGCGTTCCATAGAGATACAACCCGGAACCCGGAAGGGAAAAAAAGCGGACTTTTTAAAATTCGAGAAACTGAATAGAAGATCACAAAGCCGACTGAGGAAGCCTGTGGCATCAGGCGAAACGCGTTTTGGCAATTCTATAAGGACTTTAAAGGACTATATAGCCCTATTTGAGCTTTTATTTATTTTTACAAAATTCTTTTATTTTGATTTGGAATAAAATTATATTTTTATGGAAACCCATTGCTGACCTGACAATTTTTGTTTGGGAGTGACCACCAACAGAATCTTGCATGAAAAAAGGATTTTGGACATCCTGGAATAGTCCAAAGGCACACACCATCCGAGTCATATGAGATTATGACTCCAGGCTTGTGAGTGGAATATCTACTGCATACATATTTTATTGAATTTTTACTACTATATTGCACTATGGTCTATATTTTATTTTACAGAATATCTGTTATACTACTATTTTAAGAAGCTCCACCCGATTTATGTATGTATATTACCACCATACGAGTTGAGGATACCCAGAAGGCACTGCTTCCCTGTACCTTTTCCTGACCTATATCTAGTTACTTCCAGGTAGAAGAGACTCTGGTTTGGGAAGTAACAGCTGCCATACCCGGATCTAACAAGCGCTAGGAACCTCACCATTGCACGTATTCTCTTCTATATATGTTTTACTTGCTTAACCAGAACCTTCAATGGTTTTTCCCCCAAAACAACTTAATTTCAATAAAGCTGTGTTAATGGCACAATCTTACCTTAAGGTGTTAAATGGTTTATCACATAAGAAGTCTCTTCTCTCAACTGTTCCATGCTTTTCTCAGCCACCATAATACATACTGTACACCCCAAGGGCTGCCAGTAATTTGTTAAGAGCGTCAGCTGATGCAGTGAGCCGTCACCGGTGCCCATTGTTTGTCAATTAAATCCTTTACTGCTTAGCATGGTGGCCGAGTAGTAGAAAGCACCTTAAAAGAACACTCTAGGGTCAGGAATACAAACATGTATTCCTGACCCTTTAGTGTTAAAAACACAATCTAGCCCCTATAAATCTAGCAAAATCTTACTTTTATTGCAGTCTGCTGCTGCTGGCTCTGCCCCTGATCTGCCTGCTGGGTTGACATAATTTGAAGTGTTGATCTGAGCCAATCACAATGCTTTCCGATAAGACAGCGTTGGATTGGCTGAGCCAGTCAAGGAGGCAGATCAGGGGCAGAGCCAGCACAAGCCAAGCACAGCCCTGGCCAATCAGCATCTCCTCATAGAAATGAATTGAATCAATGCATCTCTATGAGGAAAGTTAAGTGTCTTCATGCAGAGCGTGGAGATACTGAATGGCAGTGCCACTGCCCCAGGAGGCACCTCTAGCAGCCATCTGATGAGTGGAGGTATCCCTAGGCTGTAATGTAAACACTGCATTTTCTCTGAAAAGACCGTATTTACTCAAAAAGCCTGAAGGGAATGGTTTGAACAAATACAATAAGCTGTAGTTGTTCTGGTGACTATAGTGTCCCGTTAAGTTTAAAACTGCTTGATAGTTTAATACCTTCAAGTAAAACTTTACCTGGGAACTCCAGCCCTCAAAACAACTTAATTGAGGTAAAGTTTTTTTCAAGATCAAAAATGCCCTTAATGCACAATCTCCACAGTCCCTGATGCCATCTCTTTCCACTTATTATTTCCATGGTGGTTCTGTACATTTCAATCAATACACTCTCATGTATCCAGCCATTTTATTAAATAACCCAGTGCTTCTAGCAATTTCATTATGGTCCTCATTTCTGCAGGCATGCTATTCCCCACACAATGCTCAGAGTACTTTACACCCCCATGACTACATGCATCTCATTCCAAACATCCATGATTCCACAACTGGATTTCTCACTATATGGTCTCGTACCAACACAGTCTCATAGTTCTAGCCCCATTGTTGCCTGTTGCCATGGTTCAGTGTAGACATACCAGCTGTTGCATTTATGGTTACAAACACTTCTATGATATTTCTAACTCCTATTTCCAGATCTCCCGTTTGTTGGAGTTTCAAAGTCCTAATCCTTTCTAACCCGTTATTCCAACTACTCATGAATCTATGTTGTCTGTGTCCTGTAATACCTTCTGTCATTTCAGATACTTCACAGAAAGAGGAGATGCTGTTGCCAAAGCCTCTAAAGAAACACACGTGGTAAAAATATTTAATTCTTAGAAATTACGTAGTTTGTTTTAAGGCGAGAAAAACAATTATTCTCTTTTTGTTTCTCTTTTCACAATAATTTCTAATATCACTGGCTTCTCATGCCTGTGTTTTGTTCTATCCTTATTGCTCCTAATTCTCATTCTTCCTTGTTATCACAATTCTTGCTGTCTTATGATGCACGTTTAACATTTACGCTGTCTCCGACACTCACAGATGGATTATAGAGCTCTGGTACATGAAAAAGACGAGGCTGCATTTGTAGATCTGAGGCTATCCCTTCTTGAAGTGAGAAATTATTATGTAAGTGCCACAGGGGTGTCATCGATGTAATATCCCTGCTGGTTTCCATGGTGGTTACCCTCTTCTAATACACCATGTTGCACACAAAAAAAACCTTTGATAAACCTACTCAGTATCTTTTCTATGGAAGTAAATGGGTGCTGATTTTGCTCTGTAGGCCTTCTGGGCTTTGTATTGTAAACTGCAAGGATCATTAATGAAAATACTTAAATTGTCTTTCAGGTTGAAATCTTTGACATTATTCTCAAAAACTTTGAGAAAATTACAAACCCAAAAGGAGAGGAGAAAAGTCCAATGTACTGATAAACCATCTGCATGCCCAAATTTCTCTGTATTGAACCTCCTAGAGAACTGTGACATTGAACCACTGCTTTCTCATATGACTGCACTAATAAAATGAATGAATAAATGCAAAGGATTAATAAATCACTTTTCATTGTTATACATTTGAGTATGGGTCTTTGTGTGTCTTTGTTTACACATACACGCATATTAAGGGGACTGTGGCGGACCGCCTGGTACTCTGACTGGGCACCTCCGCCAAACACACTCCCTAGCTATCGCTGGGACACCATAAGCACTTCCAGCCCCTAGCTGCCGCAGCTTTGCCGGAGTCTCGCCGTTTCTTCCCACCCTGGATCAGGGTCCTTGATCCAGCTACCAGTGGTCATAGCTCTCCTCCAGATAGTATAGCTGTTAGAGTGCTTATAGCTATATAGCCTTCCCACCACACATTAGTCAAGACTTAATGTTGGGAGTGAACTGAACTGACTTTAATGGGACCGGGTACAGCCAATTTATACATAGACCCCAGCAGGGGGTCTCCATTGTCTTCGCCACAAGCCCTTCCCAGGAATCTCTGGGCCTGGCAGATAATTGCGTTAAAGACCAGTAAGCTAATTATCTCCCAGGAACAGAGTTGCAAACATAAAAATATAAAACAATATAGGACAGCAGCCACCACCAGATGCACAACATTTGAACGAGCATGCATACACAACCTAGCCCGTAAGGGCCAGATCACAGACAACTATAGCCTACTCATCTCTACTCACCCCCCAGGAGCGATGGCATATGTGGCGGCTTGGGAGAGGGACCTGGGGCCACCGGGGGACCCAACTGACTGGCAGGACATATGGGAGGCCACAGCATCTATCTCTATCTGTGTCAACCACAAAGAGCAGGCCTACAAAACTTTACTAAGATGGTATCTAACCCCCGCAAGACTATACCGAATGGGTAAGACCGACTCGGACCTCTGCTGGAACCGGTGTGGGCAAAGGGAAACATACATACACCAATGGTGGCAATGCCCAAAACTAGCACCGCTATGGGCAGAGGTGGCCCGCCTGGTCTCCAATTTACTCCACACAGATATCTCCTTAGACCCATGGATATGGCTCCTATCCAAACCCTGGGAACCTTTAACCAGAGCCCAAAACAAACTAGCAAACAGAACAGCTCTGGCAACAAGGAGGGCGATAGCAGAACTCTGGGGCACCCCGGAGGTCCCCACTCTATCCACAATCATCCGCAAAACCAGGGAAGCCATTGAAATGGACAGACTCTCAGCCCTAGTTCATGAAACGTCACGCCACTTTTACAAAATATGGGACCCGTGGCTGAGCGAGCTGGCGCTGATGTCACCGAACCTCGCTACGCCGCAGCCCCTATAAATGGCCAACGGAAGCATAGCACAGCAAGGAGACCAGAGGGGGAAACCCAATAGCAAAACAAACAGGGGAGACCCTACAGGGGTCCACACCCGCAACTTAGGGGGGCCAACCCACAACAGACCCCAGCACACACCCAAAACCCCAGAACAGAAACACAAACTTCCCGTGAGCATAACACCCAACCACTGAGACCAAAGGTTGACTATGTTTATACTTGATTGTATATTTCTGTATGTCTTTACGTTGGTATTTAAGTTTCGTTGTATATTATGGATTTACCATTGCGCAACCTATCAATACACAACCAATGCAACAGTAAAGCTGGAAACCGGCTATTCAAAATGTCTAGTCACATAACGATGTCAAACATGTTATATCATAAGACAAATGTATATGCCACGGTTGCAAAATACTTCTGAAAAATAGAAAAATAAAGAATGTTTAAAAAAAAAAATATAAAACATAAAAATACCCAAAAACATAAAATAACCCCACAAATTATACATCTTTAAATAGCCCTGATTTGAGCGCCCATGTTATCCAAATATTGCTCAGATCCATGTAGGGTAGGGGAAATGCCACCGTGTTAAAGTTCTGACCGGCCGCACACATGGTCCTATGTCCAAAACAGTTCCAGGGCGTTTGGTGCTTTGGCCGGTTAACTTTCGGGAGCTCCTGCAGCTGCAATATGGGGTGGTCTGCCTGGGTCTTTGGTAGCGTTTGTTCCCCTTAGTCTCCGACACCTTCCCTCCAAAAAGCGTTCTCCTGGTGGGTTGCAAAGTCGTTCAAAATCCAGGACTAAATTGTCCGGGAGCCGCACGATCACCTCATGCCGAAAACAGTTCCATAAGATTTGCGGCCAAGTCCCGCTGAGGTGACCGGGAACCCACAAAGTCCTCATGCGTGGCTAAGTACCGCTGAGGACAATCCGTGGGTTTCTTTATGCGAACGGCCACCAGGGAGGTAGTGTTCGGTTCCATTATTTAACTCTGCATGGTTAAAATGACAGGACCACTGTAGCCAAACCATTTCATTGAGATTAAGTATTCTGGGTGACTTTAGTGGTTCTTATTGATTTTGATAACACTAAGCTACGAAGAGGTTCCACTGCATTTTTTTTTTTTAAATTTTTTATTTTTGCAGTGCATATAAAGATAACAAACAGGCATGGGGTACCCCAAAGGCAATCCACATGCACATTTCGAGACAATAGTTACACAGTAGTAAGAGCATTGGGGTATGTTGAACAGTGCACTAATTTTATATTTGGGTATATGCTTGAGTCATGCTAGGTAAACATTTTGTACATTAAGGTTCCGTTAGCGCTAATTTTACTAGGCTGGCATTAGTAACTCAGTTGTTATACCATGGGTAGAGCATGGAGCCTATACAGCGATCATTCATTTTGTTATATTCGGTGTTCGCAGTTATACTAAGCTTAATAGCACTCGACAATCACATTATCCTAATCACTATAACAGTTAACATTTAACCGCTTAAATAGATGTAACCATGCTTAATATAATTTAACTCATTCTCATCGTGTTGGGCATTTGAATATCAGGCACAATTGCATTATAACATAAACATGTTTAACATAATCAGGGTTAACCGTGTAGCTTCGTCTGTAAGTATGTATTTATGCTGTGAATATGCTTGGTCAGAGCGTGGGTTAAGTTGGAAGCTTGCGGTTACACATTGCTAGGCAGGTAGATTATGCATGTTTTGTGGGTAATATGCTAGGCTAGTGTGATGTTATCAGACATAGAAGTGTAGGATCTATGTGTAACAAGCTGGTGAAGCTACAGCGTGTATAAGACTGATATAGCTATAGAAGCTAGGATTTTCGTTGTTAGCTAAGGTGTGAGTAAGCCTGTGTGTACAATGGGCTATTTACAGTTAGCAGTGTCCATGAGGGGTTGTCAGGTCGCAGACTGTTGGCAGGCTTCAGGAGGTAGGCTGATGAGTGTGTTGTGTGCCTTCCTCAGCCTATGCCCCGTGCTTGCCGCAATGGAGAGTCCGTTTCCAGGTCTGTTTTGCTCGTGCTTCTTGTCGGTATGCGGGAACGTGGGTTGCCCTGTTCGCGTTGCGAGCTCTGTGTGCAGCATGACGGGTCTCTGTCTCTTCGGCTCCAGGCTTTGTAGGGGGCTAGTGCCCTCTGTCCGTGGATCCCCCTCCATCGGGAGGTCGGATCGTGGGTTCCCGGGGTTTCCGGCTTGCGGTCTTTCCTGTGGGTGGTCGGACTACGGCCTGGAGTTTCCTCCAGTTGGGCCCCCGGCCCAGAAGAGGGACAGGTGTCTGCTGCTGTGTGGTAGGTAGGTTCCGTTGGGGTCCCCGCTTGGCTATGCGGTCCCAGAAGGCCTGGCAAATAGCCTCAAACCGGGCGTCAAAGGCCTCTCTCCAGCTTTGGTCCATCTGGCTTACTGGGCTGTGCTGGGGTTGCGCTGTGGCGGCCATCTTGAGGGTGCCTCGTGGCTCACCCAGGTGTCTCGGTCAGGCCCCGTGGCAGTAGCTTGTAGTGTGTGCTTCAGTCGCTTAGTGCGGACCGGGATGTCCCCCACTGGTTTTTAGGGTTCCCGGCTATTGTTAGATGAGAATCGGGTGTCAGTCGGTTCCTCCAGGTGTCCCCTCCTCGTTTAGCATCCTCCTTATAGTAGAAGTGCCGGTTTTTGGGGGTTTCTACCCTCAAATAAGCAGTTTTGGTCAGGAGCTTGGTTCCTGCACGTCTGATCAGCCTGGAAGCTAGGCTCCGCCCTCCGCATTTGTTTGTTTTAACTAGTGAAGCAGTGCATTTTGATTACTGAAGAGGTATTTTAAGTGCTACAGTTACTGGTAAAACACCCATCATAACCAGGGCTAGATTAAGATCCCAGTGGGCCTGGTGCTGACAGTTATGATGGGGCCTAATTACAGTCATACATCTCAAACATCATGTATCTGATGGAGATGGTGTTGGAGGGAAACTCAAGGGATGCAGCTATAAGAAAAATACTCTATGCTAATCTCTCTTTAATTTATGCTTTCAAGTAAATCCATACCCCCTAACAGCAGTGTCCAGTGAAGCAGAAAGTCGATGGGCGGGGTTAAAGGGTGGGCCACTGACGCGAATTATGTGACCAGAACTGCCAAAAGGGGCAAACATGCCCAAAAAGGGGGCATGCCTGTCCAAAGAATTGGAAGGCCAGCCTGGCATCAGTGTCCCTATGTATCACAGTGTCAGTGTCCCCATGTCGCCCAGTGCCCTAGTGTCTCAGTGTCCCTATTTCTCCCAGTGTCCCCATATCTCAGTGTGTCTCGGGGGCACTGAGATACTTGGGGACATTGGGAGACATGAGGGCACTTGTGGATACAGACATGGGGACACTGGGAGACATGGGGACACAGACACTAGGGACACTGGCTGGGAGACATAGGGACACTATGAGACATGGGGACGCTGGCTGAGAGACATGGGCACACATGGAGACACAGTGTCCCTAGTATCTCCGTGTCCCAATGTGTCTCCCAATATCACTGAATGAGAAACCCCAGGAACATGCTGCAGTGATAGGCTGAAAGGGCTCACGGCCAATTACTGATGACTGTGACTGATTGGGGCTAGGCTGCAGGGAACCTTCATTCAGTGTTCCCAAAAAATAGCTGAACAGAGGAAGCGGTGCCAAGGGACATAGAAACATAGAAACATAGAATGTGACGGCAGATAAGAACCATTCGGCCCATCTAGTCTGCCCAATTTTCTAAATACTTTCATTAGTCCCTAGCCTTATCTTATAGTTAGGATAGCCTTATGCCTATCCCACGCATGCTTAAACTCCTTTACTGTGTTAACCTCTACCACTTCAGCTGGAAGGCTATTCCATGCATCCACTACCCTCTCAGTAAAGTAATACTTCCTGATATTATTTTTAAACCTTTGTCCCTCTAATTTAAGACTATGTCCTCTTGTTGTGGTAGTTTTTCTTCTTTTAAATATAGTCTCCTCCTTTACTGTGTTGATTCCCTTTATATATTTAAATGTTTCTATCATATCCCCCCTGTCTCGTCTTTCCTCCAAGCTATACATGTTAAGATCCTTTAACCTTTCCTGGTAAGTTTTATCCCGCAATCCATGAACCAGTTTAGTAGCCCTTCTCTGAACCCTCTCTAAGGTATCAATATCCTTCTGAAGATACGGTCTCCAGTACTGTGTACAATACTCCAAGTGAGGTCTCACCAGTGTTCTGTACAATGGCATGAGCACTTCCCTCTTTCTACTGCTAATACCTCTCCCTATACAACCAAGCATTCTGCTAGCATTTCCTGCTGCTCTATTACATTGTCTGCCTACCTTTAAGTCATCAGAAATAATCACCCCTAAATCCCTTTCCTCATATGTTGAGGTTAGGACTCTATCAAATATTCTGTACTCTGCCCTTGGGTTTTTACGTCCAAGATGCATTATCTTGCACTTATCCACATTAAATGTCAGTTGCCACAATTCTGACCATTTTTCTAGTTTACCTAAATCATTTGTCATTTGGCTTATCCCTCCTGGAACATCAACCCTGTTACATATCTTAGTATCATCAGCAAAAAGACATACCTTACCATCAAGACCTTCTGCAATATCACTAATAAAAATATTAAAGAGAATGGGTCCAAGTACAGATCCCTGAGGTACCCCACTGGTGACAAGTCCAAGCTTCGAATATATTCCATTAACTACAACCCTCTGTTGCCTGTCACTCAGCCACTGCCTTACCCATTTATTGGAATCCAAACTTAAAGATTGCAGTTTATTGATAAGCCTTCTATGTGCAACAGTGTCAAAAGCCTTACTGAAATCTAGGTAAGCAATGTCTACTGCACCACCCTGATCTATAATTTTAGTTACCCAATCAAAAAAATCAATAAGATTAGTTTGGCATGATCTCCCTGAAGTAAACCCATGTTGTCTCTGATCTTGAAATCCATGTGTTTTTAGATGTTCATCAATCCTATCCTTTAACATGGTTTCCATCACTTTCCCCACTACTGAAGTAAGGCTTACTGGCCTATAGTTGCCCGACTCCTCCCTATTACCTTTCTTGTAAATGGGCACAACATTCGCTAACTTCCAATCTTCTGGGACTACTCCTGTTAACAATGATTGGTTAAATAAATCTGTTAATGGTTTTGCTAGTACACCACTAAGCTCTTTTAATAGCTTTGGGTGTATTCCATCAGGTCCCATTGACTTATTTGTCTTTACTTTTGACAGTTGAAATAGAACCTCTTCCTCTGTAAACTCACGTGTAATAAATGACTAATTTATCCTTTTTCTCAACTGAGGTCCCTTTCCTTCATTTTCTTCTGTAAATACAGAACAAAAATATTCATTGAGGCAGTCAGCCTGACCTTTATCCTCTTCTACATACCTTCCTTCTTTTGTTTTTAATCTAACTAATCATTGTTTTACTTTTCTTTTCTCATTTATGTATCTAAAAAATGTTTTATCCCCCTTTTTTACTGACTGTGCTATTTTCTCTTCTGTGTGTGATTTGGAAGCTCTTATAACTTGCTTAGCCTCTTTCTGCCTAATCTTATAGATCATTTTGTCTCCCTCACTCTGGGTTTTTTTATAATTCCTAAATGCTAACTTTTTGTTTTTAACTATTTTGGCCACATCTGCGGAGTACCACAGTGGTTTCTTGAATTTTTTGCTTTTACTGACAAGCCTAATGCAATTTTCTGTTGCCTTCAATAGTGCAACTTTTAAATAATCCCATTTTTCTTGGACTCCATTTAAATTGCTCCAGTCTGATAATGACTCCTCTACCCATATTCTAATTTTAGAAAAGTCTGTTTTTCTAAAGTCTAAAACTTTTGTTTTTGTGTGGTGTGACTCAGTCACTGTTCTTATATTAAACCACACTGACTGATGATCACTGGATCCTAAACTTTCACCTACAGTAATATCTGATACCAAATCTCCATTTGTTAACACTAAATCTAGTATGGCCTCTTTACGAGTTGGCTCCTCAACAACTTGTTTTAGAGACAATCCCAGTAGGGAGTTTAGAATATGTGTGCTCCTGGCACAAGTAGCTAATTTTGTTTTCCAATTTACATCAGGAAGATTAAAGTCACCCATGATGATAACTTCCCCTTCATTGTCATTTTAGCTATTTCCTGAACTAGTAGATTATCTAACTCTTCAATTTGTCCTGGGGGCCTATAAATCACACCTACACGAGTTACTGTGTGATTACCAAGTTCTAACGTAGCCCAAACGGACTCTATGTTTGCCTCACTAACTTTTATTAGGCTAGATTTTATGCTATCCTTCACATACAAGGCCACCCCTCCCCCTTTCTTGCCTTCCCTATCTTTCCTATATAAAGAGTACCCTGGTATTGCTATTTCCCAGTAATTTTTCTCATTGTACCATGTCTCAGTAACAGCGACTAAATCTACACTATCAGTTGCCATTATTGCCACAAGTTCATGGATCTTATTCCCTAAACTGCGAGCATTTGTAAGGAGTTGTAAGGACTCCATGCACTAATAAACATTTTAATGTTTGAAATAATGTAATTTAAATAATGTTAACTAAAAGATGCAACTAAAATAAAATAATAAGAAAAAAGAAAAGACAAAACCTTTGCATTTTGTAAATTATGGGAATGTCTACTTTGTTGTTATTTGGACTGTTGCCCAGTCCTATGGAACTATCTTCTGTGCTTAAAAATATTTAAAGGAACATTCCCAGCACCATCCACAACAGAAGCACTAGGAGTGCCCTGGCACCCCCACTTCCCCCCCAGTGTAAGTAGTTAAACTGTTTACAAATAGTTTGACTTTTTAACTGGGGTCCGCCACATAATAGGTACATCGTCTAGGGAGAACTGGCATCTCCCGCACCAACAGAAAACTTCAATCTTGTAGAAGAGGTGACCTGCACCTGGGGAGGCCAGGCTGTAGTGGTTGTGGTGTTTAGGGTACTCCTTGGATGGAGTGATAGACACCACTTACAATTAGGATTATTCATTTAAGAATTGACAGGAATTTATACATTCTAACTTAATTTCAAATTTAAGGCCCAAACTCCCTAACTGTGAATATTAAGTCAGTTATGCTTCCAGTTTGGCTAAGTTTGCCTTATAATCCAAAATCACATTGAATTCCCAACAATTCTTACTTTAGTAATTAACTATTAATGTATCTAATTCAATGTTCTAGTATATTAATTATATATTATTAAAATTACTATAATGTTCCCCAGCCCTGTTCACTGACCAGCACGGTCTCTGTGTACACTGGGTAGTGACCTGATATTTGAGATTGGGGGCACTTTAGAAAAGGGAAGCTTGGCTATGGAGAATGCAAAACATTTTATTTTTGTAAAACCTTTTAGAAATTAAATATGCAAACACATGCACTATGTTAATCAAGCCACAGGGTCTCTTCCCGTCAAAAACCCCTGTCAAAGAAACTTCCTAAGAGCAATGGTAGCAGATCGCTAGTGACAGTGCTGCCAACAAGTGGACTACCAAAGAGAACCCACGCCTACAGCACTGCGCATGCACTAGAAATCCTTAACCCGGAAGTAGACAGCGATTGGCTGGTGGCTCCACGGCGTTTGGTGATTACAGGACCTTCCGCCAGTGTGTGGGCGGGGCTAGCAGGTACAGTAAGGACTGGTGAAGAGCTTTCAAAGCCACTTACCTGAGTATTAACAATAAGAGCATCTGGTAACAGTACTGTGAGGATGACTAATTCAGGGTGAGCAGCCACTCCAGCTGCTGGGGATCCCCACTCCTAGGATGCTCAGAGAACCTGCAGGAAGGGGCTGAGCATCATGCACTCTACAATAGTCAGAGTAGCAGAGATTGTCCTAACCATCCCTCAGTGTAAATTAACTGGGCAAAGGACAGCTGATATTTGTATATAGTATAATTAATTAATTACTACAGGTATGCATAATTTATTTTGGTTTTGGGGGTTTGTTTTGTTTTGAATTTTTTAAAATTTGGGTTAGACTACACTATTTGCTATTTTGCATATTTAGGTGTAGGTAAGTAGTCTTATGTTTTAGCAATTTATTTGTAAAGTGTCATAGAAAATATATTGAACTGACATCTAAAACTGCATAAAATCCTCTAGATTGTAAGCTTATTTGAGCAGGGTCCACATCATGCTATTGTTCCAGTAACATTTTGTAATTGTCTTGTTTATTGTTAAATTTCCCCCCTTTAGAAAAGCTGCGGAATAAGCTGGCGTTATATATATTTTTATATATATATATATATATATATATATATATATATATATATAGCACTACTTTTACAGCACTGTCTCTTTATTAGACCTGAATGCCACAAGCATTAGCAGCAATATGTGTGAGGACAGATTTGCTCTGTTATTTGTATTATAGCTACAGTGATAGTAAAATAGTTATAAAGGGGTGATAGTTAACTAAATCGGAAATTTAGGTCAGTAAGCTGCATTCCCACTAATATTTTAAACTGCATTGTCAGTATTTTTAGAACTAACAGTTGTAGAAATGTATTGGTTTATTTTGTTGTTTTTATGTTTGTATCACAATGTTCCCAAAGTCTCTGCATTAGCCCTGTGACGTGAACATACAGTATTTTACAGGGATAATATGAACACAAGGCTTACATATGAATGGCAATTTTCAAAAGTGCACAGAATATTGGTTTCAGTTGTAATCAGGAATTTCTGAGATATGTTCTTTAGGTGTTCAAAAAGCCTATAGAAACCGGAAATAGAGAAACGCATAGTTTATGCATTATGCGTATAATACACTTCACATGGTTGGTGGCATTCTGAAATATCCCTGTAAAACCTCCTTCAGTAGCAATACTATTTCACACTTGTAGTTTGTAGCTTGAAAAGTAATAGTAAACTAACTTGCTTTTGTTTTTTGTATTTTTTTCTTCTTTGCAATCTCCTCAAAGTGTTTTAAATTATTTTCTAATTATTTACTGTTAAATTACCCGCATGATGTTTCCACATTGCTTTAAATACCTGTATTCGTTCAAATTTCAGAGCAATGAGTGAAGTTGAGCTGAGCACACGTGTGTACGTGAAGATGAGACTCCATGCCGCACGGTACCCACACTGCACTGTTAGTGGGGTACTTGTGGGATGCAGAGGAAATGGCTGCCTCATGCTCTGTGACTGTGTGCCCATCTGTCATCTCTCCCCTCCACTGGCACTGAGTTTGGAAGTAGCTCTAACACAGGTACCAAAAGTCAGACAATCAAACAAATACTTTTTTATTATTTACATTTTTTCACCTACTCCTTTACTTTTTTTTTCTTCACATCCCTCTCTTTTTTGTGCCAATCTATGTATAAGTCATAGGAGCATAGTGTTAACAGCCAAATTAATCTGTCCTCTGATCTACGAGATGTTTGGTCTGCTAAATTATGTCTTGCTTAAGGGCACAGTTGATGTAATGTGTCCACAAATACAAGAGGGCTTCACCTTGTAAAAATATACTAAGTAAAGAAAAGAGCACTCTCAAGGATTTTTTCAAAGTGTATTAACGTAACGCTTCGACCCTCCTGGGTCTTTATCAAGATTATATATATATATATATATATATATATATATATATAATCAGAATATTTCTAAGTACTTTCATGTAAAATCCAACATTTTATTCACCTCATTATTTTACAAAATGCACTATTTTAGGGTCACTCCAAGCACCATAGCCACTGTAGCTCATTGAAGTAGTTATGTTGGTATAATTCTATGGACTGTATCATCTATTTTTGCTAAATAGTTTTGGAATGGTTTGAGGAAAAAAATTGTGCCTCTCTTCAACATCCAAAACCTACCCCCTTCAGCAGCTGCATTGGTAATGCAGAAGCTACTGTAAGATGGCAATAATATGGCAAGAGTGTTTTAAAGTTGGACAGCGTCATGCAGATGTCCACGTGCACCATAATCTCTACAGTTAGCTGTAGTGATTGTGGTGTTTAAAGTGTCTCCTTAAGTAGAAATTCTGTTATTTGTAGCAAATGCAAATCATTGAAAAGTGTTTCCATGTGAGCTTTGTTGGGACTCATGAGGGGCTGTATTAGGATTCCTGGAATCATTAAGAAATGGCAACTGTAAAATTATTGTTTTATTCCTATCACTACCAAACTCTTTAATTTACTGTCTCATTTTTTCTGTCAACATTACCTATTTTCTTACTGCTGTGTTCATCTGTTTAACAGATTGATTCGTGGAGCAATCTGCAAGGAATGTTTATTGCTGGTTACTACCAAGCAAATTCTGGTCTTAAAGACATCAGGTATAAATCTCTCTTATCATAAATTGCTCTTTGTGTCCTCCTTTATATTGGGTCGATTACACTTTGTGTCCTAAGAGGCAGTTCATTGGTGATTGCAAATAAATAATTAAGGCTGGTTTAGTGCCTCCTTCTACGGAAAAGTCATGACCATAATTTTAATCAAAGGCTAACAAATAGAAATAAATATAGTAGAAGTGTAATAAATAGAATAAATGGGTGTGGGGGAAGTAAGAGCGAGAAAAATGGGAAGAGTAGATGTTCGTGGCACGTTACTTGAAGAGTTAAAGGCAATATGTTATGACCAATTTAACTTATGCAGGTAGTAAAATACTAAGTATCTAAAAAATAAAATGCTACAACTATATAGCTAAATGAATAGTGCTGGATTTGGATTGGGCATAAGAAAAGAACATGACAATTTTAAAATAAAACAATCTGAGAAACCCATGCAATAAAATAAGAGTAATGCAATAAAGATGCCTCAAGTAGTTGTCCAGTTAGGTAAAAACTTAGCGCCCGCAGGAGCAAAAGGTACAACGACACCAACCTCCCAGGTCGTCTGACCAGATTTGCCTTTAGTAGTAGCAGTAGATGGCAATGATAGTTCCAGCTCTTTGAAGAATGCAAGTGCTTACGGTGTATGAACTATCTTCAGCACAACACTATTGTGCTCTGCTATCAAAGATTTAGGATTCCCCCACCTGATCTTTCCCAGATTTGCATGGTGACATGATATAGTAAGCTCATACAGCATAAGGTGGCCTGGGAGATATAAAAAGTTAGTTCTTTGCCCTTAGAAGTATAGTAGGCTGAACTCCAAGCTATCATCAAGATGGCAGACTTGTCTCTCATATGGCACAACTAGACTATTACATTATAGGGACCTTTGCTTTGCACTCCAGGTGATTTTGAAACTCTGAAAAGGGCGTCAATTTGGACAACAGCATGGTGATGAATAAACGACTGATATAAGGTATAGGCTCTGACATGCTTATGGTGTCACGAATGCCTCTAATTTGAATATGCCTGTGATGGCTGATAACCTCCAAGCCTGTCATTCTAGTCTGCAGTGTGTCACAGGTTTGCTGAAGGGAAACAGAGTCCCTTTCCATGCTAGTAATGTGGCCTCTGAGTATGTTCAGCTTATCAGTCATTGTTCCAGTGTCACTTGCTAGTTTTTTCAACTCACTGTAATATCTCCCTTCATGGAGCGGATTGCGTCTTCCTTGTTCGGAAGGAGAGAAGTCATCCAGTGCATAGAGTACATGCTACTCAAAAGATGAGAATTCCTTGGGGCACACGGCCGCCATGTTAGCAGCAAGCCTGCTCAGGTAATGGGACAGATATTCCCTGATTTCTTGGGATACCTCAGACGGGGATGGGGGCAACTTCCCCATTGGAGCAACTGTCAGGCTCTCCACCCATCATTTAATTTGAAGCTCCCACCATGGGCATGGAGGGGACCTGTGCCAGGTTTCCCCTATACTTTACTAGCAACTGGGCAGCAATAGCTGGGAGCCGCATAAGGTTGTGCAAGTGTTTAAGTCCATATCAGCTTTTCCATCAACCCATTGTGGGACAGATTACTGAAAATGTGTGGCGATAAAATAAAAAGTGGAGACCAATAAGCCTCCCTGTATTTTTTGCATATGAAAATAAGCCAAGAGATTCTAAGTATTTTAAATGCCCAAATTAAAAAAATAACTCTTTACAGATCGTAGAATCAGATTAATGCAGCAGAAGAAATAGAGACATTTTGATTGTGTATATATGACCAAAAATGAAATTAGCTACCATGATCAGGTGTGAAGGAGAAGCATCATATTTATACATTAAAGCATAAGACAAGTGCTGATTATTCCTAGAGAACATGTATATTCATAGCACCATTTAAAATGCTAAAAAAAAAAACTTCACTTTTATCATACTTTATTTGAAAAGTGGAGATTGAAACGGTTTGTATTTTTAAGGAAGCCTAAATTCAGAAAACAGTCTGGTTGTGTTTTGTTTGTTTTTACAAAGCAGAATATATAACTATAAGAACTAATATAGCACATTTTAAATCCAAGGAAAAATCAATTTTTATTTTGGAATAAAGAGTTGGGTGGTTGAACTTGTTCTTTCACTATGTTATTTGTATATAATTTTATTGAAAAGTCTGTATCTATAATAATCATAAAAACCGTAACAATTATTAATAAAGTAAAGTATATCAATTGGAGATACAAAATTGACTTGTAATCCTCTCCAATTACAAAATTTAGCTTTGTTTCATTTTGTCATCTAAATAGAGCATATGGACTACGTGATGCTCAATTTGTTTTAAGAAAAATAAAAGTAGTTTTCTTTGTTTTTATTTTTTCTTTCTCAGCCCCACTTACACAGCTCTTCGATCTGCTTCTCTGATAACTGAGTATCAGGAAGATGCTGTGTTACTAATGGTAAGTCCAATTGTCTTTTGCTTTCTGAGTTTTGGGTTTTCTTTAGTTCATTTGCACCCTTTTTCTAGTCGTTGTGTCTGATCTTTTCTGTTTGTTGTTGTAGATGAATAATGAGCATCTCTCTCTCAATACTGGTGTTCCTCCGCTCACAGTTTTACATCAGAACAGCAGTAAGGAGTGGGTACCCAAGGAAAAAACTTTGTAAGTAACCTCTTTCTAAATTCCCATCAGAACAAACCCTAAACCGGTGTTCAGTAAAGCACCAAATCACTCCTGTGATAGCCATAGGGTTGGTAGTAACATTGGTGAAATAGCTCAATGGTTATTATTCCAACAATGGTCTCTGTTTAATAAGCTTTCCAAATGAGTCAGTACTGTTGGAAAATCTTCAAAATGGCTTATCAACAGAAGTCTCCATTAAAATCTATGGAAATTTTCTAGATAAATCATTTGGAAAAATGTTCTAACCGTATTGCATCATTTGGAAAGCTATTAAGTCAAGGCCTAAATTAATTCTGGGTTGCAAGTTAAACTCAGGGCAAGGGTAAGTTTTTTTAAGGTTGCTAAAGTAATTAGTGTTAATGATCATAACAACATGTTATACCCCAGGACATATTTAAAAAATAGAAGAGGGATTTTTCTGGTTAACTACGTTAATATTATCTGGGCTATATTACTGTTAAATTCCTCTATTTCCCCCCTCTCTCTCTCCCCCCCCTCTCTCTCCTCCCCCCCTCTCTCCCCTCTCTCTCTCTCTCTCCTCTCTCTCTCTCCTCTCTCTCTTATATATATACCTCTCCCTCCTCTCCTCCCTCTCATATATATATATACTCTCTCTCCTCCCTCTCTCCCCCTCTCTCCCCCCTCTCTCCCCCCCCCTCTCTCCCCTCTCTCCCCCCTCTCTCCCTCTCTCCCCCTCTCTCCCCTCTCTCCCTCTCTCCCCTCTCTCTCCCCTCTCTGCTCCCTCTCTCTCCTCTCTCTCCCTCTCTCTCCCCCTCTCTCCCTCTCTCCCCCTCTCCCCTCTCTCCCTCCTGCTCCCCTCTCTCCCCTCTCTCCCCTCTCTCCCACTCTGCCCTCTCTCCCCTCTCTCCCCTCTCTCCCCTCTCCCCTCTCTCCCTCTCCCCTCTCTCCCCTCTCTCCCCTCTTTTGTGAATGATCAACATTACATAGCTTCTCTATTCAGTATTAAAAATGCTACATGAATTCTCTCTCTTTCTCATATATATATATATATATATATAGTGTTAAATAGGGCCCTAGAATGAGTACTGCAGAAAGCCCCAGATTTATTTGTTTTCCCAAGTAAGTGGGTTAATCTCAGAAGAGCAGACATTAGGGTAGGACCTGCCAAAGATGGGGTGCATTGACGTTGTGGCAGGCTTATGAGTGTATGATCATATACTGTAATTAAACCCCCGTTATTTTTACCCTGATTAGGTGTTTAGTAACAGTATATTAGTATTATTTTTTTTAGCGCCGATACCAATAATCGGTGAACTTTCAGGCGGATAGCTGATAACTTACTGATACTGATTCTGTACATTTACCATTTTGAAAATATAAACTCTTTCCACACAAATCTGAACATAGTTATTATTTATTTATTTATTTTGCGTTTTTTTTTTATTAAGGTAAATGCACAAAATATATACATGCCAGTCAGAATTTTTTGTTTTCAAGAATATGTGTGTGTGTGTGTGTGTAGCGAGACGGACGCACAATCGATGGGCTCTGCATACAAACTGCTAAAACTAACGTTTCCCGACGAATAAAAAGGTTGTGATCTTCCCTAACCGGCCCACAAGGGCCATGGGAAGGAAAACGAGGAAGCAGAAGGTGGACAAACCAAAGCCAGGAGTAAATATTGGTGATCTGTTCCACCAAGCGCAAAGTGCACATGGAGCCAAAATGGCCACCAACCTAGGGGAATATACAGAATCCTCAGACAATCTTCCAGGTTCCTAAACTCTGCAGAGCCTGACCCTCACTCCACCTCCCCCCCCCACCCCCCACCTCGGAACACCAATATATTGGAGGTTCTGCCCCCCGCCCATGCCTAGGGGTTACATAGGCTAGGAATGAGCATACACCAAATAGATTAGAACCCACAGCACATTCAACAATTGGTTTCGGTCTCTCCGTTATGATTTTTCTAAAAATTATTATATTTTTGTTCAACCTGTGTTAAAAACCCTTTCATGTAAGTCGCACTTTAATTGCGCAAGAACGAGCCATAAATGAGCACAGTCAATCTGCTGAGTTATCACTTAAATATAAAATCCCACAGACCAACAGTTTGTGTAATGTTTATTTAATGAATGCGTAGTGTGTGTGTTTTTGTGCAATGTGTTTGTTTGGTGTGTAAAATGGGGGGGAAAGGGGCATTTTTATTTATTTATTATATTCCTGGTGGGGGCCAGCAGCACTCTTACTTACTTTTCCAGCAGCTCCCCTGTCTAACTCTCGCGGCCTGTGTGCCGCGCAGAGCGTTGCCATGGTAACCTGTGGCAACGCTCTGACGGCCGTGGGACTCGCGAGAGTTAGACAGAGCAGCTGAAGGGAGCTGCTGGGAAGGTAAGTAAGAGTGTGCTGGGCCCTCCAGGACCCTGATGGCGGCCCTGGTCTGCGTTATCGGCAATATCGATATCTTTATTGGCAGATACCGATATTGCTGAAATGACAGAATATCGGCCGATATCGGGCAGACCAATGATCGGTCGATCCCTACACTATATGATCATACATTGCATAAGTCTGCCACAATGTCAATGTACCCCATCTTTGGCTGGTCCTACTCTAACACAGAAGGTCTGCTATTCTGAGATTAACAGTTACTTGGGGTAAAAATTCCATCTGGGGATCTCTGCAGTACAAGGTTAAATAGGGCCCTCATTCCAGGGCCCTATTTAACCTTGATATAGATATATGTACATTTGGTGATCTATATAAAGTATTCAGTGCAGCAGAACCATATTTCTAGAAAAAAATGGTTCTATTTGGCAGAGTGCAGTTGCGGAAGGGAGAGAATGTATATGTGTGTGTACACACACTTAGATTGCAGAGTTCGGGGTTTTGATCCATGTCTATTGAAACAAGTGCCCCCCTATAGATACTTTGTTTTCAGAAACTATGTTTATTTATTTCAGGGTAATGTGGGGTCACTGGGAAGAAACCCAGCGAATCACAAGGCAGCTACTCAAAGCTAAGGCATATCGACATTTGGTGGATTTTGACGCACACCTTGATGACATCAGAGCTGACTGGACTAATCAGGACCTAAATGTGGAAATTGCACGCCTGGCTGCAGCAGCCAATGGCAGTGCTTAATTTGCAGGACTTCTTGGACCTTTAATTTTGGGGTCTTTGCTTGTGGATTTATATGCAACTTAAGTGTATATAGAATATGGTTACCGAAGGCAATCCATATTTCAGTCTCTTATGGGGTTAGAGTTTGAAGATGAAGCATCACTGGAATGTCGGCATAACATGTAAAGAATGCATTTTGATGCTGCTTGTATTGAAACATTTGATTTTATTATTGAGATATTTATAATGTACTGTTTATTCACTACCTGACTTTATACTCTAATAATGTACTGCTTATAGTATCTGTATGCCTGAAAACTCACAACTGTATTCCCAAATGGGACATATGTAAACATATTAAACCAGTTTGTGCAGCGATCTCAGTATAAAGCCATATATGAAGAAATATTCAACAGAATTTCTAAAGAATTTATTGGAATGTCAAAAGTAATTTTGTTAGGTTACTGAAAGTTTTAAGAGAGTACTGATGACAAACTGCCTAGGATTGTTAAAAGTAGATGATAGCTTTAGGTAAAGTATTAAATAAACCATCATCCGTGCTTCTCTTGTAATGTATACATTAAATAGAATGTAGGGCTACATAATATTTAAATCCAAATTATTCATATATGTTTTGCCTTTCACTGCTAGTTTTTTTGGGGTTTTTTTCAGCCTACATACAATATCGAAGTACAGCAAAAATTAGCTGCATACATTTTAGAATATTTTCTAAATAATTTTATTAAAAGGAGATAAACGAGGTTAACATTGAAAGATAATGTTATTTACATCAATATGATAAAACTTAGTAGATATACACCAAACAAATTGGTAGAGTATCTTTCTAGGATTTAAAAATAAAGATTGGATATGGCTACCATAACCACTGATTCACTAGTATAAAATAACCACCACCAGGGGTTAGACAATCAAAATGAAACACACTAATTGAAATAAATCAATTAAAAATACACAGGATTCAGTGGAAATGAGAATGTATAGAGCACTTCACAATAAATGAAAGTTAATATTTGCTCTCTTATTCAAATATAAATGTATCAGCTGATCATGTCATCACCACCTATTAAATAAGGAAGGCAGAGTCTATGAGCTGCTGAAAATAATCTAATATAGGTTTCAATAAATTATGAATCTGATATATGTAGCTGGGTAATATAAATAAAATGGGATAGAACCCCTCCAAGGGTTAAAAATGTGATGCAGCAGACAGATACTTTTCCAAATTTATTAATAAATGACAAAAAAATGCTACAAATATATGTAGCTATCAATAAAAGTCCCAAAAAAGAGTAGCAAATCAGACAGCCCCAATACCAGGTTAACAGACCTCGAGCCCAAAAGGATATTGAGATTACTTTCTCGCCGGCCGGACAGAAGTAAATGGGATTTTCCTCGTGCTGTGTACCGCTGGTTTCTAGCCGCATGCGTTCCACTGCGGCTCAGGATGCGTGTCAAGGATGCTCACTCTCGGGATCAGTGTGTGTTTGGTTTGCAGATGCCGCCTTACATGTTTCGTGATTCTCGATCACTTCGTCAGAGGATGGCATCGCGGAGTCTGCAGTCTTCTTTTTATACTTGTTCTGTCTGTCTCCAATAGTATTAAGTTAACCCTTACTAAGTCCATATATAATGTTGCAATTCATATCAATAAAAGTAACATAAAAAGTTAACACATAATACATTGTTTATTTTTAAGGGAATGTAACCACACATAAAATCCATAATGAAGAATTTGTACCCATATATAAGGTCTATAAAAAGGGGAAATTATAAAAAGGCAGTATAAAAGAGGACAATATAAAGAGGGGCAATATATAAAAAGGGGGAATATATAAACAAGATTATAAAGAAATTCTGACATATTAGTGATATACATGTTGTATTAATTAATGAAATAACAGATATTCTTGTCCATCTAATACATTATAAAATATTGTTTCTCATAGATTCATCATCCAAAAAACAATAATCAGTAGGTTCAAAATTAATATATGATAAAAGATGAAATAAAAAAATAAGTTATAGATATATAGATCAGTACAAATCATAATTTATAAATACATCTTTAAATATAATGTGTAAAAATAATGTCTAAAAATATTTTTACAAATTTAAATTTTTTTTTTACATTTTTTGAAATTTAATTCATATTAAAAATTTAAAAGATTAAGAAATTAATTGAGATATTAAGTGATTTACAAATCACCTAGGGAGATAAAAGGAAGAGGAAAAGACGAATACATTATTAGTTATGAAATTCAATTGGTGTAAATGCACACTGAGAGAAAAAAAAAAAAATGTAAAAAATGAAATTAGAGAAAAGCATTTAATTCAAAATCAATATTTAGACCAAAGGGCTCCAAACTATTAAGTTGAAATATCCATTTGGCCTCACTTTTGTCTAGAGCTTTTTCATAGTCTCCTCCCCTCCAATGCAAGTTCACTTTTTCAATAGCATAAAACTCTAAACCTGCTGGATTACTGGAGTGGCAACTTGCAAAGTGTCTGGAGAGATTATGTGTGATGAGTCCCTTCTTAATATTGCGAATATGTTCTCCTAGTCTAATTTTAAACTTTCTTTTTGTTCGACCTATATAATATTTCTTACAGGGACATATTAGGAGATAGATAACTCCAATGGTATTACAACTTAGATCGGATTTTATTTTAAATTCTTCGTCCCCTTTCATGTTTTCAAATTTCTTTGTTAGACCTGGTTGGGTTGGATTGTTTCTACAACCAGGACATCTATTGCATTTTTGAAATCCATACAAGTAAGAATCAGAAAACTGGTGGATTTCAATAAAATGTTTGGTGACAAATGAATATCACTCAAGAACAATGCGTCCAAGCAGTTGATAGGAATTCCAGTTAACAAAGACGAAAAAAGTAGACAGTGGAACCAAATTTTAAAATGCCAATCTTAAAGGGACACTTTAGGCACTCAGATAACTTCAGCCAATTAAAGTGGTGTGGTTACAGTGTCCCTTTTACGCCAGTTTTCCAGAGAAACTGCAATGTTACATTGCAGCACTGTATGCTTCCAGTGGCTGTTTACCAGAGGGCTTCCTGGATCGAAACAGACCTTTGGTCCGGTATCTGATGCTGGATGTCCTCATTGAAATCATACCAAGCACTAATTTAAGTTCAACTTCCTACTTTGTCATAACAGAATGCTTTGACTTGTGCAAGTTCAAGATATTGATTTACCTTTCACAACAATTTAAAACCTTTTCCAAATATACCCCTATATAAACTGCTCAAACACTTTGCCTATTAAAACTAATTAACATTCTACACACACTTCTGGGATTCAACATTTTATTACAGTATAGACAGCAGATATTCATTTAATGAAACAGTAACTGTAAAAATCACATAAAATATATTCCAGATGAGGGTAAAATATGTTCAGTAGATAAGTCGTTTGGCATCTCCCCGAGGTCTCTTTATCTTGGCATAATTCTTGGTAATTATATCATACAGGGTAGCCTAAAACAGAGAAAAATGGAAATTCTTACAGATATGCATCTCCTTTCTTATGCTAGTATTATGTATGTTATGATTAGTTCATGGATTGAACAAAAGGGGGACACGAACTCTACATACAACTTTCCAGCTCTATCTAACAGAAGGAGCAATCAATAAGGGCCCTACAAAAATATGCGAGGTCTAGCAAAGCTAACTACATTAATACAGCATACAGAAAACTGTAGCAGACATAAGGACACACATTATACTTGGTCTGCATTAGTGGGAGACAATTTTACATATTTTAAAAACAGGCAGGTAGCTACAGTGGTATTGAGTGGGCAGGGGTTTGAGCAATGTACACTTTGACACCACATGCCTCGTAGTAGCTTTCAATCTCAATACCGGTGTGTCCTGAGGAAAGTTCACAGTTGTGAACTGAAACGTTGACCACTTGGATTAAATGCCTATTTTTCATGCTGAAGTCCTTGAGTGCTGGCTTTCTTTTTGGAGACTGTATTTGTGTGCAGCTGAGCACCGGGCCAAGATCTGGAGTGCAAAACTCCCATCGTATTGTGTGTGTGTGTATATAATATATATATATAAAAATTTTTATTTCTTTTACTTTATAGCAGCCTGGGGGAACTACCTGACAGCTCAGACAGTCCTCCTGCAGGCAGCTCCTAGAGTCCTATTGCACCGATGTGATATTGATGATCACATGACCCTGGAGGGCTGGGGTGGCCGGAGCTGCTGCAGGGGGACTGCTAGGGTCTCCGGGAGTCCCCCCGACCGTGATAGTCGGTCCAGGGCTCCTATTTTGGTCCTATTAGGTAAGTCTGTGGTCCTTAACGACCGTTTTTTATAGGACGTACCTAGTATGTCCATGGTCGTTAAGGGAATATACATACACACACACATATACATATATATATATATATATATATATATATATATATATATATATATATATATATATATATATATATATATATATATATATATTGATTCTAAGTGTATTTTGATATAAATATTTATAAATATAGCATAAAATGTATATTATATATATATAAATTTTTTAAAATTATTTTTACAGTTTATTTTTAATTGTTTTTTATAATATATATATATATACACAAATTATATATATATATATATATATATATATATATATATATATACACACACACACACACACACACACACACACGTGTGTAATTTTACTCAGTGTATTTTTATATTAATGTATTATATGTATATTAAAATACACTTAGTATGATGTCATATATATTTTTTTTATATTTTTTTTTACTTTTTGCACCAGCAGGGGGACTACCTATCAGTTCAGGCAGTCCCGCTGCTAGCAGCACTGCGAACACCTATGGCGGCCATGTGACCGCTCTTTTAGAGCGATATAGTCCCCCTCAGGAGAAGACCGATCGCCGGCGGGGGAACGGCGGCGATCGGTAAGTACATGGGGAGGAAAGGTAGGGGTTAATTATTTTACTTTTTTTAAATTTTTTTTTTATTTACTAAGTGCTTTGACCCCTTGAGGCACTCAGTACAGGCAGCGTATCGGAAGCCTGCCTGAAGGCTTCCGATGCTCTGCACTACATTGCCGGGCGCCACGTGCGGCAACCCGGAAGTGATCGCTTGCGGTTCTTAAGGACCGTTATTTTGACGGACGTACCTCATACATCCGTGGTCATTAAGAGGTTAAGATAAGTTGATTGGAGAAGTGTGGCAGTTTGCCGAGCATATGCTCGTCATCCATACTGCTTCTCTATTAGAAGCCTTGGATTGGAAGACGTCAACATGCTTACAGACAAAGAAGGTAGCGGCTGCACAACAGTGTCTCATTGCTGGAAACAAGGGGAGTAACAAATATTACTTCTACATTTTAAAAATACAAAGATGCGTTTTCCATATCTGGAGCTCCAACGGTTGCCTACCCCTAACTAGACTATAGCTAGGCTAGCCATCCTGCATCAGCAATATGGATGGCTCTCTCTTCCGGCAGTACTCACATAGAAGTTCCTTATCTCCAAAGCTGTAATGCGTAGCTCAGAATACTGGGCTTCATCCAACTGGTGAACAAGAGCACGGTAATCTCCCTGGGAAAGAGGGGGAAGCACTTTAGTCAAGGTTCATACAAAATTTAGGAATTTAGATGGTGTTATGAAGTAAAAATATATCTCTTACCACATGAGGAGTTTTTGCTGCCTTGGCCACTGCATCACCTCGATCAGAAAGATACCTATAAAATACATATGATTAATGTAATTGAAATATCTGCACTGCCATAACATTCAGAATTAGTGAGGCCTGCATACACTGAAATAGTAAGCTTGATGAACTGCTAACTTGACAAAGAGTTTTAACTTTTTTCATCACCACCATTTACCTTAATCTCGATTACTAATGCTTTTACCTATTTATCAACCACAGTCTTCACAAGAGTCGCTAAACATAACTTATTTCACTAATGCTTTACTCAAATCCTAATTTCTGATTTTTAATCTTTTTTTGTCAATCTTTTTCTATTGTGGTGTAAGCAGTATTTCACAGGTTATGCAATAACATTACAATACTTTTAATCTTAACCATAAAATAGCATTTAACATCAGTCAGGTTGAAATGGCTACATTGAAACAGGACAGTTGTAGAAACCTATAAAAATTAATCTCTGTTCCCTTAGAACAGGTGTGTCCAAACCTTTTTCAAAGAGGGCCAGATTTGATGAAGTGAACATGCGTGAGGGCCGACCATTTTGCCTGACATTCTTTGAACCATTAAAATTAAAATGCAAAATGCAAATTAAATTAAATGCAATTATGCAAAAAAATTTGCAAGCGGCATACTTTTCATTTCATCTCTTTATTCTTTCTCTCTTAATTCTGTCCCTCCTCGCTTTTATTCTGCCCCTTTATTCTGTCCCTCCTCGCTTTTATTCTGCCCCTTCATTCTGTCACTCCTCGCTTTTATTCTGTCCCTTCATTCTCTGCCTCTTCTCTCTTTTATTCTGCCCCTTCATTCTCTGCCCCTTCTCTCTTTTATTCTGCCCCTTTATTCTCTGCCCCTTCTCTCTTTTATTCTGCCCCTTCATTCGCTGCCCCTTCATTCACTGCCTCCAGGGAGAAGGAACCAAATCTCGCTACGTCAGTGTCCAAGAGATTGCGAGAACTCAGACTGAGGACGAGCAGTGACTGCACGTCCATCTGCGTTCTCACGATCTATTGGCCCCCAGTGAATCCCTGCGTGCCGCTCAGGACTGCGACGTTCAAAGATCCAGGGATCCTGAGCAGCACTCTGGGATTCACTGGGGGCCACAACAGATAGGATTAGCCAAATAACCTGTGGGACTGTATTAAACCGGAACGCAGGCCGCAATTGGCTCGCGGGCCGTACTTTGGACATGACTGCTTTAGAACAAAGAAAGAGCCAGACGAGGCTGCTGCGCTAGAGATTAGACTTACTTTGCTATCTGAGTTTGTGAAGCATCTAACTTGGTTCTCAGGTTTGTCATCAGTTCAAACACCTTTTCCTGGAAATAAAAATGAATCAGACAAAATAATATAAAACAACACTTTGAATATCGTCTTTAAAATAGCTCCCGTCTCCAACAACAGCTATCATGAACACATGAACAATATCATCGTAAAAGGAGTAACGAGCTGTTACAGATTGCTCTGATAGTAGTTTCTAATGCAATTTTACACCAGTGTTTATACAATCATGCACTGCATATTCCAGAACAAACTGTATTGTGTATTTCCAGATTGGCTGGTGAACATCATCTGTTCATAAATATGAATTTACAGAACATATTTTGGAAAAATACATACAACCCATTAGTCCAGATTTATAAATGAAAATAAAAGCCACTTTCGCATATACTAACTGGTACCTATCCAAACAGGTTAGGGAAATGAAATCAATGGTTATATGCTGTGCCATATATTTATCCAAACTCTATTACTCTTTTCAAATCATATCAGATTCTACCATAAGATCCATAGCTTTTTGCATCATGCTTATAGGCATAAGGGGCAAGACACAATACTTTCACATTTATAGACCAACTTGACAATATGTATAACTGTGCTGAACCTACATTTATTATCTTGTGCGTAATGTACTCACATCCCTTCAAGGAAAAATTGCTGACAATCTAATAATATGAAACAAATATCAGTGATCGGTGTAACTAGTTACCTGAACAGCAACACCGAAGTTATTCCCATCTTCAATCTGAGGAATCTGAAGCTGCAGCCAAAGAGAGACCTAACAGAGACAGAAAGCACAAATACATTAGTACTATAAGTCATTCTGTGCTTCTCATTTAATATTCCTATGAACCTCGATCTCAGGGAGCCGATCAATATTATTCTTCCTCTCCTATTATTCCATTATGTTCTACTGCTCTCTGTCCCCAACGTGTTGCTCTTACCACATTCAGGTTTTCTTTTGCATCTTGGATTTCACTTCTGATTTTCTTCTGCAGACTAGCAATTTTCTCGTTGCAGGCAATGGGACCACAGGGGGGACCTGTACACAAAACAAATTAGAAAAATACTTTTCCTGTCCAGAAAAACAGTCAGCTACTGCAATGTTTTCTCCCGAATTGCTGTCAGTTAAACTTTAGATTACTATCCTGTAACCCCCCCGCCCCCATTTTGAAACTAAAAGTGTTAAAATCAATTAAATGCATCCTTATTCCAGCTCCGACAGTCTCCACATTGTAGCTCTCTAATTCTCCTCCTGGGAAGTCATCATTACTGAATGAGATGTTTCTCATAGAGAAGCATTGGTACAAAACATTCAGCAATGCTTCTCATAGAGAAGAATAGAAACCAATATTTAAGTACATTTCAAAGCGAATTAAAATCCTCCTAGATGTCTGCTTGACAGTGGGGAGGTGTCACTAAGGGGAACTATAACATTTTGGTAGTTTTTTTAGAAACTGTGGTAGACTTTTACTGCTGGGCAAATAATAGCAGTCGTCTTTTAGACTGCCAACAAGGATCATTTAAATGTCAGGTGTACAAATCCAGGAGTGTTGACAGTTTTTCTTTCAGGAAAAAAAAAATCTCAATAAATAACTTTTCCTGAAAAGTCTGATCCACCATCAACTATCTTGCACATGATGTAATGACATATTGTATATATGAATATTCTTTTTTGTGTACCATTAAAGCTGCTATGTCAGTTCGGAGTATTTCAGAAATATAAAATCTAAATAAACACCCATATCTTGACTGTGTTGGAACTGAATTTAAATAAATTGGCAACACAATCAAAATATATAATGAGATAATGCAGTTACTAGGTTGTGTTAGGGCAATACTAGCCAGGCTTGACAAACAGTGTAGCTCCCACCATCAACTTTTGCCATTTTGCTGGCAATGGCTGTTGCAAACAAGTATCTTCTCAAGAGAGAGATGGTACTTTGCAAATAGAAGAAAATGGGAAAATGCTTTACCTTTGTCCTCTTCGTCCTCTTTCTTTTTCTCGTCTTTTTCGCCTTTTTCTTTTTTCTACAGAATAAATAAAAGCAACATATTGGTACATGGGTTAGAAGGGGATAGTCACTGATCTGCAGGTTCTTTACTAATGTGAAAGAAAGAAGTCTTTCCTTCTGTCTAAAACAATAAATTAATAACAGAAAAGGTAAATGTTTATCATAATATTTACTATTTAAGTATTATATTTCATTGTTCCCTTGAAATTATTATAAGTTTCTGTATTTCATCCTGAAACGTATTACTAGTAATTAAGGAGTAATAATTCTAAAAATGTAGCTATGTTGGTCAGAGTTATACCAACACATCAGCCGCCACGGCCAGAGTGTGCACAAACGGGGTCTACACTGACACGTTCCCGATCAGAAAATCGCCGATGCTCTTCATCCTGGCCCTCGCACCATTCTTACAGGAAGTTAGGGACAACACAGATATTACAGGGGTAGTGGCAGGGGCAGACCATCACAAAGTTGCAGCATATGCGGATGATATGCTCTTCTTTGTCACCAGTCTAGAAATTTCTCCCCCAAACATCATGGCAGAGTTTAAGAGAAAAGGCCAAATCGCAAACCTAAAGATCAACTACGCCAAATCCTCTATCCTCAACATTGGCAACCCCCAGGGGAGGGCGGATCAGATCCGACAAAGCTTCCCATTTCAATTGCAGGACACCACTATTAAATACCTGGGAGTGAGGCTTACGGCCAACCTGACCAAACTATCCCAAACTAACTTTGTCCCAATGTTAGGGGTTATACGGAAGAACACCCCACTTTTCATGGCTCGGTAGGGTGACCATCACCAAAATGAACATCCTCCCATGGGTACTCTATTTGTTTCAGACATTACCAATTCCACTCCCCACCACCTTTTTCATGTAAATCCGAACCCTCCTCATTAATTTAATCTGGAAGGGCACTAAATCCAGACTCAAATACTCACAACTTACACTCCCCAAAACAGCAGGGGGTCTGGCCGTCCCAGATCTCAAACTAAACTACTTAGCATGCCATATGCAACGGGCTAAGGAGGGGGTACATAAACCCTTGAAGGCCATCGAAGCACATCACGCAGGCAGACCACTCTCCGCCATCCTGTGGCTTGATCCCACTGTAGGCAGGCGACTGGTCTCCCAACAACCATTTATTATAGCCACTATGTCTATATGGCACTCACAAGCGAGGAAACTACGTCTGTCCTCCTTCCCATCCCCACTATTGCCCTTGGTGTACAACCCTGACTCTGAGCCAGGGATAAGACCAGGAAACCTTTGCTGCGTCCTTCCACAATACATTACTGCCACTGGGAAAATTCTGCCCCTGCACACACTCACAGGCACACCCACCCACACCTTCATGACTAACTTTAGATACACTCTAATCAAGAACCATGTCACCGCGATTCCTCAACGCCCTGATCTCTATAGAGACCTCACACCATTTGAACAACTATGTCAGGAACTGGACCCCATGCCCCATAGCATCTCCTGCTTATATTCGATGATACAACAGCGGCAGGGACTCCCCCCATGCCCTTTCATGTCCAAATGGGAAACGGCCATCAGGGAAACATTCACGGAGAACAAATGGCATAAGATATGCGATCTGGTGCACCATTGCGCAATAGCCAGTAAAACCCCTGAAACAGCCTATAAAGTTCTCATGCAATGGTACTTGACACGGGAACGCCTGCAGAGAATGCACATGGATACCGATGGCCTTTGCTGAAGGTGCAGGGGGGAGGTGGGATCCTTCTTGCACATCTGGTGCGAATGCGCGATCATAGTACCGTTCTGGGAAAAAATAGCCTCCACAGTGGCCCGTTCACAGATAATATGCCACTCTTCCAGCAAGCCCTCTATCTTCTACACCACACAACATCCCCCACGTTCCACTACAAATGCTCCCTGACCATTCGCATCCTTAATGTTGCAAAACATAATACCCTTGTACTGGAAAAAGGACACAGCCCCACCGCTGACCCTTTGGTATACTAAAATGGAAGAGCTACGGGTTATGGAGGAGCTGCGGTATGCAGCCCAAGACCGAGCACAGACACACATGGACATATGGGAACCCTGGCTGGTGCGGTCACGGAGTAGTTCCAGACCAGTCATCTGGTGGAGGAGGGTGGCTTGTCGCAGCCACGGGGGGAGGGCCCGGAAGATTCCCAGTAGGAGACACCGAGAGACAGGTGGGCTGACCTGCACTCGCTCTACTACCACATTCTTCCCTTGCCCTACCTCTCATTCCCGCTTCTCCTTCAGAGAGTGGCCACACCAAGGCGCACCTGCCTGCCTTACACGGGAGCTGAGCGGCTGGGGTCACACTGTTTTACCCTACAGGATGCAATCGCGTGCAATATCTGATATTGAAACGCGGTTGCACGCACTGGCAATATATATGTATTGGGACCCTTGTGGGACCTTCTTGAAATTTTACGGATCCTACGAGCCCTCAGTTTTGTTTCCCTAACGGACAATAAAAACAAACAACCTTAAATGAATGGGAAGTTAAAAAAACCTTAGAAAATGTGACTGAGATCCGCAAGTTTAGTTGGTTGTTAATATGTTAATATGTGCACTGTACGACAGTTAAATATCATACCAACACATCAGTGAAACGAATGCACAGAATCCAATGGAGTGAGTTCTCCAAATGTATTACTTTGCCCTAGAGATGCTTTAGTTTACCTTCATTAAAGGGATTCTATAGTGTTAGGAATTCAAAACTGTATACCTAACACTATACTGCACTCTGCCACCTCCCCTTCATGCCCCCCACCCCGCCGGCACATAAAGGGTTTAAAAAAAAAAAAAAAAAACAACCAAACTTTAATCACTTAACCGTATTACAGTTCCTCCTTCGACATCATGCGACGGGTAAATGTGCATGTGCACCGAGCACCGCATGCCCATTAGGCCCTCCTCATAGGAAATCATTGCCTTAATACTTAACTATGGTGTTTTAAGGACACTGGATGACATTGACGTCATTTAACAGAGCCAAACTCTGTTAGAATCCAGGAAGCACCTCTAGTGGCTGTCTGATAGGCAGTCGCTAGAGGCAGTCTTAGTCCTGCAAAGTAATCATTGCAGTTTCTCAAAAACTACAATGTTCTACATTGCAGGATTAAAGTGGACAGGGACACTGCACCCAGACCACTTCAATGAGGTGAATGGTCCGAGTGACTTTAGTGTCCCTTTAAATATGGTACATAGAGAGCTGTGCATTTAAGTGAACTTAGAAAAAATGTAACGTTATCAAGAAGCTATACTAAGCTGAAAACCTGTGTTTCCAATGTAGTCAGTGGGGTACCCTGCTCACTTCTAGTAAGGTATTGAAACTAGCACTGTGTTGTATATTTGCAGAGTTGCAGCATAGAACTTTGGCTGCTTTTAGTAAATGAGTTCAATGTTATGCAGTTAATCACTGTGTGGTTATTCACTTTAGTGAACAACTGAGTGTGCATTCACAACACTCCTTTTAGTGAATAACCCTCACAGTGTTTTTGCTATGGGAAGTTCAGTCAGATCTTTTCTACATGCTGGGATGTCTACTTGTGGTGCTCTCTCTGTAAGGCGTACACTAGGTGTATAATCACCTCCTTCTCCTTCTGCTTCTCTTTTTCTGGATCTGGTATTGGGATATCCAGTTCAGCACGCAGTGTTGTCAGATCAGAAACATTCAGTTCTGGAGACTAAGGAAGAAAAAATATATATATAACTTCAGAAAAAAAATAGAGAGTCTCTTCAAAATGTAGAGTCTCTCATGGGTTTTATTTATTAAACAGTAAAGGAAGATTAGTTGAATCAGCAAAGTTTCAAAATAAAAGAGACAGCTATGATTACACAATAGATTTCTGGGAAACATTTTACATCAAAAAGAAAATATGATCACCTTAGAAATATTTAAAAGGTCAGTAAAAAATTGACTTATTTTAATGGTAACTTCAGACTATATATATATATATATATATATATATATATATATATATATATATATATATATATATATATATTGTTGATATGTCAAACCTACAACATTCTTGCAGTGTTATTACATGTGACATACAGAGGTTTACTACAATATTGTTTAACAGAACACTATCCCAGATTAATCACTGATTGTCTTTCACAGAACAGCCCCAGGCTAGGAATATATTTTTGATGAATGGTCTTCTATTGGAATTGGTATATTGGGAGCCCCCCAAGAATTTTTATCTTAATCTTCAGCTGTTCTGATACGGTTGGCATGGCTGCTAACTCTGTTGTCTGATTAACGTGCGTATTCCCATGCCGCCACTGAAAGACTGCCCACTTGGATGCGCACTCTAAGTCCAGTGAGGTCACGTTGTCAATATTTTCCATGCTGTATAGCTGCTAGGTTAAGGAGAGCTATATCTGTTTCACAACTGCAAGTTCAGTTGTTAATTTCAGTCTAGTGGTTCAAAATTTACCATTGCGGTTTTATTTTTAGAGCTATGGTATTGACAGGGTAATTAACTAAACACCAGATTTTGTTAAATGGACCAAATATAGTGAAAATACAAAATTCCGCCTTATTCCAGTGAGAATTCGGCTAATCCGACCGAATCTGATCAATCAGCCGGATGCCTTCAGTATTTGGATTAAAATTATAGCTTTTTGCATCCAAGCCCTCTATACAAAGTATACAATAAACAATATTCACAAAGCACCAGTTTAAATGAACTTACATATACATCATAATGTACTGTTTACATTAACTTCAGTAGTGTTTTGTTTAGTCTTTTAACCCCTTAAGGACCAAACTTCTGGAATAAAAGGGAATCATGACATGTCACACATGTCATGTGTCCTTAAGGGGTTAATTCAAGCAGAGGTAGGGGAGACAAAGTTTAAAGGGCTATCCAAACTTCTTATAGTGGTTGTCAAGTGTTTTGACAAAACCAGGATTTCCAACACTACATTTTCATACATCCTGCCTGGGACATCCTATGGGGATGCATCCTAATTATCCTAATCAGGCATACAAAATATCTATAGAACAAAGAAGCGGAAGCAGGGGAAAGAGATACCGCCAAAAACATGATTCTCTCAAGCCACTGAATCCATACACCAGTGGGACATTCCATAAAATGTCCCAGGGCCTATCCCTATATATTACAATATGAAAAAAGAAAAATTGCACATCTCACATGAAATGTAGAGAATAGATACCTGGAAAGACAACAGTATCAATAATAATAACTAAACATGACCTGAAGAATAAACAATGTAACCTAAATACGATCAAAAGAAAAAGATCATACAAGCCTTGTAAGGCCTGCATTTTATGAGCGATGTGCAATTTTTCTTTTTTCATACAAAATATCTAAGCAGGATTCATTGGATAAGCAGGATTCATTAGAATCAAAACTCTGTTGACCTTTTTTTAGCAGCACTAAATTAACAAGGAAGCCCCAGCGTGGGTTAGTGACAATTCTACAGGACTTTAATTGTTGTCCTGATGGGAAGGCAAAGGCAGGCCCCTGCTTAACTACTAGAGAGAGAAAAATGTATGTACCTGGTCAGTGTATGCATTTAGGGAATTAGGTAGTTATTGATTACAAAAAATCGTTCCCCTTCTCTTGCAGTACATGCTCATACTTCCACTTACACTCAGGAACTGGTCCAACTCAGAAATCTTATTTGGGAACCCAGATGACACCAGCTTATTGGCCTGTGGGTAAAAGAAGAAATATGACACATTAATGTGCAGTGAATCTACTTTTATTTTAAAATATATGTTCATTAGGGATGGTTTTCCATTTTTCAAGCAATGTTCATACAATCATTATAAGTAATGCATGATAGCAGGTTAAAATATTAACAGGGAAAATTTTAGCTTAGATGTACAATGCAAAAGGGATCATGGGTTTATGTCAGTGTTAATCAGCTTAAGCTAAGCCCTCACAGATGAAAGACTTTATGAGTAGTTGTGAACAATCAACCGTTTGACAAAAGAAACAAGATTGCCCTGATAAGAACAGTGTGGCGAAAGTAACCTCGCCACTTGTACGTGGAGGGGCCTGCTTGCCAGCCTCCTGCCCACAGACTATGGGCCCTGCAAGGAAACCGGTAAAAGACTGCCGAACTTGACCGACTGTTAACACTGAATTCCCTGGAACTGTTTTGGGCATAGGACCATGTGCACGGTCGGTCAAAACTATAACTTCCAGGAAATTCCTGAACCCCTGAACCGATCTGGGTGATTTTTGAATATGTTGTTCACCCAGATCGGGGCTATCAGAGGAGGTAACTTTATGGGGGTTTATGTGTTTTTAAGGTACTTTTTGGAGTTTCATAAAATGTTATGGTTTTTCTGTGCTTGGAGATAATTGGGTTAGATTAGTACAGTTCCTGATTCAATTATCTCCCAAGCACAGAGGAGGGATTCTATTGTTTGTGTATGGGAGTGTCTCACTGTATGACTTTTTATTGGTTTATTCACTTTGTGTCCCTGGGTGTCACCCTTGTTGGGAAACTTGCGTAAAAGGCCAGTGTGCCTCCATTAAAATTCTGTTCGTGCTTACCCTCAACATAGGATTGCTAGATCACTATACTCCCCATGAATTATAATCACTAGCTCTTATAAGAGCTGTTCCTGCTACGCTCTCTGGGAGTAGCAGAGGTCTGCCCACTGTGAAGGACGCCGAGACCCTGGCGCAGCTGCATCACTGGAAGTGGGGTCTGCAGTGCTTATGGTGTCTGGTGGAGTGCTGGAATTCCTTGGTGACCACTAGGAGCATCGATTGGTGGAGGCAGTCGGTCGGAGTGCCAGGTGGTCCGTCACGAACAGGTAGGGAGTAACAATATGGACATAAGAGGGAAACTTAGGAGTCAGGGAGTGAGCAAAAAATGATATTGGTAGAATGAATAGGAAAAAGGTTGTTCGAGGATCCCAGGTCTTCCCAAAGTGTATGGTATTATCGTAAAGATGTATAAAGCAAATTTTGAGAAGAAAGATGCAGATCCTCTTCAGTTCCTTGCAAAACAGATACAGATCACAGTAAATATCCTAGGGGCTAGTTTGAAAGCTTGTTATGGTCATGAGAGCTTGTCGCTTTTAGCGGAATTATATTGGATCACAAAGTGGTGTAATTTTAAAATAAGGAATTGATAACATTAAATGTTCTATTCTAGAAGGAGGTGATCCCACTGCACTGCTACCACATAAAGTAGTATGTACCACATGAGTTACAGACTCTAAATCCCTCTCCATTAGGTGTGGGAAATAGTAACATCAAGAGCATAGGGTTGTGTATGGTGTGCCTGGGGTAGACAGGCTATCTTGGTTCTGTCTAGTAAGCCATAGTGCAGGGGTAGGCAGACTTTGGCACTCCAACTCCACTTATGCTTTGCCAGCAATATGGGAGATGTAGTCCACAAGATCTGGAGTGCTGAAGGTTGCCTACCCAATCAACCTAATCCTTCTCTGGTCCATCTCACATGTACTATATAGGACTTGCTTGCATTATTGAGGTTTATTAACAGCTTTATCGTTGTATGATATCACAACAAATGCTTGATAGACTATAATATAGTCCATTGGATATGATAATGTGATTTACAGTGGAATGAATGTCATGAGTCCTGAAATGACTCTCTGCAATCAATCATGCTGCCCATTTTTATGCCATCAGCCCCTCTTCCACTAACCACTGCTGCTGCATGTTGAGGCAATTTTTTTTAATAGAATCAGTTGCACTTCTGAAGCCAGTTTAAACAGCTGTTTCATTTTTAGAGACTGATAAAAGTCACTGGCTCTGGGCACAACAAAATAAAATACAATGTCTTCTTTGCATTCAATATGGCTTTATTACACCCACTACAAAGGCCACGTGCAATGGCGGAACTAACGTACAGAGAACTCTGGTGCAAGAAAATTTTGTAGCCCACCCTCTATGGCAAGGGTCATCAAAAGGTGCATCCCCGTCTGTCTTACAACTCCCACAATGCTTTGTCAGCATAGGATCTACCATTTTCCCATCCTTGCAGGGTTGTATTTAACACTGAGCCGTGTTTGTGTTTTTGAATTCAAGCATGTTTTTGTATGAAGTGTGTGTGTAAATGTAGGGGTGTGCTTGTGAGTATTGTTAGCATTTAAATGAGGTTGTGTGTTTTAATATACTGTTGCTATTTGAAAGCAGTGGTGTGCTTGTGTGTAGTGATTGCCTTTGAATGTAGGGTGTGTTTGTATGTAGTGTTAATGCTTAAATGCACAGGTGTGTTTGTGTGTAGTGTTGGTTGAGATGCATGCGCACACACACACACACACACTATGTCACCAAAATAACTTGTATGGCAACAAAAACATGTATTTCTGACCCTATAGTGTTACAATCGCAATTCTTGCGATTCTTATCTCCTGCACTAATAGCTTGCTAGACCTCCTAGGAGCCTCCTGTGTGTGATTCAAGTTCAATATACAGAGCTGGAAATAAAAACTTCTAAAGTAAGAGAACATGTAATTGAAAATGAAACAATTTTTTAATGCATGCTGTGCAAGTCACAACCAGGGGAGGTGTGGCGAGGGCTGCATAAACAGCAACAAAAGTGATTTAACTCCTAAAAGAATTAAGCAGGGAGACTTCAGAGGCATGATTTATACACCAAAACTAAGTCATTGAGCTAAAGTTGATTTGGTGACTATAGTGTCCCTTTAATTTATTGAAGCGTTATTAAAATCAAATCAACTTATTCATCTAGTAACATTTCATTTAGATTCAGTTAATGATCAAGACTTGGTAGGTAGATGTCCTTATAACCCCATATTTTGAAGGTTATTTATTTCATTGAAATTGGAAGGACAAAATAATGGATTTTAAATAATAGGTGGAAGAATTATCCAATGAGTTATCGCATCAGCATTCTCACTGAAACATATAGGAACATGTGACGGCAGATAAGAACCATTCGGCCCATCTAGTCTGCCCAATTTTCTAAAAACTTTCATTAGTCCCTAGTCTTATCTTATAGTTAGGATAGCCTTATGCCTATCCCACACATGCTTAAACTCCTTTACTGTGTTAACCTCTACCACTTCAGCTGGAAGGCTATTCCATGCATCCACCACCCTCTCAGTAAAGTAATACTTCCTGATATTATTTTTAAACCTTTGTCCCTCTAATTTAAGACCATGTCCTCTTGTTGTGATAGTTTTTCTTCTTTTAAATATAGTCTCCTCCTTTACTGTGTTGATTCCCTTGTTTCTTGTTTCTGTCATATCCCCTCCGTCTCATCTTTCCTCCAACACTAGTATGTACGGATGTGTGCTTTCATTTTTATATGAGCCTTTGTTTGTATAAAGAGATGTACATACTATCGATTTACAAGAAGGGATTAATTCCCTTAGACAAGTACTCACCTCCAAGCAGAACTGTTTCTGAAATCCATCTACCTGTAAGAAAGAGAAAAATGGTTTATAATGATATGTTAATATTATACTACTGTTGAATCATGTTGTGAATATCTGTTACTGTGGCATTTATCATGATGGTTAAAATAAAATAGCCACATTTAGCAACACCCTCTCTCTCTCCAGCAGTGGTCATGTAACATGTTGTTTTAAAGCAGCTCTGTCACGTCCCAATATTTTATAAGGATATAATCTTCACGAAATGCTTATTGAGTTGGAATTTTATTGAAATTCCAATGCAATTCCAAGCTACCTTAAGGCAAATTAGCCTGAGGTTGACCAAAGGTGGAGTTGTGCCATCAAAAGTGATGGCTGTGGAATTCAAGCATGGTCTCACTCATCCCAAGACGTCATCTGTGTAGGCTCCTGGGACTTCCTAGATGCTCCATAGACCATCATCTACAGCGCTGGCACGGCTCCTGCCAAATGAAGAGCCAGGAGCCAAAGACCTCTAAGAAGATGGTGGTGGCCGCGAGAGACAGCTTCAGGTCGGTATACGTACCTTCCACTGCACCACGCAGCTACTGGACGCTAACCGGAGATGTAATTCCGAAAATGACAGATCCACATTAAATAAGGATGCTTATACATTACAGAGCTGTAATAAAAAATAAAATGTGCCCAATATACAGGTGCAGCCTAAATTGGTTATATCACTTTGTGACATCATTAAACACCACCCTATCAACCAAAACCAGTCAATGTTTTAGGCCACTACTCCATATTAATTCTTCTTGACCTCTCTGCCACTTGTTATGGTTCTCCTCCTATCTCTCTCAATGGTTGTTCAGTGTCTCCTTTTCCAATAAAACCTCCTCCCCTCATCCTGCCTCTGTTGGAGTCAACCAAGGATCTGTTCTTTTGTTCTCTCTTTATACTGCATCTCTCGGCAAACTCATTAATTCCTTTGGATTCCGCTACCACCTGTACGCCAATGACACCCAGATATATCTCTCCTCCCCGGATTTTTTCCCCTGCTGTCCTACAACGTGTCAAAGCTTGCCTTTCTTCAATCTCTGCATGGATGTCCTCCTGCTTTCTGAAACTCAATCACTCTTAAACTGAGCTTCTTAACTTTACTTCTCAAAATGCTGATCCTTCTCTGGAAGTTGATTGCACTTGCATCAGTCCATCCTTGCAAGCTTGTTGTCTTGGTGTTTTCTTTGATGCTGGCCTAACCTTTGTACCTCATATCTAGTATATTGCAAAAACCTGTCGATTTCACCTAAGAAACATTGCCCACATCTGCCCCTTTCTCACGCAAGATGCTGCCAAGGAGCTTGTTCATGCTCTGGTAATCTCCCGCATGGACTACTGTAATTCTCCCATCTACCTATTGCTCCTGTAACATTTTGTAGAGGTCTCATTTATTGTTAATTTTCCCCCTTTCATAATATTATAAAGATCTGCGGAATAAGATGGTGCTATATAAATACCGATAATAATTTAAACTATTTACTATTACATGAAGAAACAACTGTATTATGCTTGTTGGTAGTAGTGTCCCTTTAAAAGAGTAGATTAGGTCTGAACACTGTACAATACAGGCTGCACATGATCCTCTCTGATAGTTCATTTTTAATATGGTTTACAAAATGTTATTTAATCCCGATATTCTGACTGCTGGGCTGTCTGAACTGCATTACATTATAGTTTACTTTCAGGGTCATATTTCCCACCTACGTGTTTTCCAGCCATGCGAGATACAAAACAACTTTCATTTCTAGTTTTATAAAACGAAGCAATAAATACAGTACACATGTATCCATTTCTGGATGGTTCAACTCTACAACATTATACAAAAATATACAGTAATGAGTGCCTCAAAATAATAAAATAACTTTTAGGAAATGCAAATTAATAAAAAGATTGTTTAATAACAAAATGTCTAAATAAGCCATGTCTGCTATTTCGTCCTACATTTTGCAAGTCACTTACCACAATTTAGTGAATAAACCCCAACAATACTTGTTTGATGCCTGCAACACAATGGGCGACTTAGAAAGTGAAATATATTTTAACATTAGGTCTAATTATAACTATTTGCATGGTGGTTTCATGGCGAGACATTTGGGCAAGTTCCTTTCAAATATATGTCCTAATTTAGAAACAAATTTCAGTGATATTTCACTATATCAAAACGTAAACTCCAATAATGCAAAATGAAATGGTAGGCCTCACCCTTAGTCATGCATTACGACATGGCAACATCGTTACAGTCAGCATATAAGAGGAACAATTTTGCATTAAATAAGGGATTATTGATTAAACTGTGAATTGTGGGGAGTTGACAAATTTGTTCAATTTTAAGCATAGCAGCCAAATTAGGAAACCCTATGCAATTATATATATATATTTTTTCAACTTAGCAAAATAGTTTGGTTTTTGTTTTTGAGTTCATGTTCATCACAGTTAACTGTTTAGCAAATAAACAATTAAGGACACAACATCACAGTATAAAACTAATAATTTAATCACATTTTATAGTTGAGCACCCAGAGCTTACAGCAGGCAGAGTGTCAGCAGCAAGCATTTGTCTACCTGCACACAATGTGTATACTCACAGGTACACAAATACACACATATACAATAAGACCAGTGTGCACTGAATTTCTCACCTTGTCCTTGGCAGCCTGTGAAATCTCTAAAGAAGCCATAACTGAGAAAATGAACAAAATAAATCTATTATCTGTCTGTCTGTCTCCCTGTCTGTTGTCCCTCTAGTTTTGGGCCAAACCTTCAAGTGAAAGTGAAAGTATATTGAAGGGGACTTCCAAAGCTGCTGGGAGGAGATAGAGATGGAGGGAGGAGTTCAGGCAGAAAGAGTGCAAGAAAGTAACAGTCTGAAAAAGAGAGGGGACAGGCAGAAAGAATGAGAGCTTTAGGAGTTAGCTATATAAGTGTATGTGTGCGGAGACCTGAAATACTATAGGTTTAGCATGTTAATAGAGTGTCTCCAAACCTTGTTAAATATGCAAAGCAGTATGTATATAAAGATTACAAGCATGGGTATTGATTAATAACTCCCAACTCTCCTGGATTCAATGGGACAGTCCTGAATACTAACAGCTGTACTGATCTAATCTGGGTTGTAAAGAAACTCAAGTCTATGGTGATAACAGTATAAAACACATCTTTTTATGCTGTTGATCCAAAATAAGTAAATTTAAAATTAAATTGAAGCAACTTTTGGTGACAGAGAAAAGTTCCCAGTAAGAGAAGATTTAGAACACCATTAGACATGTTTGCACTATGATAAATAAATTCAGGGAGAGCTTCAAAAGCATCATGCATCCTTTATATGGAGGGTGCCTTACACCATGGCATCATTGGTACACACCCTATTGTCCAAACCCACCATGGTCCTACTTTCATGGTAGCTGGGGGAGGACTGAGATACATGGGGGAGGACTTAGATACATGGAGGAGCCAGGGAGGATTGAGACACATAGGGGAGGACTTAGATACATGGGGGAACTGGGGTAGGATTTAGATACATGGGGGAGCTGGGGGAGGATTGAGACACAGAGGAGAGCTGGTGGAGGATTGAGAAAAATGGGGGAGCTGGGGGCAGATTTAGATACGTGGGGGAGCTGTGCCATTATTGAAACACATCGGGGAGCAGGGGAAGGATTGAGACACATCGGGGAGCAGGGGAAGGATTGAGACACATGGGGAGCTGGGGGAAGATTGAAACACATGGTCGAGGATTTAGACATAGGGGAGAGCTGGTGGAGGGTTGAGACACATGGGGCAGCTTGTGGAGGATTTAGATAAATGGGGAGCTGGGGGAGGATTAAGACACACAGGGGAGCTGGGGGAGTATTGAGACACATCCTCTGGCACTGGAAACCTGCAGCGTGTGGAAGGCAAGATGGATTCATTGAAGTATCAGGAAATCCTTGGAGAAAACAGCGTCTATGAAGAAGCTGAAGCTTCGGCATCACTGGACCTCCCAACAAGACAATGATCCAAAGAATATCTCAAATTATGCATCTTGTTTGCAGCAGATGAGAACAGTAAAAGGGTGCTCTACTAAGTACTAAAGGTGCTTGCTGCAAATGGGGTTGAATAATTGTGAAACTGGAAAAGTCTTTATAAGGTGCATATTCAGTTGGATTTGGGGAAACCACATGAAACATTCGTTGTTTTTAGATATTTCAGTTGCTTTTGTTTGAATTGTTCCTTGCAAACTGCTGAAAGTCTATATATTTTGATAATAAACCTGCTTTTTAATCAATCATTTGTATTTATGTATATCAGGCCCAGACTGGCCATCGGGCACACCGGGCAAATGCCCGGTGGGCCGCGGTGGCCATGGGCCAAGGCCGGCAGGGGAGGTCACAGGACATCCCCTGCCGGTCTATGCAGGGCCAGCACTATCCGAGCGCCGGCCCCGCTGTTTGCCATGAAGGGGCAGTGAGGAGATCAAAGATCTCCCTCACCGGCCCACTTGAATAAAGATGCGGCTGGGGAGGGAGAGGAGGACCCGGCGGGGCTGCAAGATAGAGCTCCGCCGGGTCCTCCTCGTGAGATCTGGAGCATTGCCAGTTCACTCACCGCTGGACCACCAGGGATGGTGTGAGAGTGCCGCCCCCCTCCCAGGTACAACCGCGCCGGACCCCCCTCCCCCCCATGCTAAAGGTAAGAAGGGAGGGGGGGGGATATAATGCATGCTTATTAGGTTTTTTTTTTGTTTTTACCCCCTCAACACACAATCCCTTTTAACATTCATCTACAGCACCCTCACACACATCATACTCAGCACTATCACACACAGCACCCTCACACACATCACACTCAGCACTATCACACACAGCACTCACACACACATCACACTCAGTACTCACACACAGCACCCTCACACACATCACTCTCACACAGCACACTCAGTACTCTCACACACATCACACACAACACCCTCACACACAGCAGTCTCACACACATCACACTCAGCACCGTCACACAAATCACACACAGCACCCTCACACACAAATCACACACCTCACACACAGCACCCTCACACACAGATCACACACAGCACCCTCACACACAGAACCCACACACACAAATCACACACAGCACTCTCACACAGCACCCTCACACACATCACCCACACACACAAATCACACACAGCACCCTCACACACAAATCACACACACAGCACCCTTAAACACAGCACCCTCACAAACAAATCACACACACAGCACCCTTAAACACATCACACACAGCACCCTCACACACATACACAGCATCCATCACACACACATACTGCACCCTTCACATACACACTGCACCCCTCATAGACACCCACTGCACCCCTCACACATACACACAGAACCCCAACTCTCTGCACCAAACACACACACACACACACACAATACTTCCAAACATATTTATATTATATAAATACATACATACATACATATATATACACTACAGCACCCCTCACTCACACTAAACCCCTCACACACATACTGCACCCCTAAACACATTACATTCCAGACACACACTATATCCCTTACCCAACTCTGGATCATATACACACACACTAGATCCCTATATACACTCTGATTCCCTTAAATACACACACTCACTAGATCTCCTACACATTCTGGGTCCTTCAAACACACACTAGACTCCTGTATACACACACACACTACATTCCTAACATACACACTCTGAATCCCTTATACACACACTAGATTCCTTGTAAACAAACACATGCTACACCCCTAAACACACACTCTCTACAACCCCTACAAACACTACATCACCTATATATACACACACACACACACTATAGCCTGTATGCACACACTTACTACATCCCCTATACACACATTCTCTACAGCCCATAGCCACATATGCATTACATTACACCACAAACACAACACGACTTTATTACACAATACCACACCACAATCAGCTCACTCTACACACACACAATCCCACAAGCAGGCTCCAAACACATGCACAATACTCCTGGCTCTTTGTCTCCTGGTATCCATTTATAGAGACACCAGAGACAAGTTGCAAGGAAACCCAGTGCAAGCATGTTATTAAATTTGCACTGTGCAGAACAAATCCAGGTTTTTTTTCTCATGCTAGAGCTCTTTAGCAGAGCTCTGCCCTGGAAGAGCATTGACCCAATGCTCACTTTGAGAGGGGGCATGTTTGTCATTGGTGATGACGAAACACACCCTCTCTGCCCCGCCCCCTTCTTAGTGGGCCGCAGTGCTAAAAAAATGCCCGGGCCGAATTTTTCTCCCAGTCCGGCCCTGATGTATATGCTTGATATTTGCTATCTCAGTAAAGGGGCATCAGATTTTCCCATCTGATTGCTATCTTCCCTAGATTTGTTGTGGGTTCCCATGCCCTTGACACTATTGAATAAAACAGTAAAAATCATCTATAACTTGTGGTAACTTTTTTTTAAGTGATGCTCTGTTTTCTTTTAAATGTATATTAGAGAAACACTCCAAGCACTATATACAGTACCATGGCTGTAGTTGAGTTAGTAAATGACACCACAATGCAGCTCGGTCCAGGCACATTTTTTAGGTTCTTCTTTCTCCATGCTTTCTATGCTGGCTGTCAGGGTGCAAAGGACAAAGTTTATAATGGCAAATAGGGAAACAATATGGAAGCTCTCGGTTGCAGGATAAACATGTGGAGGCGTGGATTTCTCAGTTTACTTTTAAAGGAACACTATAGTCACCTAAATTACTTTAGCTAAATAAAGCAGTTTTAGTGTATAGATCATTCCCCTGCAATTTCACTGCTCAATTCCCTGTCATTTAGGAGTTAAATCACTTTGTTTCTGTTTATGCAGCCCTAGCCACACCTCCCCTGGCTATGATTGACAGAGCCTGCATGAAAAAAAAAACTGGTTTAACTTTCAAACAGATGTTATTTACCTTAAATAATTGTATCTCAATCTCTAAATTGAACTTTAATCACATACAGGAGGCTCTTGCAGGGTCTATCAAGCTATTAACATAGCAGGTGATTAGAAAATCGTAATTAAACAGAACTTGCAATACAGAAAGCCTAAACAGGGCTCTCTTTACAGGAAGTGTTTATGGAAGGCTGTACAAGTCACATGCAGGAAGGTGTGACTAGGGTTCATAAACAAAGGGATTTAACTCCTAAATGGCAGAGGATTGAGCAGTGAGGCTGCAAGGACATGTTCTATACACCAAAACTGCTTCATTAAGCTAAAGTTGTTCAGGTGACTATAGTGTCCCTTTAATTTTCACATTTCACAAACATTTAGATTAAATATAGGGGATAAGTAAACATAATATGAACAATTCTGCGATATGACAAATCCCATTTAAATCATACTATGTAACGTTAGTGCACATAGGATTCTTCAAGGATTGACAAGCACCAGAAACTAGGCTGGAACCAGTAATGGTGTGCCTGGATCTCTTCATCGTAATCATGTCCATTATTATATATTCTCTTATTGATTGTATTATGTTATGAATATAATTCTTGCGTTGGCAGCTAGAAGAGTAGCTCTGTCACACCCACTTTCCCCCCAAAAAAGTACTGGAGTTCACTAAGAGGTGGGACTAACTTTTCTTACTTATTTTACCACCACTTGACAAAATGTCATGAAAAGCAGAGCTCTGTCATCAAGTTTTTTCAGCCATCACTAGTGTTTCCACTGATTGTTTTAGTGATCTGAAGACAACATCTATGGTGGCTCCCTTGTTCTCGTGGGATTCTCCAGAAACACGAGTGTTGTATGCTCGTGCATGTGCTACAGTACAGCACTGACAAGGACTCCTGGCAGATAAACCACCAGGAGCTAAAGACGGTCCCCAGATGCAGATGGCAGCAGCCATGATGGAAACTTCATGTAAGTATTTCTCGCCTTCACTGCACCCCTGGGCCACCGCAAACTCCAGTGGTGATGACATTATTGGTGATCTTTGCAAAATATGTAACGATCCCAGATGGTGATACAGCTGCTTTGATTTTTGGACTGAGAGAATATATATATATATATATATATATTAGGATAGAGCAGTTAATGCTTGATGTGTTATTTATGTATTTAATTATATATATCTATGCATTAACTGCTTTATACTAATCATTTGTTCATACCATTTGGCCTCTGCTGTCAGTCTCCCTCCATGGAACATGCATAGAATGAAACTCTGCCACTCAAGTGACTTATATAGGCTATTCTATCTCAATACCTGATATCTGACCATAGGCGTGCGCACGGGGTGTGCCTGGGCACACCCTAATCCCCGCGGCACGCCTATGGATTGAGACCGGCAGGTGAGATCTCAGGATCTCACCTGTCGGCTCATACAGAGCCGGCGCTATCCGAGAGCCGGCTCTGCTCTAAGCCTCCATGGGCCGGTGGGCAGATCAAAGATCTACCTCACCGGCCCACAGCAGCATGGAGGGATGCAGGAGAGGACCTGGGAGCTCTAGCCAGCAGCTCTGCCGGGTTCCTCTCGCGAGAGTGAACTCTAGCCCCACAGGCGAGAGTTCACTCTCCACTGGACCACCAGGGATGGCACCAGTGGCGTACATACCAGGGTCGCAGGGGTCGTGGCTGCGACCAGGCCCGGCCCACCAGGGGGCCCGGCCGCCCCTGCGACCCGGTATGTAGCCACAGGGCCAGCCTCTTCTCCACAGGGCCAGCCACTTTACACTGTGTGCTTCCTCTTCAACTCCCTCGCACACCGCACTGATGCCGGAAGATGACGTCATCTTCCGGCGCCGGCATCCCTACCCGGCGCGCGAGGGAGCTGAAGAGGAAGCACACAGTGTAAAGTGCTCCCTCGCGCACCGGCCGCCCAGACAGCCCGCCCACCCAGTGACCAGGAGCCCAGCAGCACCACTGGATCCCAGGGAATCCCCCCAGCACTCCAAAAGGTAAGGAGGCTGGGGGGATTAAATTTAAAAAAAGTATGTGTTTGTGTGTTAGTGTATGTATGTGTGTGTTAGTGTATGTGTGTGTGTGTGTTAGTGTATGTGTGTGTGTGTTAGTGTATGTGTGTGTTAGTGTGTGTGTGTTAGTGTGTGTGTGTGTTAGTGTATGTGTTAGTGTGTGTGTGTGTTTGTGTGTTAGTGTGTGTGTGTGTTAGTGTGTGTGTGTGTGTTAGTGTATGTGTGTGTTAGTGTGTGTGTGTTTGTGTGTTAGTGTGTGTGTTAGTGTGTGTGTTAGTGTATGTGTGTGTTAGCGTGTGTATGTTAGTGTATGTGTGTGTGTGTGTTAGTGAGTGTGTCTGTGTGTGTGTCAGTGAGTGTGTCTGTTATTGGGTGTGTGTCTGCTAGTGAGTGTGTTACTGTGTGTGTTACTGAGTGTGTGTGTTTGTCAGTGAAAGTGTATGTTTTGTAAGTGAGTGTGTATGTATGTCTGTCGCTGAGTGTGTCTCTGTCAGTAAATGTGTGTGTCTGTTAGCTAGTGTGTATGCGTCTGTTCGTGAGAGTGTGTGTGTGTGTCTTCAGCATTTACCTTTCTCCAGCGTCGGACTCCCCAGTGTCCGCCTCTCAGCTCCGAATGCACATGCGCGGCAAGAGGCGTGCGCGCATTTAAACCGCCCATAGGAAAGCATTACTCAATGCTTTCCTATGGACGTTCAGTGTCTTCTCACTGTGATTTTCACAGTGAGAATCGCGGAAGCTCCTCTAGCAGCTGTCAATGAGACAGCCACCAGAGGCTGGATTAACCCTCAGTGAAACATAGCCGTTTCTCTGAAACGGCTATGTTTTCAGCTGCAGGGTTAAAACTAGAGAGACCTGGCACCCAGACCACTTCATTGAGCTGATGTGATCTGGGTGTCTGTAGTGGTCCTTTAAGTGTGTGTGCATACCGCGGTCGCGGGGTCGCAGCCCTGCGACCAGGTGCCCGCCGCCATGTGTTGCGGCCCCAACCCGCTCCGAGTAAGCATGGGGGGGGACCCCTGGATCAATTTTCGCACCGGGGCCCCATGGGTCATGTGTACGCCACTGGATGGCACATGGCAGCAAGGATCCCCCCTCCCTACATAAGGTAAGAAGGGAGGGGGGATATTTACTAAGCAACCACCACCTCCACCCCCACAATCCCTACACACATACAGCACCCTCACACACACAGCACCCTCACACACAGCACACAAACAGCACCCACACACACACACAGCACAAACAGCGCCCACACACACACAGCACCTACACACATACAGCACCCTCACACACACACACACACACACAGCACCCTCTCACACATAGTACACTAACAGCACCTTTACAAACACACTCACACAGCATGCTCACACACAGCACACTAACAGCACCCTCACAAACACATACACACACACAGCACACTCACACACAAACAGCACCCTCACGAACACACAACACCCACACAGCACACAAACAGCAGCCTCACAAACACACAACACCCACACAGCACACAAACAGCACCCTCATACAGCACACTAACAGGACCCTAACAAGCACACACACACAAACACCCTCACACACAGAACACAAACAGCACCCTCACAAACAAACAGCACCCTCACACACAGCACACTAACAGCACCCTAACAAACACACACACACACACAAACACCCTCACACACAGAACACACAAACAGCACCCTCACAAACAACACCCTCACACACAGCACACTAACAGCACCCTCACAAACACCCTCAACCACATAGCACACTACCAGCACCCTTACACACATATCACACTAACAGCACCCTCACACAGCACACTAACAGCACACACACACAGCAGTGTATGTATGTATGTGTGTGTGTGTGTATATATATATATATATATATATATATATACATACATTCATATACACGCGGCGTGTCTGTGCTTTAGGGTGCACACCCTAATGCAATAGGCTGCGCACGCCTATGTATCTGACCTCTACTATAAGCCTGTTGAAGCTGCCCTGTTTGCACAAAACTACACACTTACAGTTATTACATTTTATCAGGCAATAATTCCTTGTCAATTAACATGCCTTCACTTTTACCTCTCTTTATTTTCTTTACCATGTAAGACAAAAAGGCAGGACACTTAACACACCAACAAGGCTATTCGCCAAGTGAAAATTGTTGGGATTTCAGAGTGAATTTAAAATTAAAGGTCAAAATAACCAAATTGGAAGTATAGGTGATTTGGGGAATTTTTGCTGTTTGGCTATTTGACCTTAAATTTTAAATTCGCTTTGAATTCAAAGTAGTTTTCCAACAATTTTAATTTGGTGAATAACAAATATATTTTTATAAGTATGTATGAGCGTACTATTATCTCACATGGACTCGAATGCCACTGGTATGCTGATGACACCCAAATCTACATCTTGCTTTCAGAAAGCTCAACCATAGTGACTTCACATAAACAGCAAATATCAATCTGCACGATGGACATAACTGAGAATAAAACATGCTCAGGTTTAACAATAAAGCTCAGAACTCTACCCCAAGACAATGCAGTATGTGGTCAATCTACCACTCAAAAATGGGGCCCAAATGACCTTGGCTCAAATGACTTTGGTATTAGTGGTACAAAAACTTAAAATCATGGGTTCCTTTGTGACTTTGTAAGATTTTGTGCAGATGTCACCAGTTGTCAAAACTGCATACTACCTTGAGACAGCAACATCACTAGTCCTCTAGTCATCAGTATGAGCTAACAAGCTTGACTACTTGGTACTTGGGCCACTCCCTGAAATTAACTGACCAATATCCTGCCACATCACCCTAGGAGGTAGGGAAACGTCTCCCATTACCCACTACTTACTATGCACTACCCACTAGTGTACGATTCCTCTTATCCAGCTTGCCTTTGCTTAGTCCAAACATCTGTGTCCTTCCCCAATCCTACAATATAATACATATGTATCTTCTACAAGTAATTAAAGGGACACTATAGTCACCAAAACAACTTTAGCTGTTTTAGTGTACAGATCATGCCTCTGAGGTTTCACTTCTCAGTTCACTGCAATTTAGGAATTAAATCACTTTTGTTTCTGTTTATGCAGTTCTAGCCACACCTCCCTGTCTGTGACTCACACAGCCTGTATGAAGGCAACATGGTTTCATTTTCAATCAGATGTTGCTTACATTAAAGGTTTTTATCTCCTGCTCTGTATAATTAACTTTAATCATACACAGGAGACTCCTACAGGGTCTAGCAAGCCATTAACAGAGCAGGAAATTATACATTCTAAATTAAACATATGTGAAATAAAGGAAGTGTAAACATTAGATGACTCTTTACAGGAAGTGTTTAGGAAGGCTGTGTAGGTTACATGTAGGGAGGTGTGACTAGGGTTCATAAAGAAAGTTATTTAACTCCTCAATGGCAGATAATTGAGCATTGAGACTGCAGGGGCATGATCTATACACCAAAAGTGCTTTATTAAGCTAAAGTTGTTTTGTGACTATAGTGTCTCTTTTATTGTGAAAGCCCGTATTGGGGGCATTGTTCATGCATAAAGTTGATCATGATGATGGGACATGAAATACAATCATCTGCCCAGTTTCAAACAGAAGGCTCATTTCATTGATTTAACCAATGCAGGTTTTCCTGAAGCTATATTTTCAAATATACGGTTGTACTTTATGTGCACATCATGAGACAAAAAAAATCACCCTATACACAGCAGCCCAGGATATTTCACATGTATATCCAATATGAAACATTTCTTGTTGGGAATTAACGAGGAAATTTCAAAGGTAGGGCCAAAATAGCCAAGATGGAAAAAAACTAAGCTAGAGAGTTACTGGCTGTTTCTCAACTATTCTGGTTTAGAAAATTACCATGACTGTATTCCCACAGGATCTTGTGCAAATTACGGTATGCTCGTAAACACACACTCAAAAACACAATTCACTCTTTTTGTGCCGATCCCACATTAATTTAACCCCTTACGGACCAAACTTCTGGAATAAAAGGGAATCATGACATGTCACACATGTCATGTGTCCGTAAGGGGTTAAACTCCCTTGGATCCTTGCTAAACACAGTCAGTCTATTCATAACAAACAGTGGGTCTGTGACATCCAGTTAGACAGCACTCTGAAATGTATGGTCCAGTGCTGTCCTTACAGTAAAGTCCTCCCCTTAACCCCTATACTTCCCAAAAACATTACACTACATATTAAATCCTACATGAACCTCTACCTTAACATAGTACACAATCACTAAACCAAGGACCAGGAACAACACATGGACTATTCAGTTTTGCCAAAAAGTCATGCTGATGAGACACAAAAGGCTGAAACTGTCCATGGTTGGTTTCTGGTCAGTGATGAATCAGTACCCATGATTTCCTTGTATTTAAAACAGTGCTCCTTTGCCAAAGATAACTGCAGAACTGCAGGATCACGTCTACAACGTGATACCTGGCTGCAATCAATGTATGCCAAGCTGGAAATTCTAAAAGAGAATTGTGAAAACACGATTTTCTCACAATTACTGTATGCAATGTAGACTTTTCATTAGGTCCTACCAGAGATATGTACATGGTGCACAACAGTAATATATGAATTTGTATCATATTGTGGGGAGTTTTTAGTATTTGGTCTCGCATCTTTGGTACCTAAATGTATAAACAGAAATACATACAATTTTGTCACAGACACACACACACACACACATTCAAAATACAGTATCAAGATCTAATGTAACATTAGAATTGATACTTTGTGACTAATTTGTTACTAGTATGAAATGCTTTATATTTTGGAACTTATTTGTGGAACATCCCATTTAATATATTCATTTTTAGGCAGATTATGCATTTTCCATTTTTTCCATGACTCTGTACAACAGATAATCTTCCAGTTTTTGTATTTGTAATTGCATCTCTTGTTATACAACAGCTGGAGGGTCACTGACCACAAAACTCTAAGCTAGAATTAGAAAAAAACATTTTAATTGCTGGTAGTCAGTTGCCTTCATGACTACAAACATCAGCATCCCATACAGGGGTGTCATTTACAACAAATATATAACTTTTAGGCACACAGATCATTTGCAACAATTGTTTTGTTTTCCTTTAGTTTAAATTAAAAGACCAATCAATTATTAATTGTAACATATTCCAGCTGAATTGTATTATGGGATTTTAGTTACTCCAATGGCCATTATTTGATACTCCTGGATAAGCTTTTCAAATGATTTAATATTCTTGAAAACAAATTTGAAATTGTTTAATATTATGAAAAATGTTAGATTTTTAAAAAATATTTAAATGTAGATACATTTTTGTATATGATATAATTCTAACATTTTAATATTTTGAAAAAAAAAAGTTTATCCAAAAATATAAAATCGTTTGAAAAGCTTATCCAAGAGCTTAAATTAAGGCCTAGCTTTGGTGAAGTGTAAATGCAAATAAATGTGCATTTTTTCATAAATCTCCCTTTTACATAGTCATAGGTTTAGGCATCACAGTTTTTACTGAGCATGTAGAATATAAGAACACAAACAATACAGAAAAATAATTAGCTTAATTTTCAAAATGCTAGTCCCCTTCACAAAAATAAACAAGGGCTGCTAAAGCTATGTTGGCCGAACACCTTATGAGTCTCTAAAAGTCAGGTGATATCTTATCAATTGCAGATTCCTGTAAAATTTTGAGTGGGGTATATTTTTTGCAAAATTGACAACACAAAAAAGTTAATACGTTTGGTGACATTTCTTCTCATTCCATCTTGTTTCGAGGCCCAATCGCCTTTCTGGGAAACATTCCATATCCAGGTGGTCCAGGTGAGTAGTATGTGCGGTACCAGCCGCGATATGTGATGTACCAACAAAAGGTACCAGTTGCTGCTCCCACCACATTCTGAGTGTAGCTCGATGCATAAAGTGCAGTGCAGATTAGAAGTAGATTGTACAGCCCTAGTAGGCTGGCGTTCAATAGGAAGACCAGACGCAAAGCAGTATCAGCTGGGTAACCTCTCCTCAGGTAACGTACAAATACAGCTAACTCCTCAGCCATAGAGAGACTGCATATAGTGAGGGAGAAGGTTTTGGGAGATATATGATAACCCTCCCACTGGTATCCTTCCAAAAGACAGCTGTACCTGTCTTCCAGACGATGATGGAGTAGTGTACCTGGTGGCAATGGTTGCTGACAGGAGCCTGTTAGATCCTCCAGAAGTTGAAAGAGGTAAGGGACCACTTTGCAAAGAGCTGTACCAACTCCGAGCCTTGTGAGGTGCAGAAGGGAGAGGAATGGACGACCAGTGGGAACCAAGGAAACCAACAACACGAATCCAGACAGAAGAAGAAAGGTCCATCCACAGGAGCATTGTACGAACTTCCTGTAGAAGGGTAGGGGGGGTTAGAGTGCGTGCGCCTGGGGTGGGAAGAAGGGAAAGTGGTGAAAGTAAAGACAACTAGGTGTAGCAGAAGGGTTAAAGCATCTAAGAAATATGGATGTGTTAAAGTGCAAGCTTGTAAGACACAAAATAAATTTGCATGCAAGATTGAGCCATTCTGGAGGGTTTTTTGTTTGCATGTAGTGAGAGCACTCTGTATGTATTTGATATTTTAGCACGCACTAAACCATACCCTGCAAAACCACACGTGTGATTAAAGAAAAGTAAGTGATTTAGCCATTGCATCTACAGAAACAGAGTATGAGCCAGCAATTGCGTGTTTGGTGGGACAGTGAGAATGAAACTATAGTGTGACAATAATGATTAGGAAATAGACTATGAGTTAAACTATAAAACTGAAAAAAAAACACACATATTTACAGTGTAAGACCCTCACAGAATTAAACTAAAGATTTATCAAAGCAAAACCAGATTCTGTTCTGGGGAACTTGCTAAATAAGGACCAATCACCATGAAAACCAACAGAATGTTTCAACATGCATTACTTTGCATCCAGAATAGCCCCTGCTTTACCTTGATAAACCTGTACTTTCAGCTCCTAATGAGAGAAAAGGAAGACACCATTTTAGAGATCCAGGAAAACAATATTTTCCAATCCCTAGGTGATTGTTCGGGAATTGTGGAGAAGCAACAAGGGAATTGCAATATATACACCACCAAAAAAAAAAAACCATGCTGGGAAAAAAAGCTGAGTTTTTCCAATTTTTTTTTCCCAATTTTGCATAAATTTTTAATTTTTTGTATTGTAAATTAGCAGAATAAAAAGTTCACAATAAGAAATCAAGTATACATAAGAAAACATTCCCACTTGAGGCAACACTTTTATTTAGCTTATGTTTTCAGGAGGTATGGTACCTCCTTTCACACATCAATGGCCAATTTACACACAATTACCCTAATGTGGAACTTGGAAGTATATATTTGGAGCAAGGACCGAGAAAATTCTAGGTCTAATTTCTTAAAAGCCATATCTCCTTATGGTGCAATGTGATATCAAGTAGTTTCAACTTAAGTAGGATTTTCACACCTCATTCCCTGTCATACTCTGCTATAAACAAATATCTTCAACTCAGCTTTATTCACACAATGAAATTCTAAAACTCTGAACAAGAAATTACATATAATTAATTATATTCTTGATAAAAACATGTCCCCTACCTATTTCTGTATGTACATTTATTAGGCCTTAATCTACAAACACAGTCTTACAAGCAAAACCCAGACTCTTCATTTCTTTTCTCTCTGCAACCTTCAGGTACTGCCCGAACCTTGAAAGATTGTCCAGCTCATATATTCTACCTTTGTTAACATTACTATTTTTACTGTAGCAATGTTATCCCTTTAAATTTTAAATTCAGTTAGAATTCTTACTATTGTAAGGAACCCTCTAAATAATATTGACAAACAGGACAAACTAAAAATTGGGAGGGTAAAGACAAATAATAGGAGAGTCATAAGAGTACAAAGGAGAACGAGGAGACACACAAATACTCTGATAAGCCACAACATTAAAACAACTGACTAGTAATGTCCCGAACGGTTCGCCGAACGGTTTGCCGCAGACGGCGAACATATGCGGTAAACTTTGACCCTGTACCTCACAGTCAGCAGACACATTCCAGCCAATCAGCAGCAGACCCTCCCTCCCAGACCCTCCCACCTCCTGAACAGCTCACTAAGAATGTAAAATGGATGCTGTCCAGGAGGTGGGAGGGTCTGGGAGGGAGGGTCTGCTGCTGTTTGGCTGGAATGTGTTTGCTGACTGTGAGGTACGGGGGCAAAGTTTACCGCATATGTTCGCTGTCCGTGGCGAACCGTTCGGCGAACCGTTCGGGACATCACTAGAACTGACAGATGAAGTGAATAACATTGATTATATTGTTATAATGGCACTTGTCAAGGGGTGGGAAATATTAGGCAGCAAATGAACAGTCCATTCTTGATTTCAATGGTCACACCATCTCCAAAAGCGCCCTGATAGATGTCAGAACACACAGTGCATCACAGTTTGCTACGTATGGACTGCATAGCCGCAGACCGGTTAGAGAGCCCATGATGACACCTGCCCACAGCCAAAAGCATCTTCAATGGGGACGTGAGTCAGAACTGGACCATGGAGCAATGGAAGAAGGTTGCCTGGTCTGATGAATCACCTTTTCTTTTTGATCAGGTGGATGGCCAGGTGTGTGCATTGTTTACCTTGGGAAGAGATGGCAGCAAATTGCACTATAGGAAGGCGGCCAACACAGGCGTTATGCTCTGAACAATGTTCTGCTGGGAAACCTTGGGTCCTGGCATTCATGTGGAATGTTACTTTTACACGTACCACCTAGAGATTATTGCAGACTACGTACACCCCTTCATGGCAATGGTGTTCCTTAATGGCAGAGGTCTCATTCAGCAGGATAATGCAAACTGCCACACCACCAAATTGTTCAGGAAAGGTTTAAGGTACATGACAGTGAGTTCAAGGTGTTGCCTTGGCCTCCAAATTCCCATGATCTCAATATTATTGAGCATCTGTGGGATGTGCTGGAACAAATCTAATCAATACAAACACTACCTCACAACCTGCAGGACTTAGAGGATCTGCTGCTATTGTCTAAGTGCCAGACACCACAGGACATGTTCAGAGGTCTTGAGGAGACCATGCCTCGATGCATCAGAGCAGTTTTGGCAGCACAAGTGCGACCTACACGATATTAGGCATGGGTTTTAATGTTGTGGCTGATCAGTGTAAACATAATAAAGAGATATATATTTTTACAAGGTTAAAATTTTAAATTTGCAGAGCACTAATGGGAGCTTAGCAAAAGACGATTTTATTGTGATTTAAGATTATAGATTAAATCATATTATTCTAATTGTCTGCATTTACCTCTTTTGTTGAGTCCAAGTTGATTACTGTGAAATTTTCCTTTAAAAATATCTCTCCGCATAGCTTGGCACACTGCCTCTAGTTACATTGCCTCTAAATATACAGGCCTCATTCCCAACACACACGGCAAATTGCTGAAATGGCAGTTTGCGGCAGTTTTTTGGCATATGAGAAAAGAAGAAAACATGCTATACATAGAGTGATATTAGCACACACTGTGTTAACAGACTGAGGATAAGCATTTAAATAGACACTCTAAGCATCAAAACAGCATTATCTTAAGGAAGTGGTTTTAGTGTATCACTGCTTAATTCTCTACCACTTAGAAGTTAAATCACTTTGTTTATACAGCCCTGTCTGTGACTTACACAGCCTCCCTACACACGTTCTGTGAAGAGAGTTCTAATTTTTAGACTTCCTTTATTGCACAGTCTGTTTAATTTACCATATCTTATTTCTGGCTCTGTTAATAGCCTGCTAGAACCTGCACATTGTACTTTAAGATCTGATTTAAAAAAAAAAACAATTTTTCCTGGAGGCAATATGAGTCACAACCAAGGAAGGTGTGGCTACGGCTCCATAAACAGAAACAAAATCGATTTAACGCCTAAATAACAGATAAATCAGCAGTTTCTTAATCATTCTGTGTTTCTTCAGTCAGACTGTAGTGACATGCTCTGTACACCAAAACTGCCCCATTAAGCTAAAGTTGTTTGGGTATTTAGTGTCTCTTTAATTAGAATTATAAAGTAAGTAGTCAGTGGATGAAACGTATACCGGATAGTAGTACGTAGAGTGAGTGGGTACACTAGGTGATGGTGTGTACTGATTGCAATATACAGAATAAATGTGTACACTGGGGTAGCATTATACAAATTGAATGGGTACACTGGGTGATGGTCTATAAGAGGGGTTCCCAACCCAGTCCTCAAGTACCCCCTACCAGTCCAGGATTGTCTAAAGTGTTTTTTTTTCTTTTCTAAAAACACCTTAGACACAACTGGGTTGGGAACCATTGGTCTATAATGATAGCAGTATACAGAGTGAGTGGGTACACTAGGTGATGGTCTATAATGATAGCAGTATACAGAGTGAGTGGGTACACTGGGTGATAGCCTGTACTTATAGCAGTATACAGAGTGAATGGGTACACTGGGTTATGGTCTATAATTATAGCAGTATACAGAGTGAGTGGGTACACTGGGTGATAGCCTGTACTTATAGCAGTATACAGAGTGACTGGGTACACTGGGTGATGGTTCATAATGATAGCTGTATACAGAGTGAGTGGGTACACTGGGTGATGGTTCATAATGATAGGAGTACACAGAGTAAATGGGTACACAGAATGATGTTCTATAATGATAGCTGTATACAGAGTGAGTGGGTACACTGGGTGATAGCCTGTACTTATAGCAGTATACAGAGTGACTGGGTACACTGGGTGATGGTTCATAATGATTGGAGTACACAGAGTAAATGGGTACACAGAATGATGTTCTATAATGATAGCTGTATACAGAGTGAGTGGGTACACTGGGTGATGGGCTATAATGATAACAGTATACAGAGTGAATGGGTACACTGGGTGATGGTTCATAATGATAGCAGAATACAGAGTGAGTGGGTACACTGGGTGATGGTATATAATGATAGCAATATACACAGTGAATGGGTACACTGGGTAATGGTATTTAATGATAGCAGTGTACAGATTGAGTAGGCACACAGGGTGATGGTCTATAATGAGAGCAGTATACAGAGTGAGTGGGCACTTTGGGTAGTGGCCTGTGCTGATAGCAGCATACAGAGTGAATGGGTGCACTGATAATGGTCTATAATGATAGTAAGATACTTGGTAAGTAGTTATACTGGGTGATGTCCTATAATAGTTAACAGTAAACATACAGAATGAGTGAGTGCTGGGTGATGGACCTATAGTTATAGCTACACAGTAATTGTATACACTGGGTGATGGCCTATGTTAAAAGCATTATACAGTTAGTAAGCACATTGCATGATGGCCTTTAGGGATAGCCGTATTCACAATGCGTTTGAGTTATAAAGCAATTAAACAGCTGGGGATGAGCATAAGAGACTGTGATTTCAGAGGATACAAAACTGTGAGTAGTTCACATAATATGTATTGAGTACATATAATATACTGCAACACAAATATACAGAACACTGTATTTGCAATGTGTGTAGTGTCGCCCAATGGGAGAAAAGATGCAAAGTTAAGAACATTATTATGTTGTCACGGGAATTAGAATACCTTTACGGTGGTACACTTAGTGGTTAATTAATAGGTAATACACTAAGTGGTTAATTGAAAGGGATGCACAATGCGTAGTGAAATACAAATCAGGAGAACTGTGTATACTATGAATGACCAACAATGCTCTCTACTTGAACACAACTTTCAATGGAAAAAAATTGTGAAATTGGCTGGATATAGAGACTGGTATAATCCTCTCAGTATACATTTTTGTGGATTTCACACAGTTTATACTCAGCAGATAAGTTCTGCAAATTTACTGGGAAGTTTAGGACATAGAAGTTCAACAGGCATAGTATGCCAAATTACACTAAGAGGATGAGGAGCTATGGGGCATTAGAAAAACAGGAAGCCAGACACAGAGTTCCTTTGTACAGCAGTCCAACTCAGGGTATTCTTGGAAGGACGACAGTGTGTGAATGAACACAAGAAGAGGTTAGTTACACTGATATCTGTAGAACAGAGATGGATAAGAAGGGTATACACAAGGGCTAAGATTGGTGGCTAAACATGGAGCAAGAACATGCTGGGCAGGATTTGGACACAATAAAAAGAGTACAGTTTTTAACATATTAGTTTTATATGCCGTAGAGTTATTTATTTAAAGCTACGTAGTGCACCTATTATAATATCCACACTAAAAATTGTGCAGGCATAGGGTAAGATTCAAATAATGGTCCATTGCAAATGCAACAGAAAGCTCCAGTAAGATGCCGGAAGCTGTAACTTTCTTATTTCAGTATGCAATTAACAGAAAACAGGTAAATGCTCCTGTAAAAAGCATTTCCAGATACTCAATAAACACAACAGAATAACAGGCATTCTAACTTCCATTCAGCATTTCAACACGTATTATCAGTTCAATAATATGGCATTATTTTGAGGCATAGCTACTCTCACTTGGTAGTCACTGATTCAGACTATGGCTGCCCATATAGTTATTGCTCCATTTCACACCTACCTTTCCCTGCGTAGAGGATATACTCACACATTGAAGAAGTTGTTGCTGTTGGAGAAGATGCTTCGTGGGTTACTGAGTCCCTGCAAGATGGGTGTCAGACTGACAAGTGCTGCCAACCAAAGATGATACCCTCGCCTTACACACACACTTCCCACCAGGCGGGCACATAGGTCAGAGCACACACCTACGAGTGCGCACACATAGCCACTGACGACAGCCATCTCAAGAAAGTGTTCAGGGGTTGGAGAGAACAGAGAAAGTGGGGAAGCACAAAGATACAAATTATATGGAAGAAAAGGGGAACAGAATATGTGGAGAGAGGTGGAGGTAAAGTTGAGCCTTAGGAAATTTGCTGGGGATAGGAGGGCTGGGACAGGAAGGAGTAACAGACAAGCCGAGAGACAAAGTGCAGGCAGGGAAGTCAGGGAGTAGGAGACTAGAACTTAGAGACTGAAATAGATCTTTGAGTGACAAAAGTAAACAGATTGGCAGATATGGAGGGATGAGACAGGACAGAGCCTGGGTCTGTGGAGAGATATAGAATGACAAGAGACATAGCACATAAGGGAACCACACACACTTCTCCTAAACAGCTGTCATGCTGCCCTTCAACCCCCAGGAAGGACAGCTCAAATCCCTTCCCCCTATCAGCTGCTGAGTCCCTCACATATGACACAGGGATTCAGTGATTTTTCAAATAAGAAGAACCGTATTGTAATCTAACTTAAGAAACACCTCACACAGAAACCACGGCCACTCACATGGGCACAAAAACTATACAGGATCATATTACACAAATCATATGTTACACTTCATCAGGACACAGGCATTTTAATACTATCTATGATCAGTGCCTTGAAATACAGGAGGGATGTACAGCAGCTATTCTCTGGCTGATGCACTACATGCTGGAAAATGAGGTATTACAACCAGGTTAACCAGCCTACAGAAGTGTCTGAACTTGTGCACTCAATGGATTAATTCATTTGGAGCCACATGTCTACTTTCAGAAGTGGTTCTAGGCAGGAAATAGTTGCTTTTAGAGATACTTCCCCAAAAAGGGGATATTGATTCTCAATGCAAATCTGACGTAACTCCAGGTTGAAATATAAGACAGTAGATCCAGACTCTATCGTATAGTCTTAAAGGTCGGCCTTTACTGAGAATCAAAATCATATCAAATCACATCATATTGTAAAGGGAGAGGGCACAATAAGGGAGAGACACATTTTGTATTTTGATATGTATAGCCAATGCCAGAATAAAGGTATGTGTAATATATTAACAATATCTCTGGTGGAACTTCATGGTTTTAGATTAATACAAATAATGTTATCATATATGTAACACACAGTGCACATATGTGCACAAAAAAAAAAAAAGCCAATGCTTTAAAGGTATAGAACAATTTTATTACATAAAAGGAATCCAGAAGCGCAAAACTCATAACAAGCCAGTAGCATTGATAATTACATTTTGTGTCACCTGTGTGAACAAGTAGGCCTTTTATGGTCTGTCACTTCCCTATCAGATAGTTTAATATTTGAATGATTTCTTACTATGAGCCCCTACCACCATGGCATTAGTTTCTAAAACTCTCCCATTTTGTCAGAACAAAAGGATGTCGATTTTTACAATCCTGCAGTCACTTTAAACTTCTGTCACTCAGTCATAAAGGCTTATGAACCATACATCCCCTACCAAATGAAAAACTAACTAGCATACATACACATCTCCTCTTCCATTACATGAATCGTATGTTGCATCTGTTTGAAAATACTCATACTCTGTCTGCCCTCACCCTACACATATTTATAGTATTTAGATTAAGCAGTATGTTCTCCAGGCTACCATGAAGAAGAGCTGCTAGCTGGACTGCCCTCAGAATCTAATGGGGGAGTACGTAGGTCTTCTGGGTAAAATTCAGTTTGGCGGTGTTCCCACACACGAAGACTGCCATCCCACTGAAATGACAAAACAGAAGGTGCAAGGGGAAAAAGAACGAGAGAAAAAAAATAGTTATTACGTGCTTTCATCTTCATATTTCTTGTCCCCATATATAGAAACCCATTCAGAACTCTTCCCCAACCCATTCAACTTGTACTCTAATAAGAAACAAAAATTTTATCCTTCTTAAATTCAGACAATTTTATCACCCAGCTTTATCCCCTTGAATCAATTTGCCTCTCAGCCATTCTTTCACCTCCCCTATCTCACACTGTCTCCCTTTTCATTTCTAACAAAACAACCCCTCGATTATCCCATTTCCTTCTCGTGTCACTTACAGAGCTGCTAACAAGCCGGTTGTCACAAGGATGCCAGCTGACATCTCGCACGCATGCTTTGTGATTTGCCAATTTCGTCACTATATGGCCAGTTAATAAGTCGTAAACTGAAGAAATTGAGAAAAAGACAGCATCAGTAAAAAAATAAAAAAAATAATCTTCCATATACTCAACCCTAAAAGGGAAGTGAAGAAAACAAGCAAAATAATATTTCCCATTTCAAATTAGAAAAAGCTTTTGTGTGCACTCATAAACACATACACATCACAGATAACTGGATTATAAATAAGAGTGTGTGTGTATCTTTAAAATATATATTTTTTCCTCTTTCATAAAACTTGAACTTTTATACATTTTCATTCATAATAAAAAATCCATATAGTCAGCTATTCACTCCTGACAGACCAATGTGACTAAGTCGCAGACCATTTACTTTACAATCTTCAGCTGTAATATGTAGTGTAACAAAACCTGGTTTGACAGAAAGATACAAACAATAATTGTAGGTTTTGATAGCCCTTAACTCAAGCTTAACATCTTATGGTATGTGACTTATAAAATATAAGGTACAGATCTGAAACATAGGGACAGATAAGTCAGTGTGATCGGTATAGCTATAGCAGAAGCAAAGTCAAAAAAAATTGTAGAGGAAACAAAGAAAACAACAGATTGTGTTGTCTACATGGTTATCATAGAACAATAACGGATACGGCCAGCTGAATAAATTGTAAGCTTCTTAAATAGAATGACTTTTCAGGGAGAGTTTGAAGGTTGAATGGGATGGAGATTTCATCCGATATAGCATGGTGGTGAGTTGAGTTATATGACGCAGCTTCTCCAAAAGGAAAAAAAATCAAGCCTGAAGTGATAAAACAGGGTAAACAGTTTTATCATATCTGTTAAATGAAAGCAGGAAAAATTAACTTCTCATGGTGTTCATCTTTCCCTCTATATAAATGGGAATATCATGAGCAGTAACTTAAGAGTCGAGCAAAGGTGAGAGAAAACAAAAAAAAAAAAGTGTACATATATGTCTGAGAAATAAAAGACCAGAGTAAGAAAAAGGTGAGGGTACTGTTATACAAAAGTAGAGTTAAGTTTCAGTTGTAATAGCTCAGCATGCTTCAACAACTATTTATTTACCTACGACACGACCTGTGGAGCAACCACTGTACACATACTGCTGACCAGTACTATATTCTGGTGAAAAGCGACATCGAATCAGTGTATGGAGGACGCCATGGCCACGATATGTCATTAGAGATGTGTCACCTGGGAGCCTTTTTTTCCTGAGTGCTAAGAGAAATTAGTAAAAAATAAAATTGGATAGTAATCACGAAAAAAGAAAGGGAAAAATGGGATGAAAAAAAGAATATAAACCAATGGTCATATAAAATAATTTTGCTATATAGCTTTTCTGACTGATTATTGATTTAACGAGCATTCCACAGTGCTAATTATTAAAAAAAAAAATTAAGTAAAATCACGGTTTAGCAGATATATCCCACAATGAATACAACCATGCATTTTTTTTATGCATGTATTCATTGGGGGAATATCTTAAAAGAGCTTGCAGATACTGCAGTTCTTATGAGGCTTCTCATTAAAGGGACACTATAGGCACCCAGACCACTTCATCTCATTGAAGTGGTCTGGGTACACTGTTCCTTTAATGTTAGCCCTGAAGCTGCAGATTCAGAGAAACTACCATGTTTACATTGGGGTTAAGCCTGCCTCTAGTGGATGTCTATCACACAGCCATAGAGGCGGTTCCTGGCCTTTCACACTTTGCATGAGGACGTCCAGCGTCTGCTAAATCCTCACATGAAAGCATTGATTATCAATGCTTTCCTATGGGGAAGGCCTAATGCGTTCACTGCACATGCGCATTAGAATCCCTTCATCGTATGACGTTGGAGGAGTGCAACCCAGTGCCAAGGTAAGGTAAGTGTAAAAGGGGTATTTAACCCTTTATTTGCTGGGGGTAAAGGGGGTTGCAGAGAGACACTATAGTGTTAGGAATACAGTTTCTGAAGCTATTCCTCCGTGTGAACTGAGCTCTGTGAGTAGGAATGCAGAAAGAAGCCACTTGAGCACGCCTGCCACTTCCATTATCTCAAGCGCACCAACGGAAGCAGTATGCAAACCTCCCTAGCTGTATGATACACATGGGGTGTTTCATTATTTAATTATAAAAGTGCAGATTTATCATAGAAATCATCACTTTTATAAAGTGCCTTTTGAATTGAATACTCCTCACCCATAAAGCACTTAACAAGCTGAAGTGCATTATGGATGTTGAGTTGTCCTTTAACTACTATGATCTTGTTGAGGATATTAGCTTACCTCTTTTGGGTACCTGCTGCCAACGATAATCCCAGTTTTGCTGGGTCACTACTCTACGGGAGGCCTCCAGGCCCTCTGGTCCTGAAAAGCGCCTGATATCCCATAATTTAATACTCTGATCTTTGGAATTGGATAGTAGATACCGCGCATCACCCTGTGGATAGAAGAATCAGCATTTCAGTGAAAGAGCTAAACAAGATAAATGCCTTTGCTTGACTCATGCGAGAATCAAAAATTTTACTGCATGATGGTCTATATGCTGTCACTGGGCATTAAAGACTTGCACAGCATGACGGTATAGAGCATCATGTGATCCTTAAGTGGTTCACATGTTTTTATTTTCAATGACTTTTACATTTGTGCTTTATAAAGCTGGGTTATGAAGGCAAAAGTATTTCTCGTTCTTTCAGGATTGATACAGGGAGCAAAATGGGTTTTGGAGCAGATGCAATTAAGAGAATTGGGAGACTGCAGTCAGACTGTTTGAAAGGGACACTATCAGCCCCCAGACCACTTAATGTAAATGAGCATGACAACACGATGACACCTAAATAGGTGTCAGGACACTATAGTGTTAAGAATACAGGTTTTGTATTAATAATGCTATAATTTTCCTTTAAAGGACCACTATAGTGCCAGGAAAACATACTCGTTTTCCTGGCACTATAATGCCCTGAGGGTGCCCCCACCCTCAGGGTCCCCCTCCAGCCGGGCTGGATGGAGAGGAAGGGGTTAAACTTACCTCTTTCTCCAGCGCCGGGCGGGGAACTCTCCTCCTCCTCTCCTCCCTCTTCGGCTGAATGCGCATGCCCGGCAAGAGCCGCGTGCGCATTCAGCCAGTCCATAGGAAAGCATTCACAATGCTTTCCTATGGACGCTGGCGTCTTCTCACTGTGAAAATCTCTGAAACTGCTGTGTTTATTAAAAAAAAGGGTTAATCCTAGATGGACCTGGCACCCAGACCACTTCATTAAGCTGAAGTGGTCTGGGTGCCTATAGTGGTCCTTTAAGCTGTATGTGCATGACAATATGATGTAATAACTTTCTCCTTATTTCATTCCTTGTTATTTAAGTACCATTTAACAAATGTTTGGGTTACAGGGCATTCTTCTGTTAAGTGGGCCATAACCTAGTGCAGGATCAAGAATATATGGATTGAACGTAAGCCTCAATCATGATGATGTGGTGATATATTGGAAATGTGTGGGTGTTTGAGAATTTCTCAAAACACAGAAATTATCCTGGTTTGCTCTATGAGATGGGCAGTTACAGAGGTTTTAATTTTACACATAAGAAGTAATGATGTGGGTTTGGTTAAAACTGTTAATTTATTGCGTTGTTTAAAAAAATGTTTTAATGTCAACTGACCTGCAGCTTTTTTAGTTTGGTCGCAGATGGTCCTGTGCTTGAGTTCATTAGACTCAAAGGATTTAGAGTGCAAGAAAGAGTGTGAAAGAAGCTAAACGTTGCAATGACAATATTTGCCACTGGCGTGTGGTTCTGCGTACAGGCACTTAGAAATAGATAGAAAGGATTTAGGCCTATTTAGTAAGGATCAAATTCATTTATAAAATGTTAGCAATTATATTTTTAACTTGTATTTGCAAAATATGATTGAGAAGGTGCTGGGGGGAAGAAGGGGGCTCCACTAGGGAAGATTTATTGTCCCCCAATCGAGATAGTGACGCAAAAGGCCATCCTCAGGGTCAAGTTCTGAGGAAGGATTACAGAAGGATATGGTGGCAAATGTTTTTAAAAGGCAATCAGGTCATCTAGGACTGACTGTCAGTTTAGTGCAGTTTAATAAAGTTAATTTAGGTAAAGGGTTAAAGTTATATATCTAAAATGTTTTAGACATATGGTTCTATGCCACTTAAGCTTTAAATAAACACCACAGCCTAGCACATTTATGTTGGCTTTTATTGTGTAATCTTGTTAAACTAATAAGACTATTGCCTATCATACATATTAAAACATTTCGCAATATAATTAAAAATTACAACCTGTTTAACTCATACAAGCACATGATCATTAAACAAAGACAAATATAACAAGTTGAAATCTATAATAAACAACATTTTTAAAGTTAGCGCAATGCAGTGTCTACAAATGCATCTGTCTTAAAGGGACTCTATAGACACCAAAACAACTTTAGCTCAATACAACATGAACCAGCAGCCTAACTGCTCAATTCTCTGCCATTTAGGAGTTAAATCCCTGCATGTGACTTGCACATCTTTCTGAAACACTTCCTGAAAAATAACCTAGTTATATTAGGTCCTGTATTGCATAGTCTGTTTAATCTAGAATTATCTCCTGCTGTGTTAATAGCCTTCTAGACCATGCCAGAGCCTCTTGTGTGTGATTAAAGGTCAATTTAAGGAACAGGAGATAACAATGTCTAATGCAAGTTAACCTCTGCTTGAAAATAAAACATTTTTTGCAGGCTATGTCATAAACAGCCAGAAGGGTGTGGATAGGGCTAAATAAACATAAACAAAAGTGATTTAACTCCTAAATGGCAGAGAACTGAGCATAGAAACTACAGTCATGATTTACACTGATCAGCCACAACATTAAAACTACCAACCTAATATTGTGTAGGTCCCCCTTATGCTGCCAAAACAGCTCCGATGCATCAAGGCATGGACGCCACAAGACCTCTAACCATGTCCTGTGGTATCTGGCACCAAGACATTAGTAGTAAATATTTTAAGTCCTGCAAGTTGCAAGGTGTGGCTTCCATAAATCGAATATGTTGTTCTAGCACATCCCACAGATGCTTAATCGGAAATAGGAAATTTGGAAGCTAATGCAACAACTTGAACTCTTTGTCATGTTCCTCTCACCATTTCTGCACAATTTTTGCAGTGAGGCAGGGTGCATTATCATGCTGAAAGAGGCCACTGCCATCAGGGAACACCACTGCCATGAAGGTGTGTACGTGGTCTGCAACAATCTCTAGGTAGGTAGTATATGGCAACATCCACATAAATGCTAGGACCCAAGCTTTCCCAGCAGAACATTGCCCAGAACATAAGACTGCCTCTTATGGCCTGCCCTTTTCTCACAATGCATCCTGCTGCTATCTCTTCCTCAGGTAAACAATGTACATACATCCAGACATCGATTTGATCTAAATGAAAATGTGATTCATCAGCCCAGGCAGCCTTCTTCTATTGCTCCATGGTCCAGTTATGATGCTCACGTCCCCATTGAAGGGGCTTTCAGAGGTGGACAGGTATTATCGAAGGTTAGCCTTGGCTCCCCTTGGGCCCTCACGCTGGTTCCTAGGTTGTCCTCCCTGCACTACTTTCCGTACGTACTAACAACTTCATACCAGAAACACCCCACAAGACTTGCTGTCTGGCCATCACTTTTTGGCACTTGTGAAACTCACTCAGATCTTTTCACTTTACCATTTTTCCTCCTTCCAACGCATGAAATTCAAGAACTAACTGTTCGCTTGCTGTCTAATATAGTACACCCCTGGACAGGTGCCATTGTAATGATGTCATCAATGTTATTTACTTCCACTGTCAGTACTTTTAATATAGTGGCTGATCAGTGTCTACAACAAAACTGTTTCATTAACCTAATGTTGTTTTTGCTGCCTTTAGTATCCTTTCAATGGTATATGTTAAATTATAATTACCGGAACACCAACTACATAAAAATTTATTTTAGTTCTAAAAATACCAAAGAAACAAGCTAAGCAGAAGGCAACATACAATACTTAGGCAGAGTACTCTGACCGAGAAAGAGGTATAAAACAGGCTGTGCATGATTATATAGGAGAGCACATGAAATGTTAACAAAAGAACAGGTAGACAACCTGCAGGATGCTAGGTGCTATTGTCTACAGGCCAGTGGCACTCAACTAACAGTTACATTCCATACCTGTGCTGATGCACAGAAACGTAGAGAAGCGTAATGAAGCATAACATGAAAGAAGTTAAAGTCTTTATCTCACCTTACTGTGTATAAAGGTGATGCCATCTTGATGTCCAGCTAGCACCCCCACTGGCCTTGGATCATCCTCTCTCATAGTTCGGCGGTCCCACACTTTACACAGAGCATCATCACCACCAGAGTACAGGATGTGACAACTGTCATCAGCAAATGAAACAGCATTCACATCGTCTTCATGGGAAGAAATCTGAATTCATGTAGGAGATAGAGGTAAGAAATGCAAACTCAGAGTCACACTAAGGTAGAGGAAACCAGTGAATGGAGAGCTAAAATGCAAGTGAATGGATTTCTATGGAGGGTCTTATACAAGCAGAGAAAAACTTGAATGGAAGGCGAAAATGTAAGAGGGCAAGACAAGAGCATTTGTTAAAATGTATTTATAAAAGAAAAAACTAAGAGGCAAAGAGGTTGAAGAAAGAATAGTATAAACAAAAGAAAAAGACAAGGGAATTACAGAGGGGTAAAAATACCAACAGCAAAATAGCTATAGAAAAAAACATACTACAAGTGATAAAGTAAAGAAAGTGTGGGAAGTGGAAAAGAGGAGAAATCTAAAGTATACAGAAGGGGGTTAAACTTTGGAAATAGGGAGTAGGCTTAAAGGACCACTATAGTGCCAGGAAAACATACTCGTTTTCCTGGCACTATAGTGCCCAGAGGGTGCCCCCACCCTCAGGGACCCCCTCCCGCCAGGCTCTGGAAAGGGGAAAGGGTTAAAAACTTACCTTTTTCCAGCGCTGGGCGGGGAGCATTCTGCCTCCGATCCTCCTCCTGGGCTGAATGCGCACGCGCGGCAAGAGCTGCGCGCGCATTCAGCCCGTCGCATAGGAAAGCATTTACAATGCTTTCCTATGGACGCTTGCGTGCTCTCACCGTGAAAATCACAGTGAGAAGCACGCAAGCGCCTCTAGTGGCTGTCAATGAGACAGCCACTAGAGGATTAGGGGGAAGGCTTAACCCATTCATAAACATAGCAGTTTCTCTGAAACTGCTATGTTTATAAAAAAATGGGTTAACCCTAGAAGGACCTGGCACACAGACCACTTCATTAAGCTGAAGTGGTCTGGGTGCCTAGAGTGGTCCTTTAATGGTTAAGAAATAAACAAAAGGCTAATAAATCTAAAGAAGGGCTAGTATAAATAAATGTATATGATTAGGGATACAAAACTGAGAAAAGAATAGTAAACAACTTGATTTCTACAGCAAGAACTGATTTACTTCCAAAAAGGAGATATTGCATAATAGGAAGAAGAAAAAAAAGGAGACAGTTGAAGAAAGACTTTACAAAATTTATAATTAATATGACATCATAAGTTGAGAATAAGTAATTACTGAAGTGAAGGTGAGGGAAAAGGTAATGAAAGAAAGTGAAAACAGCTTAGCCTCAGTACCTTTAATGTTCGGATATTTTGCTCACGGTCGTACACATACACACACCCATCATTGGCTCTGTAACAATTGCACAAATGGCACACATAGCAGTACTGTATGTTTCTACTCCTCAATAAACAACAAATTATAAATACAAATCTAGCTACCACCTATAGGACCATTTAACGGAAATAATTACATCATAACAATTTTTTATTTTTTTTATTTCCTTTTCAGGACCAATATCCTTGGTGGTAGGTAATCTTCTGCCCTCTCTGCGGTTCTCCTTTTATAATTTTTTTCACATCATCCAATATTTCCTAACATGACTATGGTTACATATTACGATACAAACGAGCGTAGGTAACATTCTTAATCTGCAAATGCAATGCCCATTTGACCAGTAATCAAGTCGCTTCTATACATTTCTAATGCTTGAAGTGTATCGATTACTCCTTGAAGTATACAGTTGCAAGAAAAAGTATATGAACCCTTTGGAATGATATGGATTTCTGCACAAATTGGTCATAAAATGTGATCTGATCATCATCTAAGTCACAACAATAGACAATCACAGTCTGCTTAAACTAATAACACACAAAGAATGAAATGTTGCCATGTTTTTATTGAACACACCATGTAAACATTCACAGTGCAGGTGGAAAAAGTATGTGAACCCTTGGATTTAATAACTGGTTGAACCTCCTTTGGCAGCAATAACTTCAACCAAACGCTTCCTGTAGTTGCAGATCAGACGTGCACAACGGTCAGGAGTAATTCTTGACCATTCCTCTTTACAGAACTGTTTCAGTTCAGCAATATTCTTGGGATGTCTGGTGTGAATCGCTTTCTTGAGGTCATGCCACAGAATCGCAATCTGTTTGAGGTCAGGACTCTGACTGGGCCACTTCAGAAGGTGTATTTTCTTCTGTTTAAGCCATTCTGTTGTTGATTTACTTCTATGCTTTGGGTCATTGTCCTGTTGCAACACCCATCTTCTGTTGAGCTTCAGCTGGTAGACAGATGGCCTTAAGTTCTCCTGCAAAATGTCTTGATAAACTTGGGAATTCATTTTTCTCCTTCGATGATAGCAATCCGTCCAGGCCCTGACGCAGCAAAGCAGCCCCAAACCATGATGCCCCCACCACAATACTTCACAGTTGGGATGAGGTTTTGATGTTGGTGTGCTGTGCCTTTTTTTCGCCACACATAGTGTTGTGTGTTTCTTCCAAACAACTCAACTTTGGTTTCATCTGTCCACAATATTTTGCCAGTACTGCTGTGGAACATCCAGGTGCTCTTGTGCAAACTGTAAACGTGCAGCAATGTTTTGTTTGGACAGCAGTGGCTTCCTCTGTGGTATCCTCCCATGAAATCTATTCTTGTTTAGTGTTATACGTATTGTAGATTTACTAACAGGGCTGTTAGCATTTGCCAGTAACTTTTGTAAGTCTTTAGCTGACACTCTAGGATTCTTCTTCACCTCACTGAGCAGTCTGCGCTGTGCTCTTGCAGTCATCTTTACAGGACGGCCACTCCTAAAGAGAGTAGCAGCAGTGCTGAACTTTCTCCATTTATAGACAATTTGTCTGATGAACAGCAAGGCTTTTGGAGATACTTTTATAACCCTTTCCAGCTTTATGCAAGTCAAAAATTCTTAATCGTAGGTCTTCTGAGAACTCTTTTGTGCGAGGCATCATTCACATCAGGCAATGCTTCTGGTGAAAAGCAAACCCAGAACTGGTGTGTGTTTTTTATAGGGCAGGGCAGCTGTAACCAACACCTCCAATCTCATCTCATTGATTGGACTCCAGTTGTCTGACATCTCACTCCAATTAGCTCTTGGAGATGTCATTAGTCTAGGGGTTCACATACTTTTTGCACCTGCACTGTGAATGTTTACATGGTGTGTTCAATAAAAACATGGCAACATTTCATTCTTTGTGTGTTATTAGTTTAAGCAGACTGTGATTGTCTATTGTTGTGACTTAGATGATGATCATATCACATTTTATGACCAATTTGTGCAGAAATCCATATAATTCCAAAGGGTTCACATACTTTTTCTTTCAACTGTAACTATTATATAAAACAAATGTTTCCTTCGAATTTTCCTTTTCTTTAATTCCTTTTTGTAAAATACCAAAAAGAGCTGTCAATAATAGCATAATAACAGTAGAACTGTTAGCGAATGTAAAGACTTGCCATTGAAATGCTATTAACGGATTAATGAGCAACAAAACAAAAGGGGACACTAAAGATGCTAGCAATGTTTTATAGTTTTTTGTTTTTTTTAGATCATTAGTATTTATTTATTTTCATAGACCCAGTATATATGAGAAAATTACAGTTCTCAATTTTGAAGTGAACATGTTGAGTAAACTAATCTATACAGGGTATAGTAAGCATGCAATATATATATATATGTGTGTTTTTATGTCTTGCTTCTCATGCTGCTGTACAAATATAAAACTATAAAAACACACCAGTAAATACTGAACCAATTAGTACTTACCCCCCAAGCACTTCTCGACCATCAGAAGACACAGTGAGTGAGAAAACTGCGAAACGGCGCTCTGAGGGACTGCACATTAGAGAAGAAAGAAAAGAAAGAGGCTGGTGAAGAGAGAATAAAGTCAGAGTAGAGAAGTCAAAGCTTCAGCAAAGCATGGACATGGAATGACAGTTGAAGTAATTGGTTAAAAATGAAGTAAGTTTACAAAAGGAAACTGCACAAATAAATGTCAATAAATAAATTATATAAACTTTGTACCTTAGATCTAGCGCTACATGAGAATCAGCATCTCCATATATGTTGCATACATGAACTGAAATCAGAGAAATACATTTTGTTTAAGATTATGTAAAACAATGATGTGCAGTAAATTTGCCAGCATAGTAAGCTTAGTGTATAGCAGTCTGACTTTTGTTTTGCAGAAATGTTTTTATTAGGAATGCCAGACATCATTAGACACTTTTGGCAGTCATTGAATAATAAGGACTGAGGGCTGAAAAATGTGACAATATATACTCTAAAGTCATTTTCCAGTTTTATAGAAACTTTAAACTTAAAGGAAAAGTAACACATTCGTTATTTTGAATAACTGACCCGCTCCCTGCTCCTCCATCCCAATCCCCCCACCTCCGCTAGAATGGGAAATTTTCCCAATATTAAACAAGGTTGAGAAGGTCTTGACCACTAAGGTATTTGGTGTCCAAGTCCCTATGTTTAAGCTAGAGTATGAGGCCATCCATTTGTGAACTAGAAATAAGCAGTTCATATGAACAAGAGCAAAAGCTAAAAATCTCAAAGTTTTGCAGTTTCCCAGGATGTTGCTGTTTCCCTCTAAGTTAAAATTAAAGGGACATGGGGACACTGAATTTTCCTCATATAGATGCATTGATTCAATGCAGCTCTACGAGGAGGTGTTAATTGGCCAAAATAGCGTTTGGCCCCACCCCCTTGTCGATTTTAGCCATGGGAAAGCATTGGATTGGCTAAAAATCGACAAATCTGATTATGTCACCAAGGGGGCAGGGCCAGCGCTGGTGGACCTGCGCGGCGCTGGAAATAAGGTGAGTTTTAATTCCTTTTAAGGGGGGCAAGCCACCTAAATGGTGGGTTTAACACTATAGGGTCAGAAATACATGTTTGTGTTCCTGACCCTATAGTATTCCTTTAACGTTAGATTATTTGTTATCGTGAGGTACAGTCAATAGAGGGTCATATCCCACTATCATCTCTGCTGAGAACCATGTCTTGAATTACAAGGTAGCACTGATATTTGACTGGAAGGTCAGAGTCAAAGTTGATAAATAAGGGTTCCATATCTGGAGAATTTTTTTCACAATGGTTTCTTTGTTTGTTAGAGTGTATAGCAAATACATTTTAAACAAAAAACTGAGTTTAGTTAAAAATAAATGTAAAGGCGCTAAACCTGACTGACTGGGGAACTCGCACAGTGATATAAATCCTCTTTTGGGAACATTTGGAACAAGTGGACATGTTCTTGCTTGTTGTTAGATGAAGTCTGTATGGTGAATAATAAGTGTAGTGTGTGTAACCTATGTTTCTATGTTAACCTGGCACAATTAAGGTTGATTCCAGCATATGTCATACACTTAGAAGAGAAGGGGTTAACAGACAAGTAGTGTGACTATCACATGAGAATGGGAAACTTTAATCGGGGAGGCGTTACAGGGGGGGGGGGAGAAGAAGAGCTATTTTTTATTGGTTATTTCATTACTATAGAAAAGAAGGCACTTGATTTCAAAAATATTCCTCATGACAAGTACAAGAAAAGTCTTTAAAGATAATATAAATTTTAAATGGTATACAATAAAGGGTAAAACATTCTAATAGTCTAGTGGCAAAAAAGTGCTTGTGGATAAATATGAAAGTAGACCAATGGCACAACTATATGATAAGCTACATTTACACAATTTTGGGACCTCTCACTCCTGCTGAGTTTCTTTGTGCTATTAACCAGAGGAGGAAGCTATGTGTAACACTTAATGTAGTTGTTCTGGTGTCTATAGCATCTCCCTGCAGGCTTTTTAATGTAAACACTGCCTTTTCAGAGAAAAGGCAGTGTTTACATTACTGCCCAGTAACAACTCTAACGGCAGTCACTCATACGGCCACTAGAGATGCTTTCTGTGTCAGTGATGCACAGTGTGCAGCACTGGCGTTCACCATCTCCACACTCTGCATGGAGAGGCTTGACATCCCCCAAAGAGATGCATTGAGTCAATGCATCTGTATGAGGAGATGCAAAATGGTGTAGAACACCCTTTTGCTGCACATGTGCAATAGCCTTCAAATGATTTCCTATGGATTGGCTGAGATCATTCAGTTTGAGCCAGTGTGTGTGTTCCTGACACTATAGTGTTCCTTTAAAGGGACAATCTATGCACCAGAACAACTACAGTAAAACATGTTTCTTTCTTCTTCTGCCCAGAGTGCTTATTAAATTATGTCAAACAAATACAACAAAAGCAGGGCCCAAATATCAAGTTCTACTGACCACTATACACTGTAGGCTTCTTGGACCAAAACAAGTACAAGAATCTTACTTGTGTTGTTCCAAACATTCACATCTATATAATCAAATGTCTACAAAAAGAGGCAACCAAATACTATGCAGCATACAGAGTTTATGTTAAACACACTTAAAAAAACAACACAAAACAAGGAAGCAACTGCTCTTAAAATGCTACTGCTGGAAACTGGTTTATTCAATCAGTGGCTCCTAAAAATGAGCTTAATTCCTGAATATATCTGACATGCTTCTAAACTTTATTAAAATGTCAACCACATGAGACATATGTTGGACATGCACAGCTACGTCCATGTATACGTTCACAGATGCAGACTTTAGGTCCTGAGTGCAGTAGAATCTCACACTTCCCGCTGCCTCTTCGAGACAGGCACCTGTACACACAGCAAGCATTATTAAAATCATGGATGCTGTTAAGAGATCAAGCAAACTATAGGTGAGAAAGGCTCCTTAATTCTGGTAGCATTTTGTGGCTCTACTCTGCTAGAATTACCTCTGCAGGACAATTCATATTCAGTGGCAGAATGCTGCCCCTTACATGATCGCATTAGCCCATTTAGGGCTCCCTCTGCTCAGTTGACACTCTCCCTTCCACCCTAAAGTCAGCACTGGGAGGAAGTGATATATCCTACCGCTTCCTCCAAGGGCTCAATGGGTGTCGCATGGGAGCAGGGAAACTGGCACTGAGCAGAGCCCAATTCCCATGGATCACAGTGAGCATCCCTCTTGCAAAAGCATGGTATGCCAACAGGAGGGTGGATAGAAATAATGTATATTTTAATTATTGCGCATGTATATACCTGTGAGTGTATCTATGTGGTTATTCTTTGCTGTGTATGCTTGTGAAAGTGTTTTTCTGTAATGGTCTGTGTATGACTCTGTGTACCTGATCATTTATCTATGTCTATTAGCGTATGTATGAGTGTTATTGTTGGTATCTTTGTGTGTGAGAGTGTGTATTTGGTAAAGTGCGTGTGTACATGTAGCTTTGTGTGTAGCATTGTATACTTGTGTATGTGGAAATGTTTATCTCTATATATGTCTCACAGTGTGTATCTGTTTGTGAATTTCTCCTTCGCACTGTGTATCTTTTTGTGTTTGTGACTGCATGTATGTATGTATGTATGTATGGGAGCATGTGTTTGCTTTTTTGCATATAGACATTAGAAAATTAGTTTGACAACCCTGCTACCATTTCCAACAACCTTCAGACCATGAACTATCAGTAAGCAATATACAGTAGTTTTAAACGCCTAAAAGTCAGATTGTAAAAATAATTTTAAAAATTATACATATATATAGGGAACAAATGCACAATTGCATATACAAGAAAAATAGTCAATAATATTTGTATTGCTTTGTCGGTATTATGCATTGGTTATTTTCTCAACTTAATTTCTCACTTGTAAAGCCTAAAAGACTTTGAAACCTTAACGGATAACATAAAAATATGTAAAATACATCTTAAGGTAGGTTGGTCTCAATATCTACACACATAGTGAGGCAATGGGGTAATACACTACAATGCATAGATCGCAGATTTAAACACAAAAACTATGATACTTTTCTAAAGTGATTGATTGGTCCCTGACAGCTGTTCCTAGCTGTACAGGTGACTCCCACTGTGACAAATAGTATATGGTGATAGTCATGTGATACCTCACATTGACGCACATTAAACTCTAAGTAGTTTTTAACTTACTGGCTTTAAATTTACAAACAAAACCTTTCATCCCCATTTTATGTATACTGACTGTAGTCTGACCAGCTGGAGTACATGAAGTGCCCTCCATCAGGGGTAAAGGCTACATCTAAGACACTCCAGCCAACATCACGAGCTTTCACTGTGCGGAATTTCTTGAAGGCTCCATGACGACAATTGTACAGTCGGATATTCTGATCTGACCAAACAGAGAAGAGACAATGTGACAGCTTGAAGGCCATAGAAGAAATGAAGAAGAAAAAAAAGAAGTAGGATCAGGAAGATCAAGTTTATGAGAGATAATTGAGCGGAGAGAAGAAAAAAACGAGTGTGTTGCGAAAATTAAGTATAACAGAAATAATACTGCCAAAAGTGAAGGTAAATGCTATAGTATTATCAGTAAGAAAAGGTGATAAAGTAGGAAACAGAGATGGAAATGGAAGAAGGTTGTCAAAGATATAAATAGAGAGAAAGAAAATTTAAGGAAAGGGCAGAACTTTACCTTGACAAGCTGACATAAAAATGGTCCCATCAGGGGAGTAAACACCGCAGAAAGCCTTCTGGGTATACAAGTCTGTGGCACACACATGATTCGGTAGGAAGCTGCGAGGACATAATAGGAATGAAAACAATTTCCAAAGCATTTATTCACAAGTAAAGCATAAGTTCAAATTACTTACTAGGATGTTACCCGGGATTGTTCCCCCATTGAAAAACCACATCCTGTCCTTTCTCTCTACAGAGACAATCAAAAGAAAGAGAAAGAACTTGTCAATGAGTTAAACACAGAAAGACGAAATGCTAAAGAGTAATGTACACCAGGTAAAAATACATAAAGAATGTGACCAATATGGAGTACGAACAGTTAAAGTGGCTCTGTCACCGCACAGTTACATGTTAGAACTCATTCTTTCACAATTCATGAGCTGCCTTTTTTTCATTATAGACTGTATTTTCCATAATATACATACAGAAACATAGGGGCTAGTTTTTCTTATAGATCCAGGCACTTAGCAAAACGTAAAAATGGATGAAGGATTAGCTCCACTTCTCTTTTCCAGACTATTTTACCAGAATTCCCACCTTTTCTCAGAGCCGACTCTAAAGATGATTAGTTCCACATGACCATTACATGTCTAATAACATGTGCTGTGTAATGGTCATGTGCAGGATTATAAATTGAAGCATAAAAGTCCAGCTCATTAGTGATGGTGGGAAACAATCCATTTTAGGAGCTAATAGTGGGCATTAATATTAAATTAAGAGTAGGGAAATGAGAAAGCTGGCTTAAAGGACCACTCTAGGCACCCAGACCACTTCAGCTTAATGCTATGTTTATAATAGGGTTAATCCAGCCTCCAAATCCTCTAGTGGCTGTCTCATTGACAGCCGCTAGAGGCGCTCGCGTGATTCTCACTGTGAAAATCACAGTGAGAACACGCAAGCGTCCATAGGAAAGCATTGTAAATGCTTTCCTATGAGACCAGCTGAATGCGCGCGCAGCTCTTGTCGCGCGTGTGCATTGAGCCGAAAGGGAGGATCGGAGGCGGAGAGCTCCCCGCCCGGTGCTGGAAAAAAGGTAAGTTTTAACCCTTTCCTCTCCCCAGAGCCGGGCGGGAGGGGGACCCTGAGGGTGGGGGCACCCTCAGGGCACTATAGTGCCAGGAAAACGAGTATGTTTTCCTGGCACTATAGTGGTCCTTTAAGACAATTACATTTGATGTTTAGATGCAAGAGTGTAATTAAAAGGAACATGTAACTATCTAACATTTCACCCAGATTCAATGCTATCATTTTTCTTTCTCACCTTCTACTTTCTTTATTCCATAGATCTGGACTCACTCAACTTATCTTTCTGATGAAAATAGTTATCCTCACCCCATCCCTGACATCTCTACCCCGTCCCAACCCACCCAGAGCACACTTGTTCAGCACTGCACCTGTCGTAATCCCACCCCATTGAGAGCAGACACAGACAATAACACTGATGCATAGCACTGACATACGCTCATAGGAGACTGGAAGTTAACCCTGCCCACAGTCCCTACCGTGGTTTTGTTGAATTAGTTTCCTACAACTGTTAGGACAGTAGTCACAAACCCCTACACCCAATCCATTGTTATGGTCTCACCTACTCACAGGGTTAAGACGCGAATGAGCAGGCTCCTGGGAACATTTCTCTATCTACTGTGTACAGTCTAACTCAGGTAGTCAACCTTTTAATACCTATAGCCCACTTTTGTATCTCTGTTGATGGTAAAATCTCCTTACCGCCATACCTAATTTTATAGCGCAAGTGCAATTTAAAAAATATATTTTTTTTAAATGCGTTTTTTTTTTAAAATATGTACTTAAATGTATCTATATATTTTTTTTTTCTATTTTCTATTATACTTTTGTTTTCTGTGTGTGTCTGTGAGGTGTTGTGTGTGTGTGTGAAGGATGCTGTGTGTGTGTTTGTGTGTGAGTGCGTGTGAGGGGGCGGAGTGCGTGTAAGGGGGTAGTGTGTGTTTCTGTGTGAAGGGTGCATAGGGTCTATGTTGTGTGTAGGTGGGTGAGATGTGAAAATCTATCTTTATGTCTCTCCCTCCCTTCTTACCTTTTACCGGGAGGGGGGAAGGGGGATTATGCTGAAAGCCCTGGTGGTCCAGTGGTGGCATGTTCACTTTAGCCCGCAGCTCTTCTGGCTGCAGGCTAACTCTCCTGTCCTCATGCGAACACAGCACTGTATCGGAGCGTTGCCATGGTAATGCACGGCAAAGCTCCAACCAGCCTGCTCACAGGAGGAACACAGAGCCTCCCAGGCCCTTCCATCCCTCTGCTGGAACCAAGGGCCAGTAAGTCGGTGAGGGAGATCTTTGATCTCTTCACCAGCCCGAGAGGGCTTACAGCAAGGCTGGCTCTGCATGGGCCGGCAGGGAAGATGAAAGGATCTCCCCTGCCGGCCTTGGTCCACGGCCATCGAGGCCCACTGGGCGTTTTCTGCAGAACCCACCACCACCCACCTGAAATCCCAAACCTAGGGACCAGGTTGACTACCCCTGGTCTAACTGGTCTACAAGCTAAAAGGCCAAGACCAATACCAACTGTATTAGATTTAATGTGAACTGTATACTGTAATATGCTAATTCTTGGTATTTTGGGATGTACTGCTCTTGTTACCCCCATAGCCACAAGAAAATCTGTATTAAAATAAAGAATTGGGAAGGTGGGGGGGCAGGAACATTTCATACCGTACAAATAAGTCATTAAATAATGTATGTTTTCACATCAGGCCACTTTTGTTGTAGCCAGTTAGGATAGCAGACCTGGCCCAAAGACATGGAGCAATCAGTCACAAAAAGTACCACCCCCAGAAGAGTGCTTAATTTTTTCTTGACATTATATCCCTAGACACTGGACTATAAAACAGACCTCTGATTATTTTTTAAATACTTCCAGATTACTAAAGTAGAATAGGAAGGTGAGACGACATGAGGATGTGATGAGATGGGAGTCTATAATGAGGCTGGTGTTTGAAGACAAGACGCTGGCTATAGTAGACAGTCATGTATGTAATTTTATTAACAAACCTCTTGGATAGCTCAATGAATATAAGGTTTCCACACAGAGATGAGGTATGTGTAAGAAGGAGTGGGGACTTGTAATGTGCACAAGTCAAATAAGGGAATTTCAAACATCTGAGCAGCAGTGGAAATACATGCACGTTCGATATTTAAAAATGAGAGAAGGGGGGGGGTGGGGCCTGACAGCCAAGATGGCTGGTAGCACTTCCCGAGAGCTCCAGCAACAACGGGCACAAACGAGCCAAAACCGAGCGACATACTTACATAAGCGGCACAGAGTAACCGGGAACAGACTCAGAGCAACATGCCGAACAAAATGGTACTAGTCCGGCACCGGTGCACCGCCGAAAAGACGCTACCGGCCATGCGGCCTACACCAGAGCAAAGCCTGAGGTCCGGGGGAGGCGGACGCTCTCCTGACACAGGACGAGCTCATAAACGAGAGCCCACTACAGCCCTGCTACCCCCCCCCATGGACCGGTGGGGGACATCCCGGTCCTCGCTGGGGACGACCATCCCCATACTATTGCCTGACCAAGCGACAAAATCTCCAGCCAAACGGGACAAACAAGGCCTAGCCAAGATGGCGGCTCAGACGCAACCACTGGCCAAACAAATATCTCCTAAGCCACCCACGCACATGTCGGAGTTCGTTAGCCGGCTAAACACCTACTGGGCGAAGTTTAAAGCCCGAAGACGAATCTACAAGCTAGCGCTGAGGGAGGCAATGGCGTGGATCCACCCGGCTACCCGGCGTCTCCTACTGGGGAACCCACCCTGTAACTCCCGAGCGGCAGCCCGTTGGAAGCAAAGCCGAAGCTCATCACGGCGGGAACCAGCACCGGGGCCCTCAGATAACAGCACTCACGACTACAAACCCCAGAGGAGGGCCTGCCAACACACCCGACCAACCTCCCACCAAGCGACTCCACCAACCCTCAATCAGCAAAGTGCAGCCCCGCGAGGGGATGCTCATAAAGCCTGCTGTGTGGCTGACTAGGTCACAGCAAAAGCATCTGCAGGTGGAGGGGCCCCGATGGGGCGCAGACCCTGCCACGCAAGCAAAGCCACTAGGAAAGGCATCGGGTGAGGCGAACCGGATTGCTATGCTCAGAGGCCCAAGGCCTGAGACCCTGCTAGGGGCGCAGGGATCGTTACCTCACTCTGCCGGAGATATAAAACATTTTCGTTGCCACTTCACCAGGGATTGTGGACTATGGATAATGCCATGCCAACACAAAGACAAGCACAGACCATCACGTGCACGGACTCAGCAGGAGACATCTCACAGGTTACCTTAAGACATCTTAGCACCACGCTGCGGCTACCATGCTCGTCTGGACCGTCTCTATCACAAACCGATCACGCATAGACTATGATAACACATCTTACCGACACTAGCGTAACTAATCTAAAACTGTTAAGCGTTTTATTATCCTCACTTGTCTTAATCACCTCTATTCGATAACATGCTAGCCACAGCGTAGAAAGCCAGAATAACGAATGCATGTCTGATAATCCTGTTTCTGCTTCACTGTGCCCCAAGCCGGGTATATTCTTGTGGGAAATCACGCTGCGGCAGAATAATATTAGGGACGCAAGGGACAAGGGATCTCCAATATTACTCTTACCATGCCATGATATGTCTGTTTTATCCTAACCCAGATCCCGCCTAGCAAATAATATGACTCACGGAAATCTCTGTGTCTATACACACTTGCATCCACTCAGAGGGTACCACACGCATGTCTGTTCAACCCATATGCACTGCAAAAAAAAAGAATAAAAAAAAAAAAAGAGAGAGGATATTTAACCCCTTAAGGACACATGACATGTGTGACATGTCATGATTCCCTTTTATTCCAGATGTTTGGTCCTTAAGGTGTTAAAGATGCTGAAGAAAGTAAATTAAAGCATGTCGCAAGATATTCAAACTCGAAAATACGACATACAACAGGGCACGTGTATCTGATCATTTCTCAATTTTCTTGTATGATTCTGCCTATAAATGTGAAAGCTATTTTGACTGGTGCATAGAGCTTGCATTAAATTATTTACAGGACTGCTTTTTATTATTAGTTTTCCCTGTACACAGGAACACATAACACACTACTAGGCCTAAGATATGTCAGAAGATATCATGCTGCCTGTAGTCTGCATGAAATATATAGAAAAAAAGGAGAAGATCATAACTCCAGTAGTAGAGTGACATGTTAGAAGACATCACATTTTCATTTGTAGAAAACTAAAGGAAGAAGATATTACAACTTCAATGGTTAGCATGCGATACGTAGGATGATATCATACCTCCCTTAATAAGCGTGTGATACTGCGCTCCTTTTGACCTCCTAATCTCCCTGTAGCTAAAAGAACTTGCGTCCTGATTTGGCTCTGATCCAAAACAGCGGTGTCTGGAGCTGGGTCAACTGCAAGGAGGAGCAAGTAAAAAAAAAGTAATGAGATATTATCTAGAGACAATTTAATAGCACTACAGAAAACAGGAAAATAGGCACATCAAAGTCTTTGACATGATTTTTTAAAACACCATGCACGCCCCAGGTATTTAATAAACAATTTGACTACGAACCCTGCAAAGACACTTTTGAAACCATAAACACTACAGTGAGCTGTTGTAGTTATGGTGCTTGGAGTTTTCCTTTAAATAATGAACACATTTCAATACTGGACTACTCACTTAAGCGTGAGTACTGTTCAACATACGCAGTAGTGATGTGTACTTGAATAATAATACCACACTATAAAAGTATTTTTCTTTTAATGTAGTGTGTGGGTGTGAGAGAGCTGGGGGAGATTACTCACCGGGAGGTGTGTAGCGGTCCCCTAGGCAGCCCTCCCATGCACTGTCGTTGTCATCATCAGAGTCAGACAGAGACTGCACTAGGTGTAAACTGGCAGGACCTCCCCCCTGTACCAGCCGTACTTGCCCCCTGCAGGAAAGGCAGAGAAGGCACTTTACATTACCACATTTAAAAACTGAGAGGTAGTACATAAGTTGCATTAATGTGCATCAGGTGAAAGTGTGTTACAACTTATGGCTTATTTGTATTTTACAAATCAGTAATCGCATCTCTACCTTTGTATATAAAATTATTTAATAATAATATGATAAAACTGTACAGGCCAGTTAATTTTGCCATATCATTTTGAGGAACAGACTGAACTGTGTCAGAGAATGCCAGTGAGAAATGTTATGAGTGTTATAAGAAAGGGAATTGCTTCTGTGAGGTCAGTTTAAAGAAAACTAGCACAGGGATGTCTTGGGGACGGGTCGTTACCTGCGCAGGAGGTACGCCAATACCTGCGCCAGGTCAACGTTCTCCTCGTCGTCATCATCCTGTGGTCCACGGGATATTGAGCTGCTGCGGGAGCCTCCAGGAGAATCCCTCTGAGCTCCACCTCCTCCTGCACTGCTGCTACTGCGTGTACCCATGCTCCATACCCCTGCACAATATACACAGAAGGTGTGTAAGTAAATTAATACACTACAAATAGTAATCATTCTTTACTCATGTGAGTGCTTCTGTTCATCTTAAATTTTGGTTACTGCTGATGCAAGAAAAACTAATATAGTAGTGCTGGTTATCCATTAAACCATGATTTTTTATTTTTCCTAAATGATTGGCAACTATTTTCCTAGTATTGTATAATTATAGATTTGAAATCAATTAGAAATACAACTGTGAGTTGCAACCCATATGTTAAAAACCACTGTCATAATCTCAAAGGCAAATGGTAAAATAATCTTGACAACCTTGTTGTCAATTTGTTCAATCATTTGATAGCTATAAAGTTAATATATTTTGTGTGTATTCTTGAAAACTAGTAAACTTTAATAGGAATAAAATGTATAAGAATGCAAATCAGGGTTAGGGACTGGAAAGACATAGGGAACGATAAAATTAAAAATATATTTGTTCTGTGACTGTATTTACATTTTTATATTTCTTGAAATATTATATGTTATATAAAGTGCATTTGGATTCAAGCATTAAAATAAATAAATGTTAAGAACCACTAGACAAACTATTCTGATATGTCAGTAATAATACTATCATGAAGTTAAAACAAAAAAAAAATGTGGCCTTTACAGATAACACATTTCACTTTATCTGAGGTTTACTGTAGACATTATTTTGCATTTTCTCTGCTGAGAAATAAAATAGTGACATTGGCTATATGCTGACTGTAAGCAGATTACCAATCAGGTTGGTAAATTCATATTTAGCACTTTATATGGATTAAGCTAATCCATTTCAATAATTTATCTGTGTCATTTATACTAGCATATCTCTTGCATCTGGTTTGTATGTGTTAGAGGGCTACTTCACTCTGTGCAGTATTTCAGCATGATTCTAGATATTTGGCTATTTTTGTGACGTCACTTTTATCAACCAGCCATTGTTGTTTTTATATGCAGGTTTTGCATATGGCATCAGCATGACCAACTTGAACTGATGTGTAGACTGATAGCTACCATGGCACATCTTATTTTAGTTTACAGAACAGTCCCATTCATCCTAAGAGAACTGCTCTAGGGATAAACTACTTTTCCTTGTGCAGAAGTTTATGGCATAACAGCATCTTCCTTGATAGGGAGGGGTACTAATGGATTACAAATTAGGGAGCACATTTCTACTTGTTTTCCTTTAAGTTCATTATAAATACAATTTGTCACCCTCCTCCAATATATATATATATTTTTTACAATGCTATTTTCAAAGTAATTTTAAAAGAATGCTAGAATATTAGGAATACAAACATGTATTTCTAACACTATAGTGTTGGACTACTATTTTAGGTGTCCCGCTCTCCTCAGTAAGGAGTTAAAAGGTAGCTTTACTTCTGTGTGTCCAAGAGAATATTGGGCACATGGTAAATTTTACCACATGTAGTGGACATATACTATCATTCTGGAATGAGATCTTTCATATATTGAGTGACGCTATAAGTGAATTTGATCTCTATCACCCAATCCTATGTTAGCGTTACTGAACAGCAACCATTCAGTTATACACTTACGTTTTACCGCACTGTCCTTTTGCCATAAATTTAGCACAGCTGGAAGACTATATATGGCAACGAGATGGAAAGAAAGGAATTCCACAATCGACACATTCATGAAAAAAATTACTTTATTCAAGATATGGAAGAAATGTCAGCTAAACTTAGAGGGAATCTGGCCTCACACAACAGAACCTGGTGTCCATGGATAGAATATAAATTTAGAAACATTACCTAAATAATATCTTCGTTCCCATCCTTGTTACCTTACCCTCTCCTTTTTTCCTCTCGCAAATTCTATCTTTCTAGATACCATTTGATATTGTTGATTCACTTAACATCTTTAGTTTATAAAACTGTTAAGTGAAATGAATTCATAAAAAAAATTATATTATATATATATATATATATATACATATATACATACATACATATACATACACACACACACACACAAATTAACTCCTAAGGTTAATATATATGCAATGCTCTATTTCAAATGTTTAGAATTGCCTGCAATATTGTTGATGCTGTATCACAGCTCTCTTTTCAATAAAAAACTACCTTATCTTTACTCCGACGTGGTGCTAGTTTCGATGCGGCTGTCCCTACCTCCATGGCTGAGATCATGAATCTTGAGGATCTCAGCCAATTCAGTGCTTTGCTATAGCAATACATTGTGCGCCCCTTGTAAGTAGTCAATCCAACTTAGAATAGTCTGACTTCCTAACTGGGGTCCACCAGTCCCCACTACCACCTCCACTAACTCTGATCTAGATCAGAAAGCTCTCTGAGCTAAAAACAGTGGAGCAGGGCTTAGCTCACTGGTTGAAAGTAATCAGCACTGCTCAGGAGAGCTAGTGGAACTTTCTTGAAGCTCTTTGGCTGAGGCTGTGGGACAGGGAGCATTGCATGTAGACCTCAGCCAAGTAAGATGTCAATACTTATAATTGAGGTGTCAGGGCACCCATAACCACTATAGTTTTCTGTATTGGTTATGGTGCTAAGGTTTTAACACCTGGGTCAGGAAACTAAACTATGGGAGCAAGCAAATCATATTCATCAGGTCCAAGTAACTGCCTATAATAAATGGTTTAAAATAGCAGGCCTCAGTTTTCCATCTTAATCGAGACCAGTCTAACATCAGGAAGAATCTAAGACAGAATTTAGTTATATTGTTATAATTGAAGAATAAGTAATTGAGCTTATTTTATAATGAAGAATGGCTTGCCAAAATGACATATACATAGTTCACACCCCTATCAACATTAGGTTAAGAATCATATCTATGAACATACACATCACAAACTTTACACAGACATCCCAGCTAGATAATAGTTAGAAACAGTTGACAAGGAGACAGACTGACCAGTAATCAATACAATAACATCAATTAAGAAATCCAATAGCTTTTACAGTTCAAATGGTGTAATAAACAGCAATACCAGCGTAAAAAAAAAGTTAAAAAACTATTTTCCAGGGTGTCCACTATAATAAGAACTCAGTGAGCAAATCTAAGCCAACACATTAATTCACACACATTATACCCCCCCCCTCCCCCATACAGAGCTGTGTACAGCCCAGTTGAGCCAATAATGAATTTTGATGTAAAGATTAAATAATTCGACATTAATGATAACGCATTCTATAGACACCCCTTGGTGTGTTATCCCCCGAGCTCCCTGCACAGTGCCAGCACACAATGCTCTCCATACTGTGTCCCCGCTCTCTATCCCGGCACTGGGTGAGGAGCAGCACGTACAGCGCCGGGTACCGGCACCCACGCTCTCGGTGTGCACGTTATATACGGTAATAACACAGCCCGATATACATACGCAAATTGTTTACATCTCCTTCAGGCGTCTCTCAGCTACTTCCGCTTCCCGGACTGCCCACGTGATCAGCATGTGATTGGTCGGCAGGCAGCCGGGCTGCAAATCCTGTCCAATGATTGGTCCGCGCTGGCCACGCCTCCTTGTTTACCGACTTTTGGCAGCAGTGCCTGGTCATGATGAACATGTTCTCCAGCAAGGGAGGGACAATAGAGGCAGATCATGGCTGGTGTAGAACTACAACACCCGTCATGCAGTGCAAAGCCCAGTGGCTGTTATAGTAACCCATGGCCAGCACTGGGCTAGACATTTGATGGATTAAGGGTGTTGGCATGTGAGAAGTTAGCCCATGATGTGTTGTTACCTGATGGATGTAGCAGGAACACATCAGTGGGTGCAGAGGAAATTTAGTATGGTGACCTGGTATCACCATTAAAGTGTCTATAAATTCTTTTTTTTAATAAGCATGTACCAAATAACCCCCTTGGCTGCCTCCCCTCCCCCTCCCTTGATGTTCAGTAGGTACTATATTTATTAATGTATTAGCTGCAAGGCGAGAAGAGATGGCAAAGGGCTTTACCCAAGTTCTACATAATTTTTCAACTTTGTCGTTTAATGTAAGGTTTGTATGTCTAACTTTATAGTGTTCATTTAAATAATAGGTAGGGCTGGATTCTGATAACCTACTTAATTGGCGAAACATTAGAAAATATTTAAATATTTTAAAAATATGGATTAAGAAAGAAAACTCCGGAGGTATTTACAGATGTAAATAAAGGAATGGGACCTCAGTTCGGGGAAAAAAGACAGAGTAATTTGTTACATGTGAGTTTACAGAGGAAGATGTTCTATTTTAGCTGTGTAAAGTAAAGACAAAGAAGTAGATGGGGCTTCATGGGATACACCCAAAGTTATTAAAAGAAAATCTGTTAGAGGGATACTATAGGCACCAAGACCACTTCAGCTCATCGAAGTGTTTGGTTGCATAGTCCCAGGTCCCTTAAAGGACCACACACCCCAAAAGCACTTCAGCTTACTAAAGTGCTTTATGGGTGAGGAGTACCCTAGTTCAGGCTTCCCCAAACTCTGGCCCTCCAGATGTTGCTGAACTACAACTCCCATGATTCTATGAATGAAATAGGCTGAGAATCATGGGAGTTGTAGTTCAGCAACATCTGGAGGGCCGGAGTTTGGGGAAGCCTGCCCTAGTTTAACCCCAGTTTATAAAAGGGCTGATTTCTATGAGAAATTAGCACTTTTATAAATTAACTAGGAAAGTCCATTACTTCCAACTTCCGTTAGCTCCCCATAGCTAACGGTAGTGGCAGGCACACTCTACTTGAGCGTGCCTGCCTCTTACTCACAGCCCTCAGATCAGCTCCTCTCTCTCAGAAGTGCACACGTGGCGGGGTGCGCGTGCACAAGCCGACACACGTGCACACAACAGACGGTGCGCGTGGGGACCAAGTCAGAGGCTTCTCAAAGAGGAAAAAAGTGGAG